TGTGCCACTTCTAAAAGTGTATCATCGGCACACTTCAAGTGCGTCATCGGCACACTTTAAGTGCGCTAATGACGCACTTGAAGTGTGCCGATGATACACTTTTAGAAGTGGCACACAAAAAGCGTCCAAAAATGCTACCGCAGTGTGCCGAAAGCACACTAGAAATGTGTCAATGGCACGCTAAAAGCATGCTAGCAGCACATAAAAAGCATACTTTGGCACACTTTTTCCATGCCATTGGCACAATTTAAGTGTGCTTTTTCTAAAAGTATGCTTTTCCGGGACAGTGTTGAAAACCATTATTAGTAATAATGATTCCGAGTCTGAACTAACATTACGGTCACACTACAGTTTTAATCACGATTAAGCTAAACGTGACCGCGACCTTGATCATAATTAATTCGCTAATCATGATTAACTTTATGCATGATTAAAAGGTGAATAGCGTAATAATGATTATTCAGATCAGAACGTACGCCCGTCGTACGCGCACGTCACACTCTGTGCACAACGTGCATGCGCGTCATGTGTATTTACTGTACAAAATGCATGTCATGCTTACAATGCGCATCATGTACTATTTTTACAGGTTTATTATAGATATCAGATAAACATGTTACTATGAAATTGTAGAGAGAGAAAATCACTCTCGGTACACGCACCTCTTTCGTTACACATACCAACCGTCATGGATGTCAAATGCAGGGCTCCGAATGGGCTGGGTTAAAACCGGTCCGGCCCATGGCCTACCATGGGCAGGATTTTTTGCACAATCAGAACCATGGGTCGGGCTGGGCCACTACCTATTATAATGGGCGCCCATGGGACGAAGTTCTCTGTCCATGGGCTGATGTATTGATAAACCGATATTTTACCACTAGAGGTCGCGTGAGAACGATCTTTTTACTTAAAGAATAGTAATTGTGCTTCTTATTCTCATTTCTCTTTTCGCTTTTTCCTGCCTAAAACTATTTTTGTAAAGAGAGATTCTCTACTGTTCTCTGTACTGTTTTATAAACTGTTCTCTCTGAGAGAACAGTATTCTGTTTTCTATGGCTGTTTGAGTGAAAAACTTATACATAACTGTGATTAGTCAAGTGAAATAAACTATGATTGTCCTTATTGTATGGAATAGAAGAGTAAATGATAAGTAGCCTTGATCAACATGGTAAATGAGGCTGTGTTTGGGAAAAACCTTTTATTAGATGGCCACCGACGGGTCAGCCAGTCCGGTCCATGGATCGGGCTGGGTCGGAAAATTTAGAACGAAAAACCATGGGCTGGGCCGGTAAAGGACGACATAGCCCACGGGCCAACTTTTACCGGCCCAGCCCGGCCATATTCACAATTGGCGGCCATGGAACGAAGTTCTCTGTTCATGAGTTGCTGTATTGATAAACCGATATTTTACCACTAGAGGTCGCGTGAGAACGATCTTTTTACTTAAAGAAAAGAAAGTCATACTACAAAATCGTTAATTATGATTAATTTTAATCGTGATTAAGACTGCAGTGTGACTGTAGTGTAAAAGTAATTTACAAAACTGCTGATACTATTATTTTATAGAAGAAGTTTAGTTTATATACTCCAACTCTTTCTTTCTAACTATATATGTATGTGAATTTAATAAATGTTTTTTGTATGTGTCTGATGTTAAATTCTGACGATGAACAAGAGATATTGGACAGCCAAATTATCCTTTGGATAAATAGCACTAACTGTGAGTTATTAAGCTGCAACAATTTCTGCTCAGTGATTTCAAAAGTCCTGCCATGTAATATTGTTACAAAAAAATACGTGTTTGAAATCAAGGAGATTTATAATTCATTAAAACTTGCCTTAATATAACTTTTGCGTATTCTAGAGCTGTTCTTGGACATCCTCGTTCTCCAATATAAATCATATTTTTAAATAAACTGATAAAAAATGATCTAAACGAAAGAGCGGAAATGAAAGAGATATCATACAACGGTAAGGATGGGATAAAACTAACCGATTTTCTTGAACCTGATAGTCAAGTCTACATTCGCCACGTGTAATTGAGAATAAAGGATGAAATGATTGTTGTAAACTGTACAAAGCTCGCTCTAGAAAGATATCAACATTTCTTGTAACAGACAACTTAAAGATCTTGCTCTCCTACCCAACAAATCAACCGCTGTTGGTGTATCGTCTTGCATTCGACTAACATCGCTCAAATGAATAAGAGCATCAACGTGATAAGGATATTGTCGAAGTACGTCCTAACAAACGAAAGATACACTAAGCAATGGAAAATCCTTCTTCTCTCGCTCTACCATAATGCCTTGAAGATCGTGAGAATCGACGTAATCAAGAAACATTATTTGTAAACGTTGATAATCTTTATCATAATCAAATTGAAAATAATTTCCATCTAACATTTCTGAAGATGATGATACAGATGTAGAAGGTTTCATTGAGAGGCCAAATTTATGAAATAAAGGCCATAGAGGTTTATGTATGATGAAGGCATTCAGCTTAGAGACACGCGAAGATGGACGCTGTTGTTGATACTGAATATGGCCACGACGTCTTAACAAAATTGAACAAAACTTTGACTTTTTGGATATTTTCTAGAAATAAGCTCCTACCTTTGTAGATTAGCGGCAGTAGTCGCAGCTGATGGCTGGTTTGTATCACGTTCTATTTGTTGTACTATTTCTCTTCCAAAACGTTTTTTCATTTCATTCAACGAATTTAATAAACGACTATCAACTGACAATATTTCATTCAATCGACTAACATTTTGAACTTCACTGTTTTGATCTTCCGTTTTTGTTGTCGCTATTTCACTATTTAAAAAGTCGTCAAATTGATTTGAATCCTTAAAATATAATAGCTTTGTTGAGAAAAGTAGCCAAAAGAAAAATGATATTCTCTACATTACTTCATTGTGCTGATTTGGCTTCTTTTTAATTTTACGCTTTCGTTTTGGTTTAAGTTGCACAGTTTTCACTTCTTCTTCCTCGTTTGGCGTTTGTTGTTTATCGGCATTATCTTCTTCCTCAGCATCAAATAATTCAAATGGGTTTTTTCGAGTTATCACTTGATTATTGTAATCAGTCTCATCACTATTAGCGTCATCGACTGATGTGGTATTTTCGTTTTGATTATTCAGACCAACTTTTTCAAGTAATTTAACAATATCATTATCATTCTTATTCTGTATTTTTCTTACTAGACGAGAAGACATTTTCGTCGATTATTAAAGTGTCTAAAGAAAAGAAAATCGATAAATTTGTTTAAGCGTATGCTTAAATCATGCAACATTTTATTTCACAGTAAAGCATATACACAACACGTTTATAATAAAAGAGTTTAAAATTCAACGTAGATGTAATTGTATAGTCAAAAACTACATTAAACAAAATGTCGCAACGTTTGGAAAATCTATTCAAATGACGGCACTAATTACAGAATTCAAAAGTTTTTTGTTGCTCACGAGGGACAACACTTACATTATTCATACTGAAACAAATTATTCCAAAAAAATACGTGCGATCTTTCAATTGTACAACTGTATAGTTGTTTTAAAACTTCCTGATGTGGTACTTTCTTATTCTTCCTCATAGATTTCTTTGTCATAGAAAATAGTGTGAGATTTTTTTATCAATAAAGTGTGTATAATTCAACCTCTATAATGTGGCCGTCTTCATATAATACCACAAATGATCACTATAGAGAATTTTACCACATAATTTATAAACTAAATATACACGACAATTTAACTGTTTTATTCGCATTAAGACATTTATACGAATAATATTGCTAAATCTTACGTTGTCTGAAATTCAGTGCCCAGCGTTCTAATGGTCTGTTTAAATTTAGCAGAATTCATTCGCTTTTTAGATTCATTGACTTTATTATTGGAATGCAACAAATCCTTATGTAGTCTAATTCTGTCTGTCGTAAAGTTATTGAGGAAAAATTTGAATGACGACAATCTTTTCACATCCTAAAGGAGTCAATTGCAACTATCGACGTTATCCTATATTTTTGAACTATGGTGGAGAGGAGGCCGCAATTTCGAAATATCTTCAAAGATTAAGATATTCACATCCATTAATGTTGTTAACGATTGGTGATAATACTTTATTTGTTCTCATCCTCATTTTTTTTGTTTTTGATCAACAAATATGCACTAGTTCTTTTTCTTTCAGAAGGAACGAGACTAAACTGTTGTTTTCCGTCCTAAAAATGGAAAAGTGACACTGCTCTGTTTCACACAACTGAAAGTAATAGAAGCATAGATTGGAGAAGCTAGAAGATACCTTCTCATTTTATACCTCAGAGAAAAGTAGAAAGTCTACCTTGAAAAAAATCTCACTAAAAACGCTAGCACTCCTATCCATCTGCTGCTGACTCATTTGTGAGGTTCACAATACAGCTTTAACAGATATTTGTGTCTTTGTACTTCAATTATAGACTAATAATAAAACGAATTAATTGTAATGCTGAAATACATAAATAAATTATGAAAATCTAAAAAAATCACCACAAGTCTATGGTTGGTATTGCATCGACCAATAGAATGAAGTTTATAACACCACCTTCTACGAAAAATGCAATCGCATTTACCAATTCTGTTTTATTGTTTTCAAGATAGGACGGAGAGTGGTTAGAAATGGATCATCGAATTAAGAGCAATAGTCACATATGCAAAAGAATGAGGGATGAATGTGTTGGTTCCATTGAGTAATTGTGAGACCAATAAATACACTCTCCAGCTCGTACAAAATCATGTCTCGCAGTGAGCTAACGAAGGCCTTTGTAACTTCTTTTGAAACACATAGCCATTTCTGAGAATAGAAAGGAATAATTTATAGTGCAAATGTCGTATTAAATTAAAATTCTTTTCTTAGAATTTCCGAAGGTAATGTTTGTGAATTGGCGTAAAAAGTGTAGGCTTTGCTTTGATTCCCAAAGTAATACAAGTTTTGAAAATTCAATGTAAGTAATCTTAACAAAAGTTATTAATACGTTTGAGCAAAATCGTAATGCAAAAAGCAAAAAAACTACGAAAAACTAATGAACGGAATGAGCTTTAGATCACTCGATTTAGTATTCAGTCATTCATGAATATAAATAGAGAAAATAAAATCATAAAAACATTCAAAAACCGCTGATGAAAAACCTAAACCAGAAGGTGCACTTGGTCTTTTTTAACACAATTTAATCTCTGAGTGTACATTTTGATTCTACGGTGTACACCTAGTTATTAGAAACACTTCCAGGGAGTTTATCAGCTAGTGCTCTGTTTTAGTAAGAAATGATAATTGCTATATTACTCATTAAGCAGGTAACCAAAGCGTTGTATAAATCTCACAGCTTGAATTAATTAAACACAACATTTCTCTTCAAAAGGATAGTTTGAATTTCATTTTTTGGCTCTTCCTTTTCAAGTAAGTTCATTAAGAAACCAACTATTTGAGCTGATAATTATAACTCATAAGTGTTCAATACGAAGCAAATTAAGTAACTTTCTAGCTTAAACCTTTTACGGAGAAATTAAACGTTAAAGATATTAGATTTGATTTGAACGCTGCTATGGTTTTTATTAAATGTCCTTTCATTTTGTTTTAACGTTCTCTATTTTTAATCGTCATTGCCTGATATAGTTTTCAGATAGTTGTCACTATTTGAAATTAAAATAGTTATGAGTGAAACATCTGGCAGTGGTTCTAATTCCAATAATAAAACGCCAACAACAACGAGTAATTCCAAAAAACGAACATCTTCGGATGCTGGTCTAGATTCTCCAGTATCATCAAAAGATAAACGGATACTTGTATTTGAACCACTAAAACTATTTTGTATACAATCAGCGGTAAGAAACAAAAGAATGATGGAAAGAGATTTTTTTTGCAATACTCTTTTGCTTATTTATTCTAGGAAGAACTTGACGCTAAACTTCTACTAATACAAAATAAAAAATTATCTGAATGTTTGACAGTTTATCGGAAAAATGAAGAGAAATGGAAAGATAAAATTGATCAAGTTGAAAGAAATAAAGCAGTAGTTGATTGTAAATTTAGCATTATCGATATTTATTGGACACAAGTTAGTATTTTAGCATCTTGAAAAACTCCGTACTTTTTTTATTTTTCGTACTATATGAAAAGAATTAATGGAGACTATAATAACCGTTTTATAAAGGGTATTTTCAAAGCGTTGAACCTTTGTAGAACATATAACCAAAGTTTGTAATCATTGTCTGTAATATCCTCTTGGGCCTTTTCTAGTCGCAGTAGGCCTTACCTATCCACACAATATCAACCGAATCGGGGCGGTATACTTGGTGAGATTATCTCGTGAGGTATTTCTTGTTAAAGTAAACATCTATTACTAAGGATATAGCTGTTTCTTCGAACTTTTATAGTATTAACGGATTATTGCTTGAAATGTCCTGGTTTTTTTCTTTTTTAGCTTGATGAAGATATTCGTCGATTATTAGAACGTTTTGATTCAACAGTTTCATCAGAACGTGATGAAGTCAAATCATTTATTCAACAATTAAATATGTGGATGCGTGATGATTTAGATGAACATTTGAAACAACGTCTCGATTTTTCAACAAAAGCCATAGTCAAACTTGTTAAAATATTTGATAGGTAAAGTTGGAGTAGGTTTTGTTGACATATCTGCAATGAAAGATATGTTAATCTATGATGCATCAACGTGTTCTTGTCGTTCTTCATTTTGTTCAAGTGACTTCAACAAGAACCCGTCGAAGTAATTTTTTAATAAAGATTCGCTAGAAAAAAAGCGTTTTCAATGTTCCACTCACATTTTCGATTGCAAGAATGATACTGAGTTTCGAATATTTTTTACATGTTTACAAATGTGTGCTTGCTCTTCTTTCATCTTTTTCTAGACAAATTATTGTTAATTTTTCTATATTCTAGTCTCTCCGAAAAATATCAGCGTTTATTTAGTTCATTGAATTCTTCCTCAGTCAGTACAAATTCCCCTAATACATCTACTTTTGGTGATTCAAATAATAAAACAGTTACTGATGATTCAAAACTTGAGAGTAAGTGTCCCGTCAGACAAATATATTTTACGGTATTATTTTGAAAATTCATATTTTTAGATTTATCAATATCACATGAAGTACATAAAGCCGTATTAGAACGCAATTCAGATTTAGAACAAGAAAATAATAGAATATTGCGAATGAATACAACACTGCAAAGTCAAATACATACAATAACACTTCAATGCTCGGATTTATCAAATCAATTGGCATTACAAGAAGAGCAAACTGTTGAAAATAAAAGTCATATATCAGATCTAGAGTACGAATTGGAAAAGTCACGTAGTAAAGAAATGAAATTAGAACGTTTATTATGTGATGCTATTTCAAAACTAGAAACAGATAATGTTGTCAAAGATCAACAAGAAGGAACAACTACAGTGACTATACCAGAAAAATCGGTAAATGATGTTAACAGATTAAATGATGTATGTTACATTCTTTTATTTTATTTTTATAGTTAACCGATTTAAGAGCTGAACTAGAGGAATGTAGAGAATTGGCAACCAGTCGATTAACTGAGTTAGAAAAATTAACATTTGATCATGAAACAGCTAAAAAGGAAATTGAAGAACTCAAATGTCAAGTAAGATATCGTACTTTTTTTTTCCACATCTTTCTTATATGCAAAATTAGGACAGTTATTATATGTAGTTTGTTATTCTTTAGCTTCGCGCATTGCCTGAATCATTAGTGACTGAAACGCCAGAATTCAAATGTCTTCAATCTCGTTATACGGCATTGGTTAATGAAAGTGTACATTTAAGACATCAATTAGCTGAAGCGAGAGAATTAGTTAAATGTACTAAAGCAATATATGATCATCATTTTGAAAAAATCGAAGTAAAATTGTTATAATCTTCTTTACTATAACTCAATGTTTTTTTTTTGTTGTACTATAGCAAGAAGAATATGAAAATCAGCGAAAATTACATGCAAATATTGAACAAGTTGTTGAAGATCTCGCTGAAGCAAAACGAGCATATGATATGTTGCAATTGGAATATGAAAAAATACTTATTGCTAATCAGCAAGCAGGTAATAGTTGATTGAAATCTGCTTCTTTCTAAAAAGATTCTCTGCACGTCAGCTAGTATATTTTAGCATCTTTAACTGGCAAAGATCGTTGTCAAACGACTAGTAAAATAAATCAAAACATTGAGTAGGATTCTCCAATTTATAGTCGTATGTAACTCAGTTTCACCGAAGTGCAGAAAAAGTTTTCTAATCGAAGTTGAATTGAATATAGTTCGAAAAACGTGTCTTTACTCTGTTGTGTTCCTTTTTCTTCAGTGCCAATTACACGTGAAATGCGTAGTCTTATTGGTCATTTACAAGTGCAATGTAATCTGCATAATTCGGAAGCATCACGAAGTAAGAGACAATGTAAAGAAATGGAAGATGAATTGACAAAATTAAGAATGAAAAATGAAAACAATAGTTATTTATCTTCGTCTGTCACAAATCAACTGAATGGATTCAGCGAAACAGAGACGCCTAATAACCACAATACAACAAATTCCGCAACAAAAGACGATAGCCATCAACTGAAACCATCACCACACTTACAGCAACAGCATTCTCATAAAGAAGATTTAAATCGATCAAATACGACAACGGAAGGGGTAGGCTTTTAACTTTAAGGTATATCTTTGTATAGTTTTCTTTTCTTTGTTGTTAGAACGATGATAATCGTTTGAGTGATGTTTCCATTTTGGATATTGGTGATATAAGTGAAGATGAAATTGAAGAATCACAATCATCTATATCAAGATTGACATCAGATGAAAAAGAAACAGAAATACGATCATTAAAAAATGATAATAAAAAACTAACAGATTTAGTGAAAGAATATAAAATTTTGCTAACGATGTATAGGTGAGTAATTCTTGTTTGTATTTCATTTAGAATTTCTATTGACATAATTTTTCGTTTTGTTATTTGCCTATTTTAGAAGTGCTCCAAAAGAAACACGTGAAAAAGCAACTTTGATGACATCAGAAAAAAAACTTCGCCAAGAATTAGATGATACTAAATCGGAATTGAAAAAATTACAGACGTTTGCAAAAACAATAAGAAAAAAATTTAATGAAGATGAGGTTAGTCTAGTCAGTGTGATGTTTTCATTCGACAATTTAGATGAGTGAGAAACTGTTGCTTTAATTATATAGTAATGAGAATTTTTTACAAATTTCTTCTATTTACAGGCACAAAACAAGATTCGAACGTTACAAGATAGTGTGAGAGAATTAGAAAAAAATCTTGAAACTCGTAAACAAGAAGAAGCAGCACTATTAAATGAAATTGAAGTGAGAGATGCGACCTAATTGTTCTCGGTTATAGTAAGAAAGAGAATGATGTTATTTTTCGTATAGGTTACAGGCCAAGCATTTGAAGATATGCAAGAACAAAATAGTCGATTATTACAACAATTACGAGAAAAAGATGATGCACACATTAAATTGATGGTTGAACGAGTCAAATCACAACAAGAACAAAAAATAATGAGTGAAGAAAAAACCGTATTGATACAGCAAACAAATGTTTTACGAGAACAACTTGATGTACAGGTGAGAAATAGGTAGCAAACAAAATTTTGAACAATTCTCATTTAATGTAAATCTCTCTTTCTCTCTCGTTTATCCCAGGTTGTTATGAATCAAAAATTTGAAGAAACAGTAGCTCTATTACGTAACAGTATACTGATATTAGAAAAAGAATTGAATATGATGCATCAAACGCTAGATGCTCATAAACGAAAATCCATTGAGTGTGCTCAAACATCAGCTGATTTACGCTTACATTTGGAACGATATCATGCCCAACTAAAAGAAGCACAACAACTTGTTGCCGAGAAAACTGAATTACTTGAAAAACAGAATTTTAAAAACCGACGGTAAGTTTGTGCAACATTTCACACTATCATTTTGGGTTCTCGTTAATCAAATAATAGAACATTATTCTAACGCATTTTTTTCACTGGTTGCAATAATAGTCATGGGTTCACTTAACCAACTGTTGGTGAAAAAAAAATAAATCACTTACTAGAGTATTTATTATTTATTTTAGTTTACAAGAAGACAATAAAAATTATAGTCGAAAATTAGAGCGTATGCGTAAATTCGATATGGCATCGAACAAAGACGAAGTATTATTAGAAGAAATACGCGAATATAAAGAAATATTACGTTGTCCAGCATGTAAAAATAAACAACGTGATGCTATTTTATCAAAATGTTTTCATGTATTTTGTTATGATTGTTTAAAATCCAGATATGATAGTCGACAACGCAAATGTCCAAAATGCAATTTGGGATTTGCCGTACAAGATATTCACAAAATATATTTAAGTTAAAAAAAAGCAGCACTATCTTTCTCACCTTCTATTTCTGAAAACATTCCTTAATCTTTCTTTTTTTGTCGTTTGAATGGTTTGTTATATGTATTGCACACTTACCTGAACAATTATCAGATATTTGTACAAAAAAAACCAACAAAAAAAGATAGTGTTTTCGATCCTGCGCATTATATTCTTTTTTTTGCTCGTCTCTGTCACTGGTCGACACCTAGATCATTTTTGATTTATTGCATTAACTAAAACTTCCTTGCCTTTGTGTATGTATAGAGTATGATTTTCTTTTCTTCTTCTTATCCCACTCATTCTCATTCATTTACCTTTTATTTTGTTTTCCTCACTGTGTGTGTTTGTGTGAGTAGACGCACATTTGTTTATTCATAAGAACAACAAAAACAATTCGTTAACCGTCGCACGACTTTTCTTTTTTTTATACGTGTTATTTCTGTTCTTGTTTCTTTTCGTTTTGTACATGATTAAAATGTATTGTTGTTTTGCTAACGTTTTGCTTATAAAACTAAAGTGAGAAATAATACTGACTAAATATAAGATAAATCTAGATGATGCAATTCTTAGGTATTACTTACTCGTTAGTTATGTTTGTATATGAGAAAAGTTACGGTGAAGTGAACAAAAGGCGGAAATAGTTTTAACAATTGTTCTATATGACACATGCTTGATTTTTTATTGCTTAAATTTGTAAGGATAATTTATACATGTAGACAAGAAATTCACAATAGTAAAAACAAAAGCATACAAAAAAGACAAAAGGGAAAATTTTTGGCTTAAAGCAGTAAACAGATGGATGTTATCAAAGGATAAAGAAATGTTTAAAAATAGAGTAAAGTAACTGATCCATTTTCAAAACTAAATGACTATATGTCACTGTAGCTCCATGCACTGCGGACTGAGAGAGAGAGAGTAAAGCTGAGGGACTGACTTATGCACGAGAGCATGTTGCCTTTCTCACCTGGTAGTTCAGAATTGACAGAAAGAAAAATAGCTTACAACAACACACTCTATTATAAAAAAATTATACATAGGGTCTGTTAAAAGGAACAGTTGTAAAAAAAACACACAAAAGCATTTCAATAAATAATAATAACACAAAAGAAAAGACTGGATGACTTTGTTGAGACGAGATTCTCTGGTGACTTTGAATGAAACTTGTATTAGTGTTAAAAGCTGTTCTTGTATATGACTCTTTATTGCCGTTATTTTCAATGCAACCAATCAAAATGTAATCAAAGTGACTCGATACACATTGCTATGCCTAAACCGCCACCAATACAAAGGGAAGCAACACCACGTTTTAAACCCGTTCGTTTCAATGCATGAATTAAAGTTACAAGTATTCTTGCGCCAGAAGCTCCAACTGAAAGAACAAATGAGAAAATCATAACTGGTGTCTCTACGCGGTCTTCTTAATTTTCGACGAAAGTACACTTACTGGGATGGCCCAACGCAATTGCACCGCCGTTGATATTAATCTAAAGAAACAAAAGAGAAAAAAATTAAGTATTGCACCTTGAAAGAGTTGATCTGTACGATTGACAACGAAAGACATCTAACCGCAGTCTCAATAGAAATTCATAAAAAATTTATTTCACGTCCTACATACTTTTTCGGGATTTATCTTCAATTCATGAATAACGGCAACACTTTGTGCAGCAAAAGCTTCATTCAGTTCAAATAGATCAACCATATCAATTGTCCATTCAGCTTTTCGAAGCTGAAAGAAAAAAAGAAATGTTGAAATCTAAAGACTGAAAATATTTTTAAAAGCATACCGCATCTTGTATGGCCTACAAAAAGTAACAATTTACAGTAAGTAAAAGGTCAATAAGAACAGTGAGAATCTTGTATTACTTTGACGGGTGCTATCCCCATGATCAAAGGATCGATGCCAACTTGTGCCCATGAAATAATTTTTGCTAATGGTGTTTGTTGTTTTAGATGTGCAACACGATTTGAACAAAGAACAAGTGCAGCTGCTCCATCATTAATTCCAGACGAATTTCCAGCCGTTACCGTACCGCCTACGATTAACAATTTCAAATATTACGGGTACTGAGAGAAAAAATGTCGCTATAGAAGGTACCGGAACTTCAAAATTTGCACGCTTTTGATTTTTGTAAAATTTATACATGATTAGGTGGAGCTCGACGAGCTGAATCAAAATATATGTTTTATTCTTTGAAAAAAATTCTTTTAAGGTCAAAAATTTTAAAATCTGAAACTTTTTAAATAAAAAATCTGTCAAAAAGTTCGGAAAAAATCAAAATTACCCAAAACCTGGAACGCACCTCAGTCACTTCAAGTTTTGATGTTGATTCGAAATATAACATTGGTTTTGCAAAAAAAAAAAAATGACGTTTGACGGCGAAAACTGCAAAATTCGAGTGCATTTCCTTGGTTTTAGCTAAGATGCTTACCTGTGGTGAAAGAAACAGCTATAGTTCAGCGAAGAAACAAGTTCTCGAAAAAAGGAAATTTAACTTTTTTCCTGGCTGTATAGCTATAAAAATTTTGGCTTTCATCTCTTAACTAGCACAAGTTGATTCATTTGCAAGATGCGTAAGGGCAGTTTCAGCCGTTCGGGAAAACTTTAAATTTTTTTGTTGTCATATAATATCCGTATAACCTTAAAAGTGTATTTTTTAGATTCAGTTTTTAACGCAGAATAAGAAAAATATTTTTAAAGTTATGAAACAGCAATGAACCAGAGTTTTATGCTTGTCTTTCAAATTTAGGCTGTTGTTTCACTATTTAAAAAATTTCAGATTTTAAAATTTTTGACCAAAAAAAGAATTTTTTCAAAGAATAAAACATATATTTTGATTCAGCTCGTCGAGCTCTATCTAATCAATTTACAAAATCAAAAGCGTGCAAATTTTGAATTTCTGGCACCTTAATACCTTCTTTGAATGCAGTTTTGAGATTTAACATTGCAGCAATGCTAGCTCCTTTTCGTGGATGTTCATCTCGTTTGATTTGAATTTCGGCTAGAAAAGAAAAAAAATCGATCAAGGCAGTTGTATCTCAAAAGAAGAATCTACCTTTTGCTGTAGCGAGAGTGATCGGTTCAATTTCGTTATCAAAATGTCCCAATGACATAGCATGTTCACATTTCAGTTGGGATTGTAAGGCAAATTCGTCTTGTTCTTGCCTGGTTATACCATAGGTTTCCGCTACATTTTCAGCCGTTATACCCATATGTACATGATTGAAAGCGTCTATTAAGCCGTCATTTTTTAATGTATCAACCAACGCACAGTCACCCAATTTTTGTTGTTGGCGAATGTGTACACAATGAGGAGCCTGTAAAATACAACAACTCATAAGTATAAAATTTAACAACTTTAGTTCGTCATTCTCCAACATACCTGACTCATGCTTTCCTGCCCTCCAGCAATTACGACTAATGCGTCTCCAGATTTTATAGCTTGTGCACCCAAAATTACAGCTTTTAATCCGGATCCACATACCATGTTCACTGAAAATGCAGGAATTGTATAGGCTAACCCAGCAGAACGGGCCGCTAAAAAAAAACATAAAAAAAACGTTTTCACATGTGCCTGTTTTTCAACCCTAAAGATGAATCACCTTGACGAGCGGGATTTTGTCCCTCAGATGCTGTTAAACATTGACCCATGATAACTTCGGATACTTCATCGAGGTTCACATTTGCTTTTGATAATGCTGCTTTTATAGCCGCTCCACCCAACTGATGAGCTTTTAACATTGATAAAGATCCATTCAACGAACCGACTTAGGTAAAAAATAAGCCTTTTTACATTAAAAGTGCAAACGTTTGATACATTTGTTATTTAAAGAAAAAATTATTATTACTTGGTGTTCGAACAGCACTCAAGATTACAATTTCATCGAGATTCTCAGTTGCCATAGCTTAATAGTCAGAAGTAAAATCTAAAATTATAAAGTACTTATAGGACTGAAATATACCTATCAATAGCAGAACATTGAACAATGACCATAAATATGGTTTTCTAATTAAAAAAGTTATTTATTCTACTCAGTGGACACCCCAATAATAATGGAGCTCTTCCGCTGAGATATTAGCTCTCTTTTGATGTGTTCGATTCGATAAATTTGAAAAATAAATACAGTTTAAGGCAACTTCTACTTCTCAATTGACTTGAAATAATACTGTGATATAGTAATACGTTTATATAGAAATTAAAATGACAAAAAAACATGAGATAAAAATGAACGAGCAAACAGATAAACAATATTGTTAAACAATTTAAGAGAGAAAAAAGTATAACATTTTTGAAAATAAACACTACCATTTAAAAATATAACATAACAAAATCGGATTTTACAGTAGTCTGAAATCATTTCACTGCATTTAATAATAATAAAAACCAAAAAGACGGATGAGAAACACAAAGAAATAAACAATCAAATACTTCAAACAAAAAATAAACAATCAAATACTTCAAACAAAAAATAAACAATTTATAGACCGGAAAGAAAATAACATATATATATATCAAAATGAGAAACAAGAAAATTATTGAGAGCATTTCACTCTGCGGTTTTCATCATCATTTTCTTACATACAATGTATTGTCCTCCACCTCTTCGTCTTCATCAAGCACATTCGACATTAATGGTTCAGAGGTGTTGTTAATTAAGGTATAACGTTTTGGTTGACGTTTTTTACGTAACCTACATGACAAACAGCAAAGCCTTATAATAATCATAAGATATTCTATCTGACGAAAGCACTCTAACGCTTTTTTCTCAGTATTTCAGTTCTTTTATGCAAAGCTCTATCGTACTTACGCAAATGTTTTAACCCCAATATAGAGTAGAATAAGTGCCGTAATGCCAACCAAAACAATCATTCCTCTTATTAATGTCCCACGATCTAATTTTTTCCATTCATTTGTAATAGCAGTTTTGATTGCTGAGCTTGCTGTTGTATTTAAGCTAGATACTATTCTAGTGGTAGAATCTGTAATTATATTTTGTCTTAACGTCGTTGAATTTGTATTATTCACTGACATATTTGCAGCAACAGTAAGACTATTGAAAATAATGAAAAGAAATTATGTGAATAAGAACAAATTGTAATGAAAAGTTGGACAAATGGCGTATTTTGTATCTAAAAAATAACAGATATCAGAGAGTGATACTCTTTGTAATTTGTTTCTGCAACTGCCACAGTTCAATAAAATACAGGGAAAAGTAATTTGAATATGCGATAGACTTAATGGACAATTAGTGCTCTGGTTACGTTATCTTCTCTACCTCCAAATACAACTACTAGTATCGAGCAAGCTAAAATTAGAGTATCAACCTGTTGACTGAAAAGTACTAAAAAACACAAAATGAATTAATAAGTGATTATACAAGAACTAAGAACAAATATAGGGATTTGATTCCTAAAGTACAAAAAGACAGATGATAAAAGCAAAAGAAAGATTAACTGTGACTTTCAATCACTCAGTTAAAGAAGCTATCGTAAAAGTGTACCATCAAGTATCTTTCACACATTTTTATTTTATCTATTTTTTTACAATACCCTAGTCAGTCACGACACGTCAAGACTGATCTAAGGCCGAACTGATATATATATATATATTACATTACATATATATAACCTCTTAGTTATATATCCAAGTTGCCTTAAAGCGAATAAAACATGGAATCAAACGTAACTCTTCAATTGGTTTACATTGCACAATAGAATGACAGTGACGAAAAATGCTGTCGTTTAGCGCAACGCTATCTTCGGAGAATTGCCGGTAGAGAGATAAAATTCATAAGATGAAAAAGAAAAGACAAAACACTTACCTTTTCTATGTTTTCCACTTCAGCAGCACCCCTCTCCCTCTCCGTATTTTATCTAGGATGCGTCTCGTTTTTGACACTCATGAGTCATTGAAAAGTCAACATTCATATTTTCTTCTGAACTGCACACCAAAAAGTTAGACCCAAGCTCACTCATACTGCATTAAGAATTAATTGAACTATTTAGTCAGAATGAAATTAAATATGGAAACAGTATAGTGTTAAAGAAAATAGTAAAAAATCACACGTACATACTTCTTTGTAATCTGTTTATTATTCTGCACAGAGGGTATGGGATCCTGTAATAGATACTAATTACATGAAACTGGCATCAGCCATCTTTATAGATGGCTTGTCTACAAAGAATTTTTTTGTATTGTAGATCAATCAATATTGCCCACATTATTTTGTTATTGAAAAGATATGATTCTACTGGAGGTACATAATCGAATAATAGAAGAAATATTAACAACGCAAATAGAGACATTCTTACGCAAAGAAAAACTTAATGAAATAAGAACAAAGATTGTTGGTAAGAAATAATCACTTTTATTTCTGATAAATTTGATAGATCTTTCACACTGTTTGACGGAATTTCTGATTGCAATCTCAATACATGTCGATATTATTCCTCAACATTCATTACACGCATACTTGTAATAATGTATCAGTTTACATTTCTGAAAACCCTACTTGCTATATCAAAGAACAAAGATAATCTTTCTTCAACAGAATAATAAGTAACAAGACAGAGTTAGGATAGTCATGTGTATATTAAGGCTAGTAGTTCGTATTGGAAAGAAGGAATTTTAATCTCTCTATTTTGTTTATTTCATTTTTAGATTTTGATGGTGTTTTATATTATATTAAAAGTTCTCGAGATAAGCCTTTAACTGTTTCAATCAAACTGAAGTTTTTTCGTGATTTAGAACAACATGGAATGGATGAAGTAAGTGCGAATATGTTTCACTATTAAATAGTCTTTTAAAAATAGAAGATTCCTTAATATAACTGGTAACATGAAAAACAATTTGGTACCTCACTTTTAAAAGATATTTGTAATATGCAAAGAATCCTGATTTAGTTCCAGAATAGATAAAAATCTTAGAAGATAGGCAGAGAAAGACTTTTGCTTAGTTCGATAGGTGAAAAGAATCCTATTTTTGTAAGGGTAATACATTCTACAGTAAAATGTGGATTTATGTTACTTTAGTTACTTCGTCGTGAATACGGTGATTTATTAGTGGCTCCAGAAGACGAGTACAATGTGACATTATCGATAGATTTCAGTACACAATTACCCGCAGAGGATTGGCAAGCATTAGTGAGAAAAGTGGCAATGTTAAAACGAAATTGTTTTGCGGCTGTATTTGAGAAATATTTTGAATTTCAATCGAAACAAGAAGTTGGTCACAAACGGGCTGTTATTCATTATCGTGATGATGAAACAATGTATGTTGATGCATCGGCCGATCGTGTCATTGTTATATTTAGTACAGTATTCAAAGATTCTGATGATAATATTATTGGAAAAGTATTTATGGAAGTATGTTTCGCAATATTAAAAGAAAATTTTGAAAAATGACTATAGACACAGTATATTTTCTTATTTCTTAAATAGGAGTTCAAAGAACGAAGAAGAAATTTCCAGCAAGCACCACAAGTTTTAGTAAATTATCGAACACCACCAGAAGAATTAAAAGACATGAAAGATGCTAGAGTGGGAGACAATATTGGCTATTTGACATTCGGTGTGTAGGGAGTTTAATAAAAAAAAAGAATATATATATATGTGTAACGAGATAAGCGTTATTTTTTTCTATCTAGTGTTATTTCCACGACACACAAAACCAGCTGCACGTGATAACACAATAAACTTAATACATACACTACGAAATTATTTTCATTATCATATTAAATGTTGTAAAGTAAGCTTAAGAAATCATAATCGCCCTTAGATATTTAATTTCGGTTTTATTTCAGGCCTATCTTCACTCTCACATGAGACAAAAGACAAACGAATTCTTAAAACGACTTCAATTAGCTAGACCGGAGGTGAAAAAGAATTTCAAAAGAGGAGCAGCAGCGGGTAAGATTTCGTTTTTTGTCTTTGATCTTTCTGAAGCTTGATAATAAACTTTTCCTTTGTAGGAGACGGTATAGAATGAAAAAATTGTTTTGTCAAAAATAATATCAAAAACTATGAAACTGGTTGCTTTTTACGTTATTGGAGATCTTGTTTTTATCTCCGAAGAATCATTTCTTTTTAGAAGAATGCAAAATTTGTAACCGGTTTGCGAGTGTTTTCTCTTTGTTAATTTATGCATTTTCGTTTTTTTTTATTTCCATGTTTTGCCGTAATTTTGTTATTGTTTTTTTAACGTCCGTTACGTTAGCCAATAAAAAACAAAAATGTGTATTTGTCAACTTTTACGTGTGTGTGTGTGTATGTATATGAATAGACTTTTGCGCATTATTACTCGCTTTTTCTTTAATTTATAAAACATATTTTGATATCAGTTTTGAACATATTAGCTTTTGTTTGCTAACGTTTTCATGTTAAACAAAAAAAAATGAATCTTTAAAATAAAGTATGGTTATTGAAAAGAAAAGTAGCAGTCAAAATCTTAACAAGCTTGAAAAAATCTCTTTCTATATGATTAGTTTAATCAACATGAATGGTTGTATTTGTTAGTGCAGGATTTTTGGATGATTCACACTGCCCACATTTTGATCAATAACAGGTTTACTGAAAGATATTGACTCGCTTGAACTTAACACTGAACGAATTGATGATGGAGAAAGTGTAGTATATAAGCTCGGTTGAGGGTCAGCTGTACCAAACGCATTGATTATTAACATTTTTTGATCAATTACGAATTGATGACAAACTGTTTGTAGTAAAGTTTCTTCATCCTCTGTCTCTGTTATTAAAAAATAAGAGAATATGAGTTCTGATGTTTAGATCACTTGGTAAAATAGAACAAAAAAAAAGAGATATCGTGATTCGGTATTGTTTACCATATTTATGCATACGTTTCTTGCAGAAAGTTCGTCTGCGTATTTATCATTGCACAAAAGCGCAACTTTTTTCTATTACTACCTCTGTCTCTTTGATCTAATTTATTCTATGATTATGGACTACACTGTTTTACCGTTTGATTTACAAGAGACACTGCAGCTTTTTTGGCTATCGTGCTCGCTTCTAATCGATTTTATCTAATATGGTCAAGATATTCTTTTGAAGGTTTATCCTATAGGTCGTGACAGCTTAGGTGTGACAGCATCCATCACGTGTTATATATCACGTGATGGAAGCTATCACACCTAAGCTGTCACGACCATAAAAATAGAGTGTCGTTGGTGTTAAAATAGGTTTTTTGAAAATAATTATAAATCCCAACCTATGTAACAAATACAATACAATAAAGTATTTCGATGCATAATTAGTGCGTCGTTGCCCTGGTGGAAGAAAATTATATCATCGAGATAAATGACCAAACACATACTCAATTTACGACAAAGCGTAACGGTTTTAACGGTTTAACAAACGATTTTAATAATTTCGTAAAAACTCGGGGTGCGGATGCCAGACCGAATGCCAAACATAAAAATGTATAAAGCACATTTTTACATTAAATTTTAAATATTTTTTATAATCTGGATATATAGGAACTGTACTTGCAACATATCGTGGAGGTTTTGGTGTGGTGGATGTATTCTGTGTATTAGTATTTTCTCTACCACCATCATTAGAATAAGTATTACGACGATTATATTGTGATCGTGTATTTTGATATCGATGATTTGGATAATAGCCTGACGAATGAAATTACCACTTTGTTGTGGTTGTTGAATATACGAACGTGCTGAATAACGATGATATGGACGTGTATTATTTCGTGTTGATGGTTCTTGTTGTAATATCTTTTTTAATTTTTCATGTCTTTCTTTCACTCGTACAATCCTTTTTACAAATTCTGAACCTAATAATGCATCGTTTTTATTATTTTTTAAAGCTTTCGATTTAATCAGCAGTTCTTTAGCTTGTTGTGTATTTGAAATGAAGTTTTTCATAAATTGAAGACGACGAGCATACAGTAAGATCTTGTTACAAGATTTCATAAGAAAACGGCAGATCTTGCATGATCCTGTAAGATGAGTTTCACCTGGGGAATGCTGTTGTTCATATTCGAAGACTGCAGATTTGAACATATAAATGTTCAGGACTGAAAAATAAAATAGTTTAATCAGACAGCAATCCATTCGATGGGTATGTTTACATTAAGATTTTCAATCTTTTTTAATCCAAAAGTTCATCGCATAATAAACAGACAGAACAAAGGAAGTACTTGAATGAACCAGTATGAAATGTTTATTTTATTTCCTAAAATTCAGTATGTAACTGCAAGTGTTAAGTATGTATTCCCTCCATTGTGCATAAACCAAGTCATTCAATAATGTACAACATATACAGATTAGAGAATCACATTCGAAATAATTCGTTTCAAAAACGACACTCGGCCGTAATATTCTGTGATATAAAAGCTGCGTTCGACTCAGTGTAGTTCGAGAGACTCATCTACAAAATGCACGACCTTCGACTGCCTGAGTATATCGTCAAGTGGGTGGTATCATTTCTTGACGGTAGAACTACTCAAATAGAATTAAAAACCTTACTATCAAGACCGTTTAGGTTCAGTAGAGGTACTTCGCAAGGATTGCCTCTGTCACCTTTACTGGACAGCATCTATACGTACGATACCATAGTGCAGTATCGGCCCGTTTTCCACGTTTTTTGAAATTTCATTCATAGAGTCGTACGTATAGATGATGTGCAGTAAAGGTGACAGAGGCGATCCTTGCGAAGTACCTCTACTGAACCTAAACGGTCTTGATAGTAAGGTTTTTAATTCTATTTGAGCAGTTCTACCGTCAAGAAATGATCTATAATCTATAATTAAATCATGTCAAAAATTATTACGTTTACAGACGGCTTCAGTTCGGGAATTAGCTAAAATTATTGATCTTCTTTCATCAACTGGACAAGCAGTTTTACCAGCACCATTAAATTATCGGTTTATTCAATTAGAGACGACAAAACAAGTAATTAAACATAAATCATATAAGACTATAATTAATTTCATTGATAATTGTATACAAGAATTAACATGGTGGGTGGAAAATATCAAAGACCATAATAAACGTATATTAATAACAAAAAATCTAGACTTCTTCATAAATTCAGATGCACTAGGAGAAATGGCACTAATTGGCGTGCCTGTCTTAATAATCAATATATTGGAGGAACATGGTCACCAGAGGAACGATTACTACGTATAAATGTATTCGAATTAAAAGCAGCTCCATTCGTCATAAAATCGTTTGATAAATAAAAGAACTAAATAAAAGATCTAAAAACTATTCATATTCATCTTAGTTTTGATAATACCACAGCAGTATCCTACATCAATAAGTTAGGAGGTACACATTCAGTTTTCTTGATTCAAGGTGCAAAAGAATTTTAGAAATATTGTATAATACTTCCTATAAAATAAATATAGTTTAAACCAAGTATTGTATCCCAAATAATCGTCATATAACAACTGAGTATCTTTCAGGAGAATGCAATACACATGCTGATTGCGGTTGAAGGTATTTAACAGATTCTAGTAATTCGAAACTTGATAAACAAATTTTTCATTCGTTAAATAAACTTTTCGGACCGCTCGAAACAGATCTATTCGCTGGCAGATTAAATACTGAACTACAGAAATATTTAAGTTGGAAACCGGATCCATATGCACATGCAGTCGATGCATTTCAGTTGAGCTGGAAAAAGCTTAAAGGTTATGCTTTTCCACTGGTTGCTCAATCTCTAGCGAAAATCGTCAAAGAACAATCAACAATTTTATTAGTAGCACCAACATGGTCCAGTCAAACGTATTATCCGTTATTAATGCAACAATTAATCCAAGATCCAGTTCTGATACCAACATTTCCATAACTTATAGTCGGACGGGTGATGTCCCATATGGCGAACATCACCCGTTAATCGAACAAAAATCGCTGCATCTAGCAGCATGAATGGTATCAGGCGAACCGGAATTTCGCAGCAATTATCAAACAAAGCAAAAAAGATCATTCTCAACGCTCAACGACCAAGTACTCGATCAGCATATGATTCTGCGTGAAGAAAATGGTGTGGCTGGCTTTTGCCACGAAACATTGATCCAATTTCAGTCGATATGGCAACTGTAATTAATTTTTTAACAGAATTATTTGAAGTAGGATTGGAATACATAATTAACACTTGCAGTCACCTAGTGAATGTTATTCATAAAATTCCAATTTCATATCGCGTCCCTGGCGAAAGTAATCATATGATGAGTACGACTTTACTCATAATTCGTCCATGAGTACTCATATTAGTACCACTAACAGTTTTTGAATATTGTTACTCAGTGAGTACTCAGTTACTCATGTGAGTACTCAGAAAATATTCATTCACCGTTTTATTTTGCCAAACTGACACTGTATAAAGAACACGGAATTTAGTGAAGAAACATAGAATATTTATATTATTATTTCCTCACTGGTCTCTCTGTATATAGTCAGGGATGGACTCGTCTATGACTGAGCTTGTAGCCCTACTCTGGCTGTCTGAGATCACTCCACTACATGAAAATATCAGATAAACAATATTCGTGAGTATTTTGTCAAAAGTTATATGAGTACTCAACAATACTCAAGCATGAGTACTCAAAGCCGTACCCACAGTACTCGTTACTGACTCATGAGTACTCATGAGTACTCGGGACATTCAGCACAGTACGACTTTGAGTACTCAGACTTGAGTATATTCACTAAGGATGTTTCACACGCTAATAAAATTCTCTATTTTGTACATTTCTATTAATCTTTCCTGTAAAGTTATAAAATGTAAGTTAACAGCTAGGAAGCTGGGACTCTCCCTTCTTACGAATACTAACGGAACACAGGCCTCCACCCCGTAGAAAATGCTTGTCAGTACATATTTATTGTATCATATTTTTGCAATGTGCTGATTGCTTTTCCATTGAGCTTATAGTTTCTCATTCCCAAAAACAATGTCCACGGTGGCAAGTCCTCTTATATGATCTTGTAAGATGAGTTTCACCTGGGTACCAGTGAGGTTACACATGCAGTGGGTATACGGCGTTACAGGCACACACAACTGCCATACTCGGCGAACTGGCTGGTCGCAATGATAGACAAAGATTTGCTTGTAGCCATCCAGCGAAATTACCAGCATTAGCAACCGTCGTGACATCTGCCTTTAGCGGCGGTTTGTCTACGGGCCAATCAGAAAATGTTGTGACAGTAATAGGTCACTCACCAATTTTTTTCGTTGAGCGTTATGGCTTCCTGTTACTCTTGTCTGTCGACCGTTGAAAACAAGTCTCGTAAAACGTAATTGATGGGATGAAAGTGCTACAGAAACAGGCTGTAAATCAAGATTCTCAAATCTGTTTCTCTTTTGTGGATTCTTCCTACCGTTACTGAGATATTTGGGAGCGCTCTGTATAATGTAGACCAGAAAATATCTCAGTAACGGTAGGAAGAATCCACAAAAGAGAAACAGATTTGAGAATCTTGATTTACAGCCTATTTCTGTAGCACTTTCATCCCATAAATTACGTTTTCCAGCACAAGAAGTGCATGAAATACGAGGCTTGTTTTCACCGATCTACAGACTATATTACCGTAGGAATGAAAGATGTGTGATCAGATAAAAAAAGATTAGCTCGAGCCATGTCCATATCTTATCCCAATTTAGCTTCTTGGAAGTTGAACTGAACTGCACATATTTTCAAAAATTAGACACCTTAATCAGACTTGCAAGAAATAAAATAAAGATGAGTTGTACATGCATGAGAACGGAGTTTTATTTTATGCATTTTTTGGTGTTGGAGAAATATAAACTTATTGGATGAAAGTTTTAGATTTAAAATAAATGATATTTCATTTCCAGTTTTATTTTTTCGTACCAATTGTGATTAATAAATTATCAAGTGTTCCATATTATAGGTGTTGTCCTAATAGGCCAAATTTCAGTAACTGTAAGGTTACGAAAAAAAATTCATTTACAGTGTTAATCTAGAAAACACAGTCGGGGACTAGTCTAATTCCCTACTTATAATGAGTTAGTTCTTACTCCCTTTCATGTTTCTTTCTAAATAGAACAGTCTACACGCAATGAAGGGCTTTGTCTTGCCTTTGTTTGTTTGAAGAAATTTTGAGATGAATAAATCGGATACTGAGGATTTTGTTTGCCTTAACTAGATATGCTCAAAAAATTAATAAAAGAGAGTCCTTTTTAACCGCACGTTTATCCAATAATCATCTTTCAATTAGAATATCTTTTTGTGTTTTCTAGATGGCAGAAAATAATTTATTAAGTCTTGGTGACATTGTCAATGCAGTATATGTGGAACGTATAAAAGTTTTACGAGAAAAATGTAACGAAACTGGTGATGATCCGAAGCCGTGGGTTGAAGCAACGATAAAGAATCTTCGTGTAACTATCGTAGATCAGTTGTATTACTAATCATTTATTTATTGATCTTTTTTTGTAGAAAATGGTTGCTGAAATGATAGACGAAGACCGAAAATTATACGAGCGTAAAATGAACGAAATTAACGCAATCAAATTAAAACATAATCAGTTGTGGAAAGAATTACATCCAGATAAAGACTGTCCAACGTATGATGATCCATTACCTCTTTTACCAGCATTACGAAAATATGAAGAAGAATATCACAGATTAAAAGAACAACATACAAAATTATTAGAAAAAGAACCGGAAATTAGACGCGAAGAACAAGAATTATGTAATGAACTGAACGAGCAACCATTGACTATAGATAAAGATACATTGTTAGTTACATGTATGAGTTTTATCACAACACATATTATAGAATTACGAGAAGAGAAGGTAAACTAGCAATTTTTGTATACAAAAATTGTTGTTATATCATGACTTTTTGCTTACTGATGAAAAAACTCCCTGGCATCAAGCTGGCAGCAGTTTATTCTAATGCTTACTTTGTTGCTCTTTAGACAAAACGTATCGATAAATTAAATACGTTTGTATCAACATTAAAAGAATTTGAAGAACTATACGGATGGAAATGTCCGACAATCGAAACGATGATTGGTCGTTTATTAAATATTGACGATATTTCAAAATTTTCATTAACAAAAGAAGCTATTGAACTTGTGGAAAAAGAATTCAATGAAGTAGGCGTGTATTTTCTTCTCCTGTTTTCATAGAATAACGATGTGTTGTCTCTTCTTTTTTAGATATCGGAACAAGTTAGTAATGCTGAACAAAAATTTGAACAATCAAAAAATCTTTTAAAAGATTTAATTCGTAAACATCGTTCATTAAAACCAATAAGCGAAAACATAATCAAACATCAACAGTGTCGTCTATCAGTACTACCGAACGTTAGTAATGAATTTTAATGTTTTTAAGAAATAACTGTTTTTGTTTGTTTTTAAGCTTACTGCTGAAGTTGATCGCTATAAAGAACATGCAATGGACAAATTAACATCAGAAATAATGAAAGTACGTGAACAAATACATTTTATATTGGATAAATTATCGGTTGGTCAAGTTAATAGTGATCCAAAATATGCAATTTTACATGAAGGTAAATAAATAAATAATAATGACTGGTAAACTTTCAGGAGTGAACATCAATTTGTGTATCTATATATTAGATGAGTTTACGGAAGATTTACAGTATATGCATGAAGAATTATTACAAGAATTAGAGGCAAAATATGAAGCAAATAAAGCAATGTATGAACAAATTGAAAATTGGGATGATCTGTTTCGTGAATATCAAGATTTTGAAGTATATTATTAGTTACTTCAAAATAATCAGAAACAATTATTTTATTGTTATATTATCTAGAAAACGTCAACAGATCCTGATCGTTTTTACATACGTGGCTATAGTGCCATAACAGAATCAAAAACACGTAAACGATTAGAACAGCAATTGAAAGAATGTGAATTAAAACTGCAAGCGTTGGATGAGGATTATCAACGAAAAAATAATAATCAAGAATTCAAAATCAATGGTCTGAGTATAATGTCATATATTGCTCAAGTAAAAGAAGATCATCAAAAATTGAGAGGACGTGATCAACGAGTAAGTGCTGATAGAAATACTCACTCGATACAAAAAAAATGTTTGCACTAGGTTCACTGACAGATAAATGTAGCACTTATATTGTAGTGCACATCTTTGCCCACAAAAGACTACTTGTTCAGTAAACAGAAGAGCTAAGGAGGATCTCTAGTAAGTTGATTATTCTATTTTTCGTTTTGTCTCGAAACTGAAAATAATAATTAGAGGATCTTTTTTACGTACCTTCACTAGACAAAGTTCACTGATAAAATTTGACTTTATTCATATGAAAATAACTATCGCAACAAATATGTTCTTTTCCGATTAATTTTGTTTGAAGAACGAGATACCAATGATCACGGGAAAATCTTTGTATACCACCACTGACGACGCAGTTTTCCTTAATGTTGATCTAAGAAGTGATGATTTCTACTCGATCATATATTCTCGTTTTCTAAGGTCAAAGATTCATCCACAAACTTCTTTTTTCTCTAGTATAGGCATTCTGTTCGATGCACAGACGATAAGGAGTGAATGAGTGATTAATAAAAATACATTGAATATTTACAAAATTATTTGTTTTTCATTAGGATCCATCACGTAAACCATTAGAACCCAAAACAACTGGTTGTATAGCAGGTGGTCGAGTTCGTTTAATAGATGATAGTGGTGCTTGTGCACCGTCGTTATGTGTACCAGTATCAAAAAAGCAGAAAAAAAGAAATTAAATTTTCAAATATTTGACATTTAAATTTGCATGTGTCTTTAATTTAAATATTTTCAAAACAATTTTGTTTATTTGTGTTGAGCTTTTTTTTTGCACCTATGCGGATGATATTTTTATTAAATTATTGGATGGATATAAAGAGAGAATAATATATGTTTATAAAAAAAAGAAGTTGAATCGAATATACTTTTAACTATTGATATCCAAGTTGCACTAATTCGAACCTCGTGTGCTTAATATTTCTTTAAATACTTTATCGCTATTATGTCTCTTTAAGGAATGCTTAACCAAAGTCTTTGGATGCATAGACTGTTTACATTTCAAGCAAAACACAGCAGTTCATCGTTTTTACTTGGTGTGAGGAAAAATTACTAAATGAAAAACGAGACTGCTGCATTTTGTTTTATCTGGATAAAGTCTTTGTTTTCTGAACTATTAACTGTTTTTTAGCGTTTGTTTGCATGAAAACAAAATAAAAACAAATTTCCATGCTCATTTTAAATTGTTATTTGTTATTTATTATATTCATCCCTATTTTAGATGACTACACCGCAAAAGTTGAATAAAAGTCACCCGAGACCGTGTACAGTGAAGAAATAATGGTAAGAAAGTCGCCCTAGAGTGTTGGGGAATTTATAGGAGTTCATTTCAAATTTAATTGAACATGTGTTTTTAACAAAAGTTTTATGATACCAATAACAAGCGTTATACTCATCTAAGCTACTTATCTCGTACAATCTTATAAAATTGTCTTTGAAATTTTTTTAATATTTTGCTTCACAGTTAAACTAAAAATTTATTAACTTATGCGAATTATTTTGTCTACTATATTCTTTTTCCAAGTAATTTTGTATCAGATTTTTGTGCGGACACAATCTTCATGAATGCATCTTGACTGTTCTTTTCTTTTTTTGCTATACTTTGTTATTTTACTGAAATAAAAAATAAATCTTGTTTCTGCTAACGTTCTAGTAGGTTAACCAAACTTCACCAACAACTTTACGCCCACAAACATCCAATACTTTTGAACACTAGAAAGCTTAATGGTATGGTCGAAGCTTCTATTCTAGAAAATAACATTTTACGTCTGGATTTGACAGTCTTGATCGCAGTACATTGACGGATAGAAAATTTATTCAACTTTTCCTTAACAAACTGTCTCACCAATGAGCATTTTTATTTTTTGTATGAAAAATAATAGCATACTCTTTACAAAAGGTAAAATAAATACATGACGATATGTACAAAACTTAATATTTTCTAAACGATAATCGAAGAAGATAACAATTCGACATTATCCTGTTGAATGGTAGGAGATCCAAGTTTACAATCTGAAGGATATGCGTAATTTGGATTTGTGAAAGCTGTTCGATTCGAAGAAGCAGATGATGTAGACGATGACGAACTGTGTTGCTGTGTCTTCCGTCGGCGTTTTAATCGATCAAACCTCTCTTTATTACATGTAATAAAACGATCAATTTCTTCATTGTTCAATGATAAACTTTCTTTATTATTCGTATTTATTGATTCCGAGACTATAATTTTATTTGTGTTGTGTCTATTGTGATCATTAATAGACGAAAGAACAGCCATACCACTTGTCACAATTGTTGGCGTATTTACAAGTTGGGCGCGTTCAGGTTTTAAATGAATAAAATCAAGAGAATTTTGTGAAGAATAAATGTTCTAAAAACAAAACAATGATAAGCATTAAGAAGCGGTGACAGTTTCTCAGTCTCAACGTTGTTTCTTTCACAGAAAGAGATGGCACTGCTGTACAAATGTGAGGTCACTATGAGGATAAGTTTGAAACATTAAAGTAAAAAAACATTTGATTCTTTGTGTGAGTGTATCATTACTTTTTCAGATCTGATGTCTTTGATCGACATTTGATTTGTATCTGTTAACACCAAATTTCTCTTCATCGGTTTAGCGTATGTGACTGACGGTGGTGAATGTGGATTGATATTTTCATCGTTTTCAGTTCGAAATTCGTTAATAAATTGATTAACATAATCGTGTGTACAAGGACGACCAATCGATTTTTCAGAAAATAAAAAAGTTGACAGCATGTGACCATTCTGTTGCATTTCACCGTTACAGTCTATTGTTAGTTTTAACAAACGCATATTAGTGTTTGATGAGACGACATTAGTCGAAGCAGACGATTCTATATCGATCATCAACGGTTGATTATATGGAACGAAATTTGGTAGTCTTCTGTGATTATCGATTAAATCATAGATTTTATTCTCAAACGATCTTGGTGTAACATTGTTTGACCACATTCAAACATAAAGCCTAAATAAAACAAATGAAATTACTATTAGTCAGTACAAAATACATGAATAAATATATGCAAACACTGTTTACATCGATCGTTGCACTATAATCATATGCCGCTTGTCAAGTCGTTCTACAATTGAGACAAAAAAAACAAATCATTTAGTGGAAACACCCGCTAAAATTTATAAACCAGTATGAAATGGTTCGAAAAAAACAGATAGGCTGGAACAGAAGAACACTGTGATTTTATTATTCTCTATCATCTACAATGGTCTACAGATAAATTCTGAGTGCTCAGTAACTGGGATTAGAGATGCGTAGGATAATCTGGCCTAACGAACCTTTCACATGACATGAGAGCAAAGAAACCGTAACGAGATCGGGATTTTTGATCTTGATTTGTACCATTGGTAGCCAAAAACTTCAAGTTTTTTTTTCTCGCTGATATGAGACCGTAATCTCAACGTCAAAAAGACTAGTTCGTACATCTCTGGCTAGGATACGTTGAAAAGATTACGTTTATTGGTCAGATTTTTTCATCGATACATGCAGACGAACTTCAGATAATAAGCAGATAAATAAATAGAGAGAAAGAAGTACACTGTAATTGGAATTCAATTCTAATTTATAGAAAATCGATCTCGAAAATGGCCGGTGATTTTCTGACTTTTATAAATTCCCTGTCAGTTTTTTGGCTTTCTATTTTCTAGCAAATCGACTCGATTTTCTATAAATTGAATTTTCATTTTATTCAGAAAATCGCCGAGCATTTTCTATAAATAATTCCCAACACTACAGTGTAATATCACAGAAGAAATTCAATCAATAATTTTAAACAGCGTAATTGGTTCACGAGAATGGCGTTGATCATCGAGAAAACATTTATAAATTGTTAGGTTTTTATTCAAAACCGATTCGTTTATCTCCGATTCTAATCTTCCTTTAAACATTCATATAACTGTTTCCGCTGCTTCGATCTCTTGAAAAAAAGGAGAACAAAAGGGCAGTTTACAGATCAAGAATACTGTAATTTAGTTATTCTATTGTCAACTATACTAGTCTTCTTTTTTCCTAGACAAATTTTGAGCACTAACACCTGGGATTAGGGATGCCTAAGATTGACTTGCCTTACAGGACCTTTCCAAATTTGACTGTAATTATATTTTTAAAAAAAGAGAGAACTGCTTCGTTATTTTGTCTCTTCTTATGTGATACCTAGTCTCGGCTAGAAAGTTTTCTATTTATGTGATTTTCTAACTGAAGCTCGAATTTAGAATCTCGATCATCCGTGTCGTGGTTTTTTTCACTGAATTATTGCACGATCAGCCGTCATAAATCAACCACGTCTTTAGAAACAGCTTTTATCACCATTTAGAATCTGGATGATATTAGACTAAAAAGGTTATGATCTGCATAACAAGAGATCTCATCCTTTTAGTTGAAATACTCTTTACACTTACCTATTGTCCTACTTTTGCTTTGTCGTCTGAACTCGACTATATGTCCATCATTCATTTTTTTCTATGTATAAGCATGTACGTACAACATATATTTTTCGTCGTCTCCTTCGCTATATAGACTACAAATCAATCTATTTTGTCCGTCAATCTTCTTTCTGTCAATGATTATTGGATATATTAAATATGATGTAAGGCACACTTTTCCCTATTTGAGAAATTTTAGCAGATGTTTAAAAAATAAACGTTCACACTTATATTCAATGTAATGCACAATGACAGAGACTTTTCATCTCATATCAGCGACAAACAGTGTATAATTAGATTTTAAGGCACCTTTGGATGCAGAGCTTAGTATGGACAATTTAATATAGAAGTATAAAGATAGGTATCATACACCGGTGATCCATGTTGGGTGCACCATTCTTATGGGGCACCGATTGTTAATCGTTCAAATTTCAAACAGATCAGCAACAGAAATAAGGACAGTTGACCATGAAGTTACATACTAGAACGAGTATGTGAACAGTCACAATATAGGCTAGCTGAAAACTTATTGTTTTGAAGAGGATCATGACGAGTCAACATTTTTAGGAAAGTTCAATAAAGTTCTTTTTCCGAAGAGCACAGAAAGAGGCAGGGTGTGGGAATGGATGGCATCGTCCAATTCCTTCGGTTGCAATACACATTTTTCTTTCAAAAGATTTACTATCAGGGACTTAGTTTAGATATTTGCTGAAAATAAAAGCTTGAGTTTGCCTGCCATTAGCAATAAAAAGCTTCTATGGAGTTTCGGATTCATATTTCTAAAATTAATTTTATTGTTTGTTCTAATTTATCGCGAGATCCATTTGAACAAATGTAAAAAACATGTTCTAGTATCGTTAGTGAGTCTTTTGTTATATTCTTAACAAGGTCAGAGAATAATACGTAAATCATACGCGAAACAGCTGACAAGATTTTTCTTTCTAGTACGTATGTATGTGTATATATGTATACGGACGAGACGACATATGTAAATTAATCTATCATGTGAAGAAGAATAGAAAAACCGCAAAAATATAAAAGAAAAGAGAGTGATAGGTTGATGCTTTGAGTAACTTCACTGAGGATGCAACGTTAAGATTATTACATCTGACAAAAGATTAATTAGGTTATAAACACGTGGTGCTAGGCGAATCTACTGTGTATCTACGTAGATAAATTTCTTACACATTTTTTCAATTTATAATACGTTCAAATGCAGCATATGAAGTGTGAGTATAAAGAAAAGCAAAAAAAATCTTTTTTTTTTGCGTCTTTTGGGCACAATATATATAGGCAACACGACGAGCCAAAACGAAGAAAGCAAAAAAAAATGTCAAGAGTAATACAACTTTTATGTAGACACACACGCATATTTTTTTTAGAAAAATTTTGTTCAGTTACATGTTTATTTGACAATATGTCTGTGTATTATATTTAGATTGAAATGTGGATGCAAAAAATTATGTTCGACGGCGAACATTTTATCCTGGAGAAAAAGAAAGGTGACGGAAGATAAAACAGTTGTATAATCGTATAACAGATGTATAAGCGGGGTTAGTGAAGTAAAAAGATGTAGATCGATCAATTATAGTAGATTAATTAAAGTTCTCTCTTAGGTTTCAGTTATATCAAGAATGAATACTGATAGTATCACCAGTTTAAAATCATTATGGAAAGATCGCATTGAAAAAGAATTAAAACAGGCTCGTAGAAAAGTTGATTTACGTCTTCGTCAAACTGCCATGTAAGTTCTCTATTTTTCTTAAAAAAAGAACTTTTCTTTTATCCTCGTTGAGCTTGTTTGTAGACCATTATTAACGAGTGCTGCTCAACGTATTAGTTTAAGACATAATGAAGCAAAATTAGTTTCAATTTGTTTACCTTCACCTACACTACCTATAACTGGAAAAAAACCACTTTATACGTCCTGTTCAATTGATAGTTTAACAACAGAAAGACTAACATGTCCGCTTACACTTTTACCACATGTCAGTCCTTTACCAAATATGTTTACTTATGTTCCACTTCAAAGTAATTTTTTGGTAAGTTCAGAAAAAAACAGTATCTTCCACTAATAGCTATTAAAAACTTTGATGTGGTTGAATAAAACGTGAATTCTTTTTATGTTTAGTGTGACACAGTTACGTCTGTTGATATGGATGATGAGGATTGTGTCAAGGCACTTACTGAATCACTGGACCAACAAAGTGAGTTAAAATAATATGTTTTTTAAGAAATGTCATCTTGTCTCTATTTAGATAAGCGTTCTCCGGTGAAATTGTTGAGAGCTAGTGATCGAAAACCATTGTCAGGAGAAAAAGAGTTTACATTTGATGAAGAACTTATTCTAGAATTATTCAAGAGATTGAAACGAATTTGTCAGCCAGAAGATGAAAACGTTATTTATGATACGTTAAATGGTAAATAACAGAAACATGTTTATTTTTACATACAATACATGTTTATTTTTGTGATTTAACTAGTTTTTTTGTTTATAGACCTTTATCCATCAGCAGCAGATTTAATTCGTGATCGTTTTGGTCATGTATTTGAAACAAAGCGTGTTCCACAAAAAGAATTTACACCAAATATTGACAATGTCAATGTGGCATTAGATGCAACAGCGGAAAAAACATTACATTCATATTTTATGTTATTTTGTCGACGTTGCCATCGGTATGACTGCTTTCTTCATAAAGATAAACAAACCATACCCGATATTTATCGCACACCAACATTATCGCTGCATGATAGTGATGCTAGTAATCAAATTCCATGTAGTCGTTATTGTTATCGTTATACAATTCCGTCCACACCCGAAGTACCCACATCATCTTCTTCGACACTAAATCCAGTAAATCGTCGTCATAGTGAGAAAAAAAGAAGTATTGATACAATTTCGTTTGATGCGATCAATGGACTCAAACGTTGTCATAGTGAATTATCGACTGATATCCAAAAATTAACAAAACTGAATGAAAATGGATTCAAAAAGCCAAACGGCTATGAGAAGACAATAAAACGTCAACGTTTATCCTTGGATAATGATTTAAATCAAACAACAAACCAAAATAGAGAAGAAAAATGTACTTCAACAGGTTAAACAGGATTTATAGTTATTCATTATCCTCCTATTAGAAATTTCCACTTTTGCCACTCATATCTCGAATTCCTATAAAGTATATTGTTTGTTTTAGTGAATCATGAAGGACATTCTGAAGAAATTTTGAATCGAAATGGTTTCGAATCAAAAACAAAATCGAATGCAGGATTTATCACTACAAATAATAATAAACAATCAAAAAAAACAAAAATTAATGGTATGAGATGTTCTTTGTGTTGTCCGGATAATTGTTTATTGAAAAATTCTTTGATGGAATCTTCAATTGACGACACGGAGACAACTGTTTGGTCAACAAGTGATAAATCATTATTTCGTGTTTTCTACTGTGTATATCGTGATAACATATGCATTATTGCAAATTTACTTGATAAACGTTGTGATCATGTTTACGAACACTATAAAAATGAATTAAAATCTAATAAATTACCCGTTAAAAACGATAAAGAAAATAGTAGTGTAAAAAAATCATCATCAAACAATAATAACAGCACTACCGACACTAATCTATCCGATACGTTTTTTTCTGGTGTGTCATCACCATCCTCGTCGTGTTCAGATGATGTACAAAAACCGAAACTACCAGATCTACCGTGCAACCGTAAGGAATCGTTTGAAAGTGATAAGTCAGGTAGTAGTGAAACAACAATCAAAGATGAGGAAATAAGTCAACATCAATCAAAGATGACAAATGGTGTTGACGGCGAAAATAAGCAGGTATGTTATCGCCTGTTGTCGAAACATCGTACAATGACAACCTTAGTCATCAGAATCCGTGTAATCAACTTTTAAAACTGTTGTGTTATTTCTAGGATGATTCTGTTAGTACATCCAATCATCGAAAACCAATATCTTTTCGTCGTCAACGCAGCACAAATCGATTATCAGCTGCCTTTATTAAACGTCATACCTATTATCCGTGTGATCATGAAATAGGACGTTCGTGTGATCAAAATTGTTATTGTGTTAAAACTGGTAATTTTTGTGAGAAATATTGTGGTTGTGATCGAAAATGTGAAAATCGTTTTCAAGGCTGTCGTTGTAAATCTTTATGTAATACAAAACAATGTCCGTGTTATGCGGCTGGACGGGAATGCGATCCGGATCTATGTTGTATATGCGGTGCAAATGATTTTACACAACATGATAAAAAATCAGCATCTACAAATGGTTTAACATATATAACATTGTCAGATAAACAAATGCTTTATTGTTCTTCAAATCCTTCTTCCTCCTCATTACCATTCTCTAGACTATATTCATCTGGTAATACACCGGCATCAATTGCAGCAACATGTCAGAATGTAGCTATACAACGTTCTCTACATAAACATTTGTTATTAGCCGAATCTGATGTTGCCGGTTGGGGAATATTTATACGTGTTAATGTGCAAAGAAATGAATTTATAGCTGAATATTGCGGAGAAATAATAACACAAGATGAAGGTGAAATAAGAGGTCGAATGTATGATCACGTTGGAACAAGTTTTTTATTTGATTTAAATGAAGAATACATGGTAGATGCGACACGTCGTGGTAATAAAATTCGTTTTGCTAATCATTCAATTAATCCAAATTGTTATGCGAAAGTAATTATGGTTCGTGGTGATCATCGAATAGGGATCTATGCAAAACGACATATATGTTCTGGTGAAGAACTATTTTTTGATTATCGTTACGGTCCAAATCAGCATTTAAAATTTATTGGTGTCGAGAAACAACTCGATAATCTGGCAAATGACTCAAACTGAATATTGTTTTTCTATTTGGTTGCGCTTTTTTTCCGCCAAATGTGATTTTATCCTTTTTGGGACATTCTCAGATTCTTAGACAAAATTTGTTACGTATAGTAAATTTCATGTCATTGTGCATATTCTCTGCACCGTCATCGCTTATCAATTCTTCTCTAGAGAAGACAAGTGTTGATTTTCATATTTATATTTTAGAATTTGTGTTATCTTCTATTCGTTACCTTATGCTGAACGCTAATTATTCTCTTTACTTTATGTACTACTGTTGACCAGTTAAACTAGTTTTGTTGTCCCTTTGAGCTTGTTTATTTGTATTATATTTAGCCGGCTTTCACCTTTCTCGCATTATTGTGACTGTGGAAAATGATCATTCCACGTTTTGTTGTCTTTTGTTGGCGCACTACGGTTCTCCTTTTTGTTTTCTCAACACTCAGGGATACTTTTACTCATGTGCGTGTGTGTGCATTTCTAAAATAGAAAATTGAGTTATAGTTTTTGTTTCAACTAAAAGATTGTTTCATTCCTAGTTGATCAGTTAGAATCTGATCGTATTATATCGTCTATGCTTTAATATAACTGGTTTTGCATTTTTGATGCTTTTGGTAGAATTAGATTGTTAATGTAAATGCTTATTCAACTGTTATTCTGTTACAACCATTTTACCGTTTTTTTTGTGTTAACTTGGCTTGTGTCAAACAGTTATTGACTAAAAATTGTAAAAAAATAGATGGCAGTAAATCCGAACTCAAAAGCAAACAAATACATCAAACTAAATCGTGTCTGCTTAAAGTATTATCCAATTTGAATAGCTGGATATGCCAGTTCACTTTTTTTATCAACATTATGGTGTATAGTACTGCTCATTTATGAGTAATCTATTTTCCAGAACTATCTATTGTCTTATTTAATCTCGTTAAACGAATACAATTTCAAAATCCTGATCCAAATTATCCATCACTAATGTATATAAATTAAAATAAGTATACCACAAGAAATCTAGTGCAATACAATGGCTAATATCTGTTATGTGTATAATTATGATATTTATAATGATATTTGTCTCTAATGATAGACATTTTACTTTTTAGTGGATAAAATTAACTTTTTTAAAAGCTATGAAGTTATCATAATGGATAAAATGCTGGTAAACGTGAGTTAAGATGAAGGAACAAAACAAATTATTCAATGATTTATTCAATATGTATTCCATTTCTACATGTAATTCTTTAGATAAACAGATGTTCTGCCATTTCCACATCGTAACTGACAACATCCAAAATCCATTTATGTATTTGAAACACATGAATTCGAATTTTAAAAGTTTCTACGCAATTTAAAAGCCATATATATCTGATTTTTAATACGTATGACATTCTGTTGTGCAAGCCCACAATACACAAAAATTAATTAAAACAACAATATGGTTTCATGATGATTGGTTTCCTGTTTAATCAGTTGAAACATCAAGAATTGATAGAAACGAAGAAAGAACTATTGGCTGCTTGAAAAATAGGCGTTTAAAAAAAAAAGTTTGTACCAAATTTTGTACTTTGTTCGTTTGTTGATGTAACCACAATAACCGTAATCCGTTAATTAAAATCAAGAGTACTGGCTATTAATAAAATATTTGAAGATCGAACAATTCTTTACGCCAATAATATTCGTTCGTTTCGCTTTGAATGCAGAACTATCAGTTATTCAACAACTTATTGAAAAAATTGAATAGTAACAAGAAAATGTAGAAGAATAGTGTGATCAATAAAAAAATTGTCAAATTTTTTTGTCTATTTTTCTTTATTTAGTTAATTGTGGAAAAAGAGAATGAAGTACGGTTGTTCGATTAAGACTTTTATTATGTATCATTCACATTGGCCATCTTTTAGGAAACGATGATAATTGGTAGCTATCTATAAATAATGGTTTCCCAATAATAACGACTTTCTGTTTTTCTCTGTTACTCTCTTCGAAAATTCACAACTGTAACTTACCATCATTCGAGTTAAAATTCACTTAAAGTGTACAACGAATACTATGAGTCCATAAGACGATATTCGTCCTTCTATACTGGACTGTTCACACAATATTTACATCAGAGAAACATAACTAATACCAATAAATATAAAATAATAATACAAAATGTTAAATAATAGATAAACGCTTTTCTCTACCATTTGTCACTCAATCTCTTTCAATGGGTAGATTGTTTCAGTTGTTCAATACCATCAAGTGACATTCCATTCTATTGCTTTGACAAACTCTTCTTCTGTAAACTGAAGCAGTTTTGATGCTTCCAAATGTAGCTAAATACAGAATTACAATTCAAATCTCTTCATTCTAAATAGTACGTCTCTTTACTTTCTGCTTTTTCAACACGTCAATTAATTTTAATTGTCTTTTGAATGCATTCATTAATTCTAAACGCTGTTTTTCTAATTTTCTATTCTCATTCGTCAATTGTTCAATCTTTTTCTAGAAAAAAATTTATTTGTTTTCTTTTACTTATAGAATTTAATATCATAACATTTAATTTACTTTGTCTTGTTCGGTTAGATCTTTGGTGGTTGATTGCATTTTTTGTAGTTGTTGTTTATAACGTTCAGCCTAGAATTAATGATAACTGTGAAGAAAATATTGAAAAAGAAACCATCATCATTATTTTCTAACTTCTTCTAATGCTCGATTTAATTTTGTGTCCGATTGATTTTGTTCTTGTGATTGTTTTTTTGTTTGTCGTTTCATTTGATCAATTTCTTTTTTAACAGATGATAACTCAATTTCTGTTGTGTCTAATTTTGTTTTTGAATCTGTTGATAATTTTTTATGTTTTTCTAATTGATCTTGTAACGATGTTATTACACGACTTAAACGTGAACGTTCATCATCGGTTTCTTTCATTTTTATTGTTAATTTTTCATTTTCATCATCCTATACAATGACATTGTTATTATACTTTTATATTTTATTCTGAATGATGGTGTACCAACTTTAAAACGCATACTAAGACCTTAAAATTCGTCTTAATACATATTTAGATTAATTAATTTATCTTTTATCATATAAACGAGTATAGTTCAAAATCGAATGCTCGTCACATCGTTCTACTATTTCAGGATATAACCATTCTGCTACTCTAGCTACTGACAAGTGAATATGGTAGTGTCCCAGCGTCTGCATGCATGTCTTCACTCACCCGTTTAATACATTCGGTATGCATTCGTTCCAGTTCTTCTTGCATTACTCTTAAACGTGCTTTAAGAAAACGAATTTTTGCCTCTAAAAGAGAATGATTGATTCGATTTTAAACTGTTAAAATAATACGATATAGAAACGCACCTGTGCCCATATCTTTAGCGGCGGCTGGTAAAACATCATCATTTTCATCATCATTATTCGAATAACTATTGAATATTTTATTGGTATCACGTTGATTTACTTTTGTTTCAATATCATAAACAGTTTTATCAAATGTTGTTTTTGCTTTTGCTTGTATAGAAACATAGTCGATTTGTTTATCATCAATTATGGCTACACCATCGCCAATTTTTGGTTGAAATTTACTAAATGAAAAATGTTGAATACATGCAGACAAATTTTCCAAGTGTATTAAATCTAATACAATTATTTTTTAAATGATTTTTTAAGTATTATAAAAACAACATATGCCATACGTTATGGATGATCTTCTACTTCTTGCCGATAATGATTTTTCATTTCCATGTGACGGATCCGGTCTCTAAAAGAGAATAGTCAATCAATTATATTCCATTTTTGTCTGTTATAACGGCATACCTTTATTTCTTTTACTTTTGTAGTGGTGACTTGTGTAATGTGATAGTCACTTCAATAGAAAATAATTTAGTTGAAAAGAATGGCCATCTATGAGAAAAATGTGCGAAACTTACTCATATATATCGTCTGTATCAACTTGATCTAATAAACTATAATTTCGTGCAACTGCTGGTTTCTCATTTAAAAGTTTATCTTGATTTCTCTAAATTCGTATTCTTATTTTTCATTCATTATGTTCTTTCATATGAAAAAACATGGATCACTTACCAGGACTTGTTCTGCTTCTTCCACTAGAGCAGCTGTTTTTGCTTCTAGCTGTGCATTCAAACGTCTAAAGTTATAAAATACACATTTATGATGTAAAAATGTTTAAAATTGAACTTGCTTATATTCTTCTTCCTGATCAGCTAAATCTGGTCGAGAAACATTTTCATTTCGTTGTGTTGCTGATGGTGTACGTGTAACGGGTTTTGATCTATCCGATGTTTGCATACGACTGGAAGAACTTCTACTATTAGACATTGTCAAAACTATTCTAAGAGAGATAGAGAAAAAATGAGTTTGTAAATGTCTTGTCTACAATTTGTAAATCAATACTAGATGTTGAAACTATTCTTGTAATCTGAAGATTTCATTAATCTATATGGTTTGATTATTAAATATAATTTTCTTCGCTCCCATATTTAAAACACAAAAAAAATTCTTTATCATACAAGTTAATGATATGATTAAAAACAAAAAAAAACAAAAAAAAAAAAATATCGAATTCAAATCAAGTCTACAAAAGATAAAAGAATCAAAATTTTCAAGAGAATAGATAAAACATATTAATGGCAAGATTATTGAAAGAATAGTATTGGTTAGATTAGATTAGAAACATCCGTTAGTGAATATGTATGCCCTACACCTACGTTTTTAAATAGAATTCAGATGTCCTATGCACAAATAAAATATCTTCTTTACATGAAATATTTCTCACGCATGGATTTAAAATTGATTATTCAAGTTTAAGTAACTTGAATAGTCTTAAATTATCATATTTGAATGATGTGGCATAAGATTTTAACTATCTTTCTCACATGTTTGTACGCCGATATTCAAAGTTCAGTTCAATAAAGTTATTTAACAAACATACTTTCTACCAATTGCAACTGACACATATAAACAATTTAACAAGAAAAAGTGGAAGAAAAGTAACAGATGTAAGATTCGTACACATTAGTGGCGTTATTCTAATTGAGCAAAGTAAAAAAACAAGAAATGTCGTAGAAAAATAGATTTTCGACATTAACTAGAAATTTTTAACCAATAAACCTGACATTATTAATATGGACACAAATGAAACTAGAAATAATTTTAAAATTATGAGTTTGAAACAATAATAGTGATGAAGATATACAAATATGTAGTAATACTGATTGTAGCACAAAATTTCATGAAAAAAAACCGTTAACGATCATAAGTGTCTTTACGACCCTTTGTACTTGGTAAACGAATTGTTTGTTGTCGAGCAAGCTGAGAAGATGGTGATTGTTGATGTAAAACAGCATTACGAGCGTATGGATAAATACCAAACATAGCCGGCGGCGGTACTAATTTCTAAATAAAAAACAAAATAAATCACATTATATGAACAAAAAAGAATAACAGATAGTATAGACTAACTCTATCTCCAGGCGTCTTGAGCAGTACTTTATTCAGTTTTGCCGATTTAACATCATGATTTGAATCCTAGAACAAACAATAGAATCATATAATTATGTTCATGTTATTGATGAATACTCACGCGAGCAACAACCGAGAGCTTGGAAGACGGACGAACATCGCCTTTTGTAGGTGAATACTAAATCAACATAAAACAGAAGAATTCTTATTCAATTCCCTAACAAACAAGCGGTGCACACATACAAATGGTCTGGTTGTTATATTTGGCATATTAGCTACAAGCAAATGACTATCGCTTCCATAGATTGGACGTCGATCATTGTTCCTAAAAGAATTTATTTATCTTGAATTTTGTTATTTTTTATTTTTGATACATTACTTACCAAGGATATTTTTGACTCTGTTCCAAGCTACGACTTGTACAGTAACTGGGTACAGTTGAACTCACCATTGATGAAACTGAAATGTGAAAAGATACAATGTTTTATGCATGAGCTGATATGAAAAGAACTGAGCGTCGTACTTGTTGAATCGATATCAGTCTGTTCAAGATTATCCGGTTCATGTTCTGTAATTTATAAAGGTAACGTTAGAGATTAGACAATGACATTTTGTATAAACTCATTTACCGTAGATAAATCGAGAACGGTTTATCTTTTTTTCAATCGATTGTTGACGTGTACGGTTGTTGGAAGGTGAATCGGAACGTATATCTGACTTATTTTGCTAGAAATGATAAATTTTTACAGTTTTAACGATCTATTACACAAAACCCAATGTTACTAACCACTATTAACATTGTTTGTCTAGAAGATGATCGAATAACTGGTATTTCATTAGGATGACAATCAATTGTACGACTGCGAATTAGTTCACGATTCCACTCATGCATCTAAAAGTATGCTATATTCGTTAGGATTTCATTTTCGAGTAAGTCTAAGGTAGGATTCAGAAATGTCACTAAACCACGAAGTACTTATAATTCAAGTATTCAACATAATATAAAAGAAATATTATACCCGTGGTCTTTGTTCCATAGCGCTGGTTTCGTCTCTGTTGCTATTTAATTGTGATAATCTAATTTCTCTATGTTGCTGTTGCTGCTGTTGTTGTTGTTGTGACAGATTATTTTGATCTGATGAGGATGAAGATGAAGTTGTATTGATATGCATTCCATTCATTGAATTGTTTGTACCTGGCACGATGGCCAACGAACTACGATAAATGTTTGGTTCTGGACTTTGTTGATTTTGTTTATCTAATTTTTCTAGTTGTTCATTATCAAGACTAAAGCGTTTGAATCGCTTATCTTTTTGCTGTTTTCTTAGAATAACTCCATTCGATGTATAGACAGATTTTGGGATGGTTGAAATGTGTTGTTGTTGTTGTTGTTGACGTTGCTGTTGCAGTATAACCTGCTGATTTTCATCTAACGATTGTTGACGGTTAATTTTTATGTCAGCCGACTTCAAAGGTTGATTTTTTAAATATTTTTTACCGTGTGAAATGATACTCAGTTCCTCGCTGCTATCTGAATTTGATAAACGGGATGATTTAATCAATTGTTGATGGTTATTCTTTTGTTTACTTGTTTGACGCGTAGACCGTTGATCGTCACTCGCATCCTCACTTGAAGACAGAGATTGTTCTCTGTGAGATAGCTTGGATCTTGTGGGTGATATTTTTAGCGAATGCTGTCCATGACGATGACTGGTACGAGAAGAAGTTTCATTATTGTCTGCTACATGTATCGATTGAGTGTTCCGTCGTTTTAGATGTATTTGCGTTGTTAATTGTTGTGGAGATGCTCTAGAATGTTCCTCCGTTCGTGATGGTGGTGGTATAAAAACAGATATCCGTGATAGATCATTTAATGAAACATCAGTACCACTGTCGATGAGAGGCGTTTTGCGTTCAAGTTCATTGGAACGTTTTTGCTTAAATGATGAATGAGATGTAATTGGAACAACAGCCTCGTTATCACGAGACAAACAAGTGCGTTGCCGATTCTCATACCTAAACGATAACAAGCTTTTATTATTTGTTTTAGCGAAAGGAAGAACTGACAACTTTTTCGACTCTTACGACTTGCCATTTTGAAATAGCTGCCAATTGACTATCGGTCATATCAGATGAAATCAAAAGATCAACAACCTCATCTGGAATATTTTCAGAAAATCGACTTTCCGACATCTGAACAGAACCAAGGACAGTTTTTCTAAACAGTAATTCATAAGCATATATTTCGCTTCATATTCTTATTTTCTATTAGATACATACGCACGTTGTCGTTTCAGACGTTGCTCAGATTGTTTAGGTTGATATCGGGAAAAAGCTTCATGTTGCTTACATTGTTCGGCTGTCCACCGCTCAGTTGCCACTACTTTGAGTGTAATCTGAAAAAAGAATAGTCTACAATCTTTTCTTCGTGAAACTCAACCTAATAATAATATTTACTTTCAATAAGTTGAGTAAATCTGATGGCAGGATATGAGTATAACGTCGTTCCAATGTCTCCAAGTAGTGAATTGCAGGAAACTAATAATGCCAATATAAATGAAACATTTTGTTATCTTCATTAGACTTTTATCCTTACTTTTATTCCTTCAAATTTTGGATTTGCTCTCATTGCTTCAAAATGTTTCGCTGGTAAGGGTCCAAGTGTTTTCTGAATACGATACAATTGATCAATATCACTTTCGCCAGGAAATATTGCTTGACCGGTACTCAATTCAGCCATAATACAACCAATTGCCCACTAAAATGACAATTCATTGTACATGCATGTTGGATACAAGCACAGTCATATTAAACCTACCACATCAACTCCTTTTCCGTACGGTAAACTAAAATGAGAATTAACTGAATCGAGGATAAATGGTCAATTAATAATCACTCACCCTATCAACAGTTCTGGCGCCCGATACCAACGAGTTGCCACCTAAAGAAAATAGAAGACTTATTTTTTGTTTATGTTTCCGACAGTTTTACATACATAATCTGTGTAATAGTCACATGATGCTTTGTCCAGTTCGCGAGCAAAACCGAAATCACATAGCTTTAGTATCCAATTTTTACCAATCAACAAATTTTCTGGTTTGATATCTAACAACAGATAATAGAATAGCTTTGAACTATGCCTGTTTTTCCCGAACTACCTCGATGAATGATTTCGCGTGAATGACACCAGAAAATAGCGCTAATTAATTGATACGTTAAATTTCGTACTTGATCAATTGGAAGACCATCTGGTTGATTTTGTAAAACTTGTAACATGTTCTAAACATTCGAGAAAATATATAAATACAGATGTAAAAAGATAGAAGAGACGACTAACCCATTCGACATATTCGAATACGAGATATACTTGTTTTTTTTCACGAAACCATTCAATTAATTCGACAACATTTTCATATTTTAATGATTGTAATATTTTTAATTCGCGATCAATCACTTCTAAATCTGTACAATAGCCTAAACAAGAGGGAGAGAAAAATATACTTAACTAACTTAACTGCTCATATCAGTGTTAACAAGACTATAAAAATCAGTTGCAAAAGAAGCAAGACATCGAATATTAAAAGACATTGCTTTTCATCATGCTATTTGTCATTTGTAGAATGTTTGAATCAATAAGCAAAACCATATGATGAAACTCTTGAAATATAGATTAAAAACTTACCGGGTGCTTGCTTGAATTTTTTGATTGCTACCAAGCCGTTAGTATCCTAGAAGTGATTTATTAGGGACAGTTAATAGCAGAGTAAACTATGAGAAGCAAAAGAATAAGAAAAGGATACATTAATAAGAAATTGGGATAAACTAACGAAGCTAAACTATATGGCTTACTTTTTTTCTAGCTTTCAAAACCACACCATACGAGCCTAAAAATGATGATTATTGTATGAGACAATAGTTTATGTTTCAAAAAAATCTCACCTTCGCCAATGATTCCTAGAACGTCATATTTATCTTTCACATTTGCTGGAATATTTTTCATGATTCTAATCTCTTTCCAACCTTTCCTGAAAATTGAAAAACATTCGATAAAATCTCACCACTTTTAATCAGCTCTATCAGACTAACTAAGTATTTTGAAAAATAGAACAAGCACTGCTTTAATAGGCAACTAGTGAAATATACCGCAAAATCTGACAATCATCTTCAAAAACGATACATTCTGTTGTATTTTTTAAGGTTTCATAATCATCATTATGAATTTACGGAAAAAAAGTTTATCATATGGGTCCTAAAATATATGAACTGTTTAGCAATAACCTCCACTTTGATTTCAGTTTCTTTGAACTAATGGTAATTAGTAATCAATTTTAATTCGAAATCGATTGCTACGAACTGTAGCACTTTTAAAAAGGTTATTACAAGTTTCCGTCATTATAACTGTCAATAGAGGTCACTAATGAGCATTATTTATAGAACGAGCTGAACTTCATGCTGATAATGATTCAATTATGATTTGACACTCGTTTAGCCTCTATTGGCGAATTATATTTAGAATCATCTAAAATATGTCACAAGTTTATGGAGTATATCTGCGTTCAGCTAGCATAGTTTTTGTGTGTGAAACATGTTTTTCCTTTTTCGTGTGGATAAATATGAATTCGTTTTACAGAATACTTTTTATTCGTAAAAGTAGAAATCTGTTTTTTGGTTTCAAAAAATTCTTTTAATTAACAAAGATTACATAAATATATAAAATATGTACAAGTGTATGCACAAGATATGTCATTTTTCAAAAATCGCAACCATCACAACCGTCGAGATAGATATCGAATTCTTCTCGATTACATTTGCCTTCAGCCGTGAATATTTGTTTATGAAATGTACCATCGTAACTTGCAGCTATTTGAAAAACAAAAGGAGTAATATACATCATTTTCTTAAGACATCAAATTAGTTTAAATCAGATCTCACTTACCAACAACATAATTTGGCCCGGAAAATGCACATATACATGGACACTCAATAGATACTTTAAAATTACAAACATCACAAAATGTTTCTTTTAATGGCATGATATTTGTACGGTTTAATTTTGGATCACGGATACAATAAATGTGAACGGTACCTTTATCACTAGATACACATAGAAAACTTGAGTCAAAACTAAAACTGATACTAAAACAAAACAAAAGATATATTGTATTAAAAATAAAACTCATTTCAATACTAATCTCACCTATTAATATCAGCTGTATCAGTACCACGTCTTAGTTCCATTACGGATTCTAATGTCGATGTATTCCATATTCGAACTATTGTCCCCTAATAAATAATCAATAGAATTTTCAATGGGTTTTGGCTGTGTTTTTCTTTTTCCTTTTCATCTTCATACCCGAAGTGACGCGGTCGCTAGCAAAGTACCATTTTGATTCAAAGCCATGGCAGCTAATTCACCATCGTGCGCTTTTATTACTCTTGGATTGACTGTATAAGAGTTATCAAGACCATTCATATTCTACAAAATAAACATGTGAGTCATATTAGAACAGTTAAACCAGTAAAATTTTCTCTTATTGATCTCGTGATTCCTAACTTCTCATTTCATAAAGTACAGCCATATTATACCTTTCAAATAGACTTCGAAGTGACGTCGCTAATCTATGCTATTTAACACCAATACTTTGTGCATAACATAACTTAAAATTCGTAAAAGTCTAACAAATTGCTGGATATCAACAATTACGTTCAATCGTTAGGCTTAGATTACATTAGTGATACATGGGAGAATTATTTCTCCTTCTATGTCTATGAATACTTAATTTTGTTTTACAACGCTACGACCAAACTTACTATTCACGTTCTGAGGAAAATGAGCGAAGGATGGCAGAGATCGTCCCAGTCCGTATCTTTGGCCCGGTCCAGCCCGGCCCGTGTCCGAACTCAGGAATTTTGGCCCAGTCCGAAGTGAATGCATGCATTTTTCGGAGCGGCCCGCACGGGCCGGGTCAAATGCATTCTACATTCTACGCGTCGGCAGTCTCTAGAACAGATACTCGAAGGACAGTCAACTTCGTCAGAGACATTTTCAAGTGAAGATAGTGTCTTTTTCTCACATTTAATATGAGTGTTGCCTTTCGATGTTGTCTTGTAATTTTATCGACTTTTTGGGAAAAAGGCTGGGCTCGCATGCGGGCCATCAAATTACAGCCCGGTCCGATTCGGCCCGTAAACAAGATTCAAAAACTTAGGCCTGGTCCGTGACGATCTCTGAAGGGTGGCTCGATAAAACCATTGCAGAACATTTTTCAATATTAATCGAAATGAGTTTCAACACGATGTAAAAATCTAAAAATGAGTTTATTTTGATGAATGAAAACACCAAAATTTGATTCTTATATGTTTTTTTAGTACTACTATTTTCATATTTTTAGAAGTGAAAATATCAATTTTTGTTACTTTGAAATACCATTATTTCTGTTGTAGAGAGTACAACAATCTGCTTTCAATAAGTTAGATACGGAGAAAAACACTAAAATAAATTATTGTTCACAGTAGCCAGAGAGATTTTATAGCTGATGGAGGACAATGTCGAAAGCTAGCCAAAAATTTCTGTACCCTTTTCAAGGTAATTTCCTAGCTCTGTTGTCAACTACTGCGCACCTACTGTCAACAACGATGGCTTAAAAGGCAAACTATGGATTGAGGAAAAAACAATTTCTGATTTTTCAAAAAAATTGTCAGCGCGCAATTTCATATGAAACAAGAAATTTAATTGATGATGATGGTGATAGTAGATTTATGGGTTTTGAAAGTGGAGGAGAAAAGGTTCCTTTTTTTTGAAGAAAAACAGGCTTGAAAAAACTCAAGGATAAGTCTGCATTCCCAGAGTCATAAGCAGCTTCTCCATTGCAAGTCGTTGTAGAGTAATAAACTTCTTCTTAATGAAAATGATATATATATATGCCTAATATATTTTTAGATTTGAAAACTGCGACTGTATTTTGAAAAAATATTTGAATATTTTTATCTTTTTTCAGCAAGGAAATGACTGATGTTTTATACATATATTACCACTGCCTTGTTTATTAGGCTAAGGTTTTTTAAGATATTAAGAAAACTCAGTACAATTGGCGTATAAAAGCTCAATCTAAATTATGTTACTACGCTTATAGTATATAGTCACGTGTAAGAGAGATTCTATACTATCCTGTATAGAACTTGTATAGACATTCTGACTGCAATAACAATTATCTTAACATACACATTCTCACTTTGATATATAAACGGTGAATGAAGTGGTAAATTATTGACTGAGTTTTTAATGCAATAGTCATATACTCTTTTTTGATCGTCTTGATTGTTCTACTATGAAGAGACCACTTTTACTATTATAATGATAGTAATTGAGATATCAGTACAAAATTTGACTCTAGTTATATGATCAATTTTGAACGTTGGGTTTGTCATTCATCTTTCAATACTAAATTTAGTTGAATTTGGGCGTGAACGCAAATAGAAACCTAGGCGAAACAGACCAGTGTTTAGCCCAGGAGCTCTCATATAATGAGGGCTAATGCGATTGAAAAGAGCAATATAGTCAAACCAAATTATCCTTTTACCTCAATAAGTCTGCACGAGAGCAACTCATTTCGTCTGCCTTCCCCACCTTCTTTCCTCTTGGTCGTTGTTCTTTCTTGTTAGTGCTGAATTCACCCTTTCTCTTACTTCGTTCGCATGTATTAATTATCCATGTTTCAGCAGATGTTTTTGTTATCTTCTCTCTTAATAATAAAAAAGTTTGAATTAACACAATCACGTAAATATTTAGATAAGCACTGCCTTTTCCATACATCCGCATAAAAGAAATGCTGAAAAAGAAATTTCTACAGAAAAATAGCGTACCACCTTACTTTTGTTTGAGGCATTGCGTCTCAACCGTCTCACAGGATAGACGCCTCTGCATCTAATCTCATTAGTTCTTTTCGATGATCTCTGGTTGGTCCTCAAAGCTGGTATTGAAAGCTGTCGCAGGATAGCAGTTTTCATCAATGTTTAAAGTTCGTGACTCTCTTAACTTCTGAGATTTTAGATTAACCAATAGTCAACATACGTAGAAACAATCGTTCACGGAATATATTATATGCAGACGAAGAATTATGAAACTTATTTTTATAAATTCTACATTTTTCAATCAAGTGAAAAGAAGTTTCTATTTCATAATGATCTCGATATTCTTTCTTTAACCAATCGTTTATATACATATATTTTTTCGATCAATCATATTAACCGAAGATGATTTTTTTTTCTTCTCTCTATACAAACTAATCCAATGAACGTATTCCAACTATTATTATTGTCCACAAAACGGATCAAACAGAAACGCGCAGAGACAGATATATGTGACATTTAAAAGAATAGAGAGGAAAAAAAATCTGTTTCGTCTTTGCTTTCTTTTTGCCTGAACTTAGTTGTTCATTGATATAGTTAGTTTCATGTAATCATTTTTTTTTTACAAAAAATAATATCATTCGATATTTTGCGTCATATACCTAGACAAAAAAAAAAAGAACAGAAGAGGACTATACGATCGATTTACTCAATCAGAAAAGTGGAAGAGCAAACGGTAAATTTCAATATTTACTAGAATTACACAAGAAATTGAAAGCGTGTCTGTGTACGGTTCTTTTTAAAGTCTCAAACGGATGAACTTTTTTCGTTAATGTCATATAATCCACACAACTTAAGAAATTTTCCTTCATTACACGATCATCAACATCACCAATATTCATCTCCTACCTTTCAACATTTTACAAATCATGGTCAATCTGTTTACGCGTCGAATTATCATCAACAAATGCCAAAAATGGAAGAATTATCACCTTCAGAATCAATCAGTTCTAGTACACCATCTCCACCAAATCATTCTCATCATTTCCTTATGACAAAAAAGGGTATAAAAACAACACCGAGTCCATTAGCCACTACATCATCAACAATTAAAACAAACTCATCTTCTTCATCCTCATCTTCAACAACAAGTATCGATCAACAATCAATTGTACTAAAATTATCTGCAGATCAAACATTAACATTAACAACTGATCAAATTGCTTGTGTTTGTGAAGCAATTCAACAAAGTGGAAAAATTGATAAATTAATTAAATTACTTCAGATATTACCGAAAAATCATGATCATTCATCGAATTATATCCATAATCATGATTCAGTATTAAAAGCAAGAGCCATTATCTCGTATCATCAACAAAAATTTCGTGATTTATATAATATTTTAGAAACTCATCAATTTGATATAATGCATCATACAGAATTACAACAATTATGGTACAAAGCACACTATTTAGAAGCACAAAAAATAAGAGGCAGACCATTGGGAGCTGTAGATAAATATCGAATACGTCGAAAATATCCATTACCAAAATCAATATGGGATGGAGAAGAAACAATTTATTGTTTTAAAGAAAAATCACGACAAGCACTAAAAGAATGTTATAGACAAAATCGATATCCTACACCTGATGAAAAACGATTATTAGCAAAAAAAACAAGTTTAACATTGACACAAGTATCAAATTGGTTTAAAAATAGACGACAACGAGATAGAACACCAAGAACGTAAGTACTGTAGCTTAGAATTGCGATGTTCATTCATTTTACTTATACAATTAAAGTAAAAAGACATTCTAACCCAATAGATAATAATGTGCTAGTATTAGAATTGATTGTTGAAAAGAAAAGTCGTTCATATGAGATCACACAATCCATAGTTTTTAAGAAAACTGTCTATCATTTTGAACACTTTTTGACCTAAGAGTGATTCGTTTTACCTTTAGTTTCAAAAAAGTCAAGATTAAATTGTTCAATATTTTTGAATGTTAAATGATTTTGTTTCTTTGATACAAATACTCATTGTCGACTACGAGAAAAGATCATTGTCCGACCTTAGCGTTAACATTTTATATTTATTTTAATTAGTTTTTAAACTAAACTAAATAGTAGCTGTTGTTTTCTACTACTGGCATATGAGTACTGGATAACTTGTGACACTTTTACAATATCATAATTGTTTTTCTCACGTTTGTCCAACATAAATTCAAATGTTAAGAGGACGATTGGCAGGAATTAAGGTTTAGAACGGAGAAAATAAAAACTTGTGATATATGTGTTAATTGTTTGACGAATAAAATTAACCATCTATAGTTATATATTTCTTGAGTCTTCCTAATTGAGACCACTTTTTATCAAAAAATTTGGATGGAAGTCTTAATTACATCAAACAAACATCAGAGGGTGGCCAAGTGAGAGTGAGTGCAAAAAAATGGTCTCAATTCGGAAAGAGCCATACTTCTTAGTGCAATTTGATTCTCGTCAGGGAGTAAAAGTACTTTTCTTGATGAAAAAGATTGCTGCTTTTTTAAATTTTTATTTCAAATTTGAGATTAGATAAATATCTTCCATTTCTTATTACATAGATCTCTAATACAATTCATTTTTTTTTTAATTTCATTTAGTCAAGATTGTTTAGGCCAAGATTTACCAACATCATTATTAAATCACGCTTATTTTGGTGCACATTCAACACATGATTACACAACGGCGGCTGCAGCTGTAGCAGCAGCCTACACAACCAATCGTCTCGGAGTAAAATCGGAATTTTTTACAGCAAACGCTTTTCTTTATCCGTCTTCATCGTCTTCACATTTTCATCCACATGACAACAATAATAACTACTAAAATCGAATCGAATCTCACAAAGAATGAATACTGATCTAGTCCAAATTCCGAGAACGATTGATTTTTTTACTTTTTTTTTCTTTCGCTGTTTTATGTTAAGTATGAGTGAGCAATTGAATTGCATTAAAAAAGGAAAAATAAGATTTGATTGGTAAAGTAAATACGTATACACGGATGATAAGCGCGCACACCGACACATGATTATCAAAAGAATTTTATTATTCATGAATTTACAAAAGATCAAATTTTTCACTACACACACACACTTCTTTTTGTTTATGCATCGATAAGAACGATTATACTTGTTAGTCCTATATGATACTTGTTCCATTCACACAGTAGGGGTGATCTATCTTAGAATAAGAAAAACAAAATGAAGAGTCAATGGACAAACAAGAACTAGACACGTGTAATATTACATACGAATCGATGAATTTAGAATAGGGAATAGGCGAAAATTATTTTTAAAAATGTCTGCTAGAAAAACGGAAATCAAAGACATAAATCGACCGACCGGTTTCCATTGAAATACATAAGACAATCATATCTCTGATGGGACTATTTGCGAACATAAAACGAGAGGGTGACAATGTTAAATATTTAACTTCAAAAATCAGGTGGCAAGTGAGAATTTAGAATTGTTTTTAACTACTCGAATTTAGATGTGAAGTCTCTAGTTTCGTTCAAAAGGAAAAAATATATTACCATGTGATCGAAATTATCTATACATTCCGATTTAAATGAGGATTGTATCTTTATGTTCGTGAAAAATTGTGTAACTGGCCTGATCACACTAGACTAGAGATGTGCAACCCGACCCGATCCGAAGATTGGGTACGGGTACAAAGTTGCCGAGTACGGATCAGGTACAGGTTCTATTTTTTTTTAATTTACCCGAAAACCGTAAGGTTCTAGTGGAAAATCCACAAAATTTTAGTGAAAAAATACAGGAGTTTAGCTAAAATACATGAAGGTTTAAGAAGAATTACTTGAACGTAATGATAATTTGACATCTTCAGTCGAAAAACAAAAGTTTTTAGTTAGAAAACAAAAAGGAGAAAATTTTTAGGCATAAGTCGGGTACGGCTACAAAGTTGTCGGATTGGATCGGGTACGGGTACGAAATCGTACCCGTGCACATCTCTACACTAGACAGAAATGGCGCAGACAAAGAGAAAATTTATAGTAGAAGTAAGAAAATAACAGCAAAAAATCACTAGTAAATCCCATGATTGAACAAATTTTAGAGAAGAGTCTCTTTTTTTTATAGAGCATACATAATACACAATGGAAAAAAGTGCAGATTTTTGACAAACACTTCCTTCTATAATTCTTTTGGGGATCTACCAGAATAAGAGTACTTTTTAAGACAACGTTTCTTTACAGACTAACCATTATAAAAGTCTAACTACGACCTAAATTCAAAGCAAAGAAGTAACGGTTGGTTATAATATTTTTACTTTTTTCTAATTAACTTCAGATTTCTCTATAATCTCTGGGAGAAAGTATCATTAATATACTGATAAAGCCGAAATGTTCCCATTTAAAAGATGATGGGATTCCTCGTTAGAGAGATTGAAAGATGGCGTCAATATGTTCTCAGATAACTAGTAATTATTTTAAATAATCAAGGTAACGTACACGCAAATGGTTTTTTTTCTCCATTTTTTTCCAATTAGATATCATGTGAAAAAAAAGAAGCCGACTCCTGTTACAGCAAGTCAATCAATTTTTTTTTCTTTTTCCAGACCTTATAAACTATCCTACCTGATGGTTTCTATGCAATCATAATTGAAAAGAAAAGACCTTTTTTGATGATATAAATTAATGATTGAGAAAAAAATAGTAAGACGACACCCGTATTATGAATGAATAATTAGGAAAATAGGAGAGAGACAGAGAGAGAGAGAGAGAGAGAGAGAGAGAGAGAAAGAAGAAGAATTGTCGTTGTCTTTGTTATGTTTAGCTTGGTGATACACACAGCGATTGACAGCGACAGAAAAATAAGAGCTAAGCAAAAACCAAACAACTATCCTTTTTTATCAAGAAAGAATCTTTGATTATCATAAGTTGATCATTTAAGTAGGTTAAAAAAATACTATTTGCATCTAAAAGTGTGCCATATGACACCTTCATTTTTTCTGCACGTCAAAATAATCATTTGACTTTTTTAACACATATTTTAAGAATGTAAATAAGATCATTTTTAAACGATAATGCTTTTAATTGTAATATATGTAATGAAAGAAACGTTTTATTTACTATGTAAAGATATTACTGTCATTCATCGTATCAATACTTAGCTTCAACTATCGAAACGCACAATTAACATAGTCAAACATAACAAACGAAAGTAGTATTGAGATACCTTACTAATTTTTAAGTTATACTATCGATTAATCAATCCGGAAATAAATATAGCTTTGATTAGAACTGATCCAGTTTTAGTTCTATAGAAAATAAACTGATCATCAGTCTTTTTTAAAAGAACTGAACTATAATCGTCGTTCGTTACTTTTTGTCAACATTAAAAATCTCACGAAATGGTTCAAGTTTATAACAATTAAAGTCTGAACGAAAAGATTTTCAAAAAAGATTTCTACATGAGACTTTTTGAAAGAATTTTTGTTTAATCACTCCACTCATTTTTATCTAAGATTTATAGAAAGAGAATGTCTTAGTTTCAATTAGTAGTACAATTTGTGCCACTTTACTGTTTAACTCTACAGATAAAAAGTTTGTAAATTCTTACCAGCACTTGTACATAGCCGCCCTTTTCTTTTCTTCCCAAAAATGGATAGCATAATAAAGAACCATCACTATTTGGCATTTCACATAATCCTTAAACAAAAAGAAAATAAATATATCTGTAGTTAATAAAAATTTATCGGAAAGAGTGGACGTTATCCACTGAAATGTAGATGTACCACGTGGATTTTCTTTTGTATCGATTGTATGTAATAGTCGACAATTATTTGGAAAAGATAATATATGAATTTTACTGACTAGTATAACGACCAATCTTTAAACAATAACAAATACATACTATTAAAAAAATATTTATTAAATTTATCTATCAATATGTTTACCGTGTTTTTGACATTCTTAATGCCACCACTGGTAGACTAAAGCACAATTCTAACACATGAGCTTTTTTCTCATCATCATAAACATTTACTGAAATTAAATAAAGAAGAAATAGCTGATTAATAATCGAAATACACTGTTATATACAAACCCATATTTGACGGTAAACCAGTTGTATGATCTGCAGGAACATAGGCAATCAAATTTGTTCTGTATAACATTTCTGCATATGTAACACGTCCAACATCTACAAAGAAAAGAAAAATAACATATATCATTATGTTTCAGTCATTCTTGCCTAAATAACATTTTTGAGCAAATGGTTCAATATTGAATATTCTAATCCCATCATATGTTGAACAAATAAAACAACCTAAACAAAAACAGAGAGAGAAAGAGAGATCAGTTATTATGAAACAAACAAAATACAAAAATAAACGTAAAACTTACTTGAATCTTGATTGAAACGTAAACTTAATACATCACTGGTACGCGTGCGAGCAAAACGTTGTGACATTTTTTTTCAAAAATCGGAAATATAATAATACAAAATATAACTCTACAAAGTAATTACCAAGGTAGTCAGTTTTAATTAATTTGTTCTAAAAAAATAGAAGGTAATATAACTCTTCACTTAGCAAAGATAGCAAAGTTAATCTCTCATTATCATATTGGGAAAGTTAAATGACAAAGAGATAATTAATATTCAATCCTGTCCATGCATATCATATTCATTTGATGTCTGAATGATTATTTCACATTGTAAAAGATTGGTTTCACTTTTAGCTCTTATTAGCAACCACCAATGAAGAAAAACTTCACCTTTATATGGCACGAACAAAAGTTAGAACTAAAACACATTGTACAAAATCAACTGTTTTTAATGAAGTATAAAGCAATTATATCAGTTGTTTTTTTTCAAAAATATCCTACATCAATCTTTTACCCAGGAGATATAAAAACTTGATGCCCAATTGTGAAAAAATTTTAATGACTAAAATTGTTTCTTTATTACACGAAACAACCATCATGTAAGAATAAAATACAAAATATGGGCACAATAAAAAAGCATACTATAGTGGAAAAAAAAGAGAAACAATTTCAATAAAAAAAAAGATGTACAAAAACGCGAACACTTGACAAGAAATAAAGGAGTAGTATGTACGCCATCTCTCTGTTCATTCATTGCAACTATACAAAATACATGCGCGCGCATACAGCGAACAAAGTAAAGAAAAACTTTTTCAGTCATTCATCAGAAGAAAAAAAAACCGGATTGTCCTTTATTTAAACTTGAGCACGATAAAGCATGCATGCATTGTTTTTTATGACTAAACGAAAAAACAAATGTTCACTTCACATTAAAAGCACATGCGAAATGACTATTGGCAATATGAAAACATAGTTCTGTATTATGTGATCATATGAGTAAATCTTATTATACATAAAGAAGTGTAGAGATAAACGCGTGCAATTCTAATAGTTTCGACAGTGTAAAAATTCGAGAAAGAGAAAAAAATTGTACAGAAACATTTTTATTTATGATGAAAAAACAAATTGATTGAAAGAATAAAAAGTCATAAATTAACAGACACTTTTTCATGTATCAATCCATGCTTCAGGTGTATTAAACACGTAATCTCTTGCATTTTCTTTTGACCAATCGATTTTTGACAAAACAATATCAACTTCTCCCAAGTTATCATTTGTTGGCAACAATCCAGAATTCCATACACTTACACGTAAGACACGACGTTGAATTTCGTGTAACGGCATTTCATAAGTAAACTAAATAAATAAATAAACAAAACAAATTAAGTTTATCGTTGATTCTATCTAAATATGCTTACCATATCATTGAATGTCGGATTTTTTGATCCAAGTACAATTTTTCCTTTTCGTTTAGTTGATTTATCTGCATCGGGAAACAAATAACATTTACAATAGGGATTTGGTAGTGCACCACCACGCAGAGGCTACAAAAACAACAACACAGCATAATATACTGTAACGTTCATCGATCTACTGGGAATAGTCTCGTATACGTACCAAATTACTTGCATATCTGATAGATATAAACAATTTGCCCTCTTCATATTTTAAATGAATTTTTATTTTTGCTTGAGAGGCTTGTAAATCATAAGCATGTGTTGTCGAATCTAGAAATGAATTAAATTAAAATAAATTACTCGCATTATTTTATTCTTAGACAACAGAAAAAAGTTTCTTTTCGTCTTTTCTCTCATCGTCGGCCAACCATAGACTTTTCCAAGATAAATACCTTTTCGGTCGAAATGTGTTCATCTTAAAGATGTCTCGATATTTTAAAATATCTCAAAAGTTTTAGAGCGGAAAGAATAACAATCATGAAGAGGAAAAGGATATAACTATGCTTAATTATGAGAGAATCAGTGCTTCTACACACAGCACTAAAGATCAACTTGTGTTTAACCATTTGAATAGCAGTATGCCAATGCCATTCCAATGGTAAATGGGACTCAAAGCTCTTGTTGACAAATATACCCTAGTTCCTTTTATTAATACTTAGTGAAGTGTACTGGGTAAGATCAAGTTTTCCGCTTTACTGTGTAACTCTGATGCCGGAGTAAAATTTTGCTTCCCGATGTCTTTGTGAATGAATTTGTAGTTAAACTTTTGCTTAACAAAATGAGACGTTCTTGCACTTTCCATGATCTTTCGTGCAAAATATATTTAAAAAACTGAGGTACTTTGGGTATACTTCTGTAGCTGGGTTCTGAAGATGAAACAATTGGATATTTTTATTATTTTTCGTGATCAAGAGACCTGAGATAGCACGAGAACGTCGTATTCTGTGGAGAAAGACCTTATCTACAAATCAAGGCACCGGGGAGTTTTACACTTGCTTTTTTTTCGTAAGATATAAAGAATGAAAGACATCGAAAATATATAACGAAATCTTAGTTTTACAGTAGAAATTACTTAATCAAGTCATTTCAGAATTTTTTCTTTTTAGTTTAATTCAATTTTTTTTTTCGCCAAATTCTCCCTCCTACTGTTGATGTTCTCTTATTTGGTCGATTAGGTTTATAAGACTTTGCAAGTCGATACTGATTCTCTTCTTGTACAGTATGACTTTGAAAAGGTTGTCGATAAAGTTTCGCAGTAGGTATTACGAACAAAATTAGCCGGATTGGGAATAAAGCTTACAACTTTTTCTTGGTTCAAAAGTTATCTTTCTAAATGTAAAGCGAGGGTTCGAATAAGAATACGTGTCTGTTTGTCAAATTGATGGCTGATGAAATTCAAATCTAATGTTCTTAAACTATTCCAAATATTCATGGATATTTTTCTTGAAACGAAATAATGTTTTAATTTCAACAACAACATCATAGTTTTTCAGTCCTCAATAGTTCTTCTCGTAACTCATTTATCTTGAGATCTGACTAGAGATGATCACGTTTCGATACCACTCTAGCATGTTGACACCCTTTAGAAGCTATCTATCGCATATTTAGAGATGCAGGTAGATTATCGATTTATAAATCGTATATTCTAAGTTAGCTCGATTATTGTTTACTTGTATAATATAAAGGTATTGTATAGATAAAATAAATAAGCTGGCAGCTCAATTAATTTGCCAAAAATTGAAATTTCTGAATTTGATTCTCTCTCCTACATTACCACTCGGATCGACTGAGTCACTTCAGAGTCATTGTATGTGTGTGATTATCACACACATACAATGACTCTGAAGTGACTTCGTGACTATCACACTGTGATAGTCACGAAGTAATACTTTTTCCGTGTACGGATAGTGCCAAAATAAACGACAAATCAAATTAAAAATTTTACGATAATGTATCTTGAGTTAGATCTCTTGTTAGACTTACCATTTGATTTTGGACGTAATTCAGTCGCTTGTTGATCACGTGCAATCGTATGAAAGAAAGTACAAACGAGGTCTGACTAAAAAATCATGTGAACAATTAAAAATAACCTGTCGACTAGTAGAAGTTCTTAACATACTTCAACAATTTCGCTAGCCAAATTAAACAAACTTGTTAGATATGTATTTAAATGCACCACTCTTGTTTGTGCCACAGTTTTATATTCATTTCTATGTGCAAATTTTAATTCAACACCGATTAATGGAAATTGTTTCGTTAATTTTTCATGAAATTCAAAAAATTCCATTGCCGTACGATAAACGTAGGTAATTTGTTGGTTTTTTGTCGATGTTAAATTATCAGTATGAATACGTTCAACTTTAATCTTATAAATATAATGTTTAACTGGTCTTGATCGTTTTTCATAGCCGACAACTTGTGCCGATTTAACTCGTCCATCTGTGGCAATTGTAAATGTTTTTGGTACAAATGACAGTAGACTATGACCAGCCGATGAGGGAGTGTTTGTATTACCAAGATTTCCTTGTGCAATCGAATGAATAGCAAAATTAATTTGTGTCCAAGAATTATTTAAACTTTCTGTTAGAAAATGTGTAAATTGTGTTATACTCTCAACATTACTAATTGTTGGTAATAAACGATCGTAGACAAATCTAACAGCATCATACGTTAAACCAGGAATATTTGAATCACATAGATGAGTTAAAAGTAATAGTAATAAATTTCTATTTTGACGGATGATAGAAAATGCATCACAACATAAATCAACAAAACGATGAAATGATTGACCAGATACTTCACCACCATTAATAACATAGCACATGTTTTTTGTGAATATAAATGGTGCACGATCACTAAAACAAAAAGTGAGCACACATTTATATGAATTGATTGTACTTCAACAATTCTGTTTCACAGGGTTTCTGACACACTGAGAAGAAACAATAAGCAGATTCTGCACTTCTGACAATAAGAGGTAAAAAATGATATAGATTTAAAAAGTAGACACACCATCGAGGAACAATTTTTAGTTTAAAACTGTGTTTATTTAATAGACAATCTAAATGTAGAGTTATTTTCTAACCACTTACCGATTGAATGATCCAAACTTTTGTGTATCTCCCAAATATTTTCCGAAATCAATATGAAATAGATGTCCTGATTGTTTTAACATAATATTATCGTTATGTCTATCTCCAATTCCAAGAATAAACGTAGCAACACAATAACCAGCTAGAACATAAAAAAAACAAAAAACCATTAAATGAATAAGTTTATACTTTTTTGGGAACTAAAACCGACCACAACTATATGTAAAATTTTCCACCGCTTTTTTATATTCGATATCTGTTGGATTATGTAGTTTCAACCAATCTGCCAATGATTCATCTTTGAATGCACCTTTAACAACTCCATTTTTGGATTCTATTTCTCTTAATGTTTCACATTCTGTCACCATTTCGATAAATCCACATCGATTTGATGTTTGAACAACATTAAATAAAATTAATCTGAAATCATAATCATTTTGTTTCCATAAATAATCCATACAATTAAGTAACAAAATAACAATTTGATCTTGTCTTAAATCATCACCATTTTTATATATTGAATAATATTTGTCACAAGCAGAATCAATTGGATTAAAAACTAATTTTAATGGTGATGTTAATGATTTAAAATAAGTACATGATTGTATATCCAAACCATTTGACATAAAATTAAATTGACAAGGTAATCGACATGGTTGTTTACCATTTTGAAAAAATTGTTCATCAAATATTTTCAATTGTTCATGTAAAAATAATGTACGTTGTGCATTTTTTTTATGTTTTAAATTGAATGCAATTTGTTTAAGTATTGTACACATTTCATATTCACGTTTTAATTCGAGACGAAATTTATCATCAATTAAATATAGCAATGACATGAGAAAATAATAATATTTTAAATAATGAACTTTTTCATAGACTAATAATTGTTGTAATTGCCAGTAGAGTTTATGTAGAAGACGAGGATCATTTAACGAAGATTTAAGAAGATATTCTTGTACAGATGAATTATCACCAAAACATAAAAGATAATCATATTTAATTATTTGTAATAATTGTGGTAGATACAAACTGAGATTATAATCGTTTAAATTTGAAAATAATGATTTATAAGCAAATTGACGTACAGACATATCGGGAAATGATGGTAATAATAATTCAAATGATTCTAATAAATCAATTGGATGATCACGTTTTACTTCTTCGAGAACACCGTAGATATCAATTAATGATGGATAATCCCAGACATGACGAGAACTTAAAATTTTTGGTAATGCATAAGATTGTTGAATCAGACAATGACGACATGACCAGATTAAATGAGCTTCATCATCTGAAAAATCTGTTTCTAAAAAGAAAAATAATTTATAAATAAAAAAAATGAATAAATATGACTCTTTATATACGAACCATAGTTAAATGCAATTGCTCGTTCTTTTGATTGTTGACGTTGTTGTAATTCTGGTGATTTTTTATACTGAATATCTCCATTATTTATAATATACATTGATTTATGATCATTAATAAGTAATGATGGTGTTTTTAATAATTTACTCAATTTTTCCTGTTTAGTATGATCTAATTTTGTAAAATTTTCTATTTTCATATCACCTCTTGGTTTTATATCTGGCCATCTATACATAATACTATTTTCCATTAAAAATGTAACACTCAATATTGGACAATCTCTATCATAAACATTTCTCAATGAATAGAATCCTGTTGGCATCGATGTTTCAGATGAAAATACGCCCAAATATTTTTCACCTTGTATTAAACAATTTTTATCATCAAATAGTGATTGAGAACACCAACCAATTAATTTCATTTGTGAACCGTCAGTCATCATTGTTAAAGATTGATAATGTTGTGTTACTGGTAAACCATTACCACTACTATTTACATCTGTTTTTTCAAGTGCAAATATTTCAAACATTAGCACAGCTTCCCTCGGTAATTCACATAATTGTGCATCATGAAATGATAACCATTGATCAAATAATACTTGTGGTTTTAAACTGGCTGACATGTGACTGTTAGTAGATGATGATAATAATGGATACTTTGGTTGAATTTTAATTGACATTAAATCTGTTATTTGTCGACTTTTTGTACGATTACCATAACATAGACGACAAACAACACGTAAAGATTTATATTGAGGCCAATTGTCACCGGCTAAACAAAATAGACCATCAATATAAACTCGAAATGATTCAGATGATTCTGTAATTGGACATTTTACTTTTTGTTCAACATTTAAATATGATTGATCTTGTTTTTGTAATGCTATCGCTAATTGTTCGATATTAATATCATTATTTTGTTCATCATTTAAATAAAGTTTATATGGAATTAAATACGAATTACAATATGTTCTCACATAATTGACTAGAGTAACAACAAGTTCATATAATAATCTAATTAACTCTTTATTGTTACTAGCTGACGATAATTCAGAGGATATTTCCTTTGATAAAGATTGTCTTGTTATTTTATCAATGTATAATCGTAATTCTCGTTGTTTTTCAACAATTAAAAATGATTCAATATATGAGCATGTTACTTGAATATTTTTGATAAAACCAAATAATTCATTGATTATTTTCCGTTGTTCAACCTCAAGATTATTTGTAGTATTTTGATCTAATAAAAATGATAATAATTTATTAATTCGTTGTTCAACTTGTTTCAAAATAAAATCGATATCCTGCTTAAATGCTTTTAACCATAATGGATCAGATGCTAGAAATGGTGCATGTGATGAACGAGCTAAATTTGGTTGATTCGTCATTGTTGGATATCTTGTCGATAATGTTCTTGATAAACCCGTTGATGTTGAACTAGAAGATGTTTGCAAATTATCGTATGAATGTCGATAGTGTTCATCTTGTTGTTCAATACAAAATTGTTCAAATGATTTTGATGATATTGTCGTTTGTGGAGTTTGATTACAATAAGGTGGACGTTCTGTTAGAACAAATTGTAACGGTTGTAACGATTGTAAACAATTGTAAACATATTCAATATCACATAAAACATCTTCATTACGTAAATATTCTTCACGATTACGTAATTTTAATAAAGCATTTGGTAAATCAAATTGAATTAGTTCTAATAATTGATATAATAGATGTTCAACAGTTGACATTAAACTGATATTATTTAAACGTAACGGTTCTTTAGAACCATTTGCGTATATTTGAATTGTTACAATACTATGTTTTTGTTCTAAATGTTGAGGTGTTAAACGATTTACACGTTCACAATAAAATAGATCATCTTTTGATTGATCAAAAGATGGCTGGATAAAATAAGAAAAGAAATCATTTTATTTTTCTTAAATTATATATCGTAAATGAAAATAATTTACCTGTTTTTGTTGATTATCGGATCGTTCACTTTTAATTTTTTGTACAAGATCACTAAATGCTTTTATTTCATCGAACGTAGATAGTTCAAATTTTAATCTAATTGGATAGGGATAATAGTTTGGGTTTGATAGACGAATAGGAGGTGATGTCGGTGAACTTGTTTTTTCTACAAAATGTTCTTTTTCAATTTTCCTTTGTTCACTTGTAACAGGACTAATGGTAGGAGTTTCAGTTTTAGGACTTCCTGCTTGTGTTAAATTGTACGGCCAAGAATGAGGTCGACTGGTCTGGTCTAAATTTCTTTGCAATCGTTTCACTGGATCAAAGAATTCGATTATGTTTGCTTTGGAAAGATCATTTTTATTGTTGTTGTTAACATCCATATTCATATCGATTAAATCTGGAGAATTATTGTTTCTAGCTAAAACACGAACGAAAAGATTATCATTCAAGTTTAACAACGCTTTCTAACTCTATATTACTTGTGACCGTCGGTGGCGGTTGAAGACCGAAAGAAGGAATTTCATCATTAGTTTTTTCTTTTTGCGGACTCTGAGCTTTGTTATCGATGTCAAATGTTTCAAAATAATTTTTATCTAAAGTGTCTTGTTCTGGCGGTTGAAACGTGATAGTTTTTGGTGGTTTTGATGTAGGAGGGGGAAATGGAGTTGGACATTGATTATAATTCACGAATGGTTGTTGTTGACGTTGCCCATATAACGCCCAAATTTGTGCTTGTGTCGAAAGAGAATGGAATGTGTTTGATGATGATGATGGTGAGGGAATTCCATTTAGTTTTTCAGGCGTGGATAAATCGGATCTAAGGAGCCCATCGGACAGTTCGGATGAGGCCATTTTTAAATAAATATATACATTATAATCTGAAAGAGACTTAATGACTTATTAAATAAAATGATCCTTCGTTATTTGAAGGAAGTAAACTATTATTACATTAGAACTATACTCAAATCCGATAAACTTTCAAGAATTAATAAGAACTTTGTAAGATGCAAATTGTGAAGGTCAGCATATCAATAAGTCTGCTCTTTAATCTTTAAATAATATCTACAATAGAAAATAATACTATCTACAAAACGTTTAATATAAACACCTAATCAAATCACGTACTATTACATCATTTAACATTATTTCATGTCCAAAAATATGAAAATAAAGACTCGAAGTTTGTTTTGTGTTTGTGATAAAAAATAAATGACTAAAAAAATATATTTTTTTGTTCTATCCTATTACTTATGGTTTATCTTTGTTGCTTATTCTAAATATGTTTTGATGCACACCTGATTATGTACTAGCGATGTCATATGCAACAAAAATACACACACATAAGATAGAGAGAGAGAGAAACAAAAAAAAAGTAACAGAGTACGAAAGTACAGGTTGTTTTTTTTTCGCCAACAAGTGTGTGTATAGGATTGTTGTTGTTGTAGGCTCTTTTTGTAGGAAACACGAGTCAATTTTTTATGCTTTCTTTTTATGACGACAGAAAAAAATCTTTTAAAGCGGGTGAAAAAGCTCTTTAAAGAAGAATAAAAAAAGTTTAACTTTTTGTTTGGTATATACACACTTGCAATAGAAACAGAGTAGTAAGGGGAATTTTCCCTTGAATTTTGTACCAATGTCTGCTAATTAATAATTCCCTCTCCTGCAGTTCAAACGAAAAATATTTTTTTACACTTTTTTTTTACAACATGTTTACCAGCAGCAAACAGAGGTGGTCCGAGCGGAGAGAGGTCTGGCGGATACCCTCCCCCCCCTCATCAGTAATTGAAAAATTCATCATCCTGCCAATTGCTTATTCATATGGAAAATGACATACCTGAAAAGTTTCATATTAGCTCTGAACGAAAAATGAATACCCTCTCCCCCAATCCTGAAGGTCTTGGACCAACTCTATAAACAAAGGCAATAAAAGAACTCAACATTCCTTATATTCCACAGACTCTTATTGAGAACACGTTAAACAACTAAATTAGATCACGAGCTTGATCCTTACCACATAAATAAAGGTAGATTAGTGTTCCAGAGTACTTGGAAAAGTTAGAGGAGAAATTAACGCTTTTTCCTACCAAAAATCAAAACACTTACACAATAGTTTGATAGTGGAGGTACACCAAAACACATAGAGAGTAATATATGTGTCGATTGAAACAATTAATTTTAATTCTTTGCTCATTCAGAAAAAAGCATATAAGACACAACTAACGAACGGGGTAAGGCAAGAAAAGACACGGAATGAAACGTTCAATTCGAAGTTTCGTCTAATTATTGAATAGAGTTAACTCACTGATGAAAGATAAATTAAGACTGTTAGTGAAGTAAAACATGTTTTAGACTTACGACATATTGTTCGACATATATGTTCGAGGACTTATAAAAGTAATCTGATGTCACAAAAACTAATAGAGGACAACCTGCTTTTAAAACTGAAAGGAACCAGATCACCTGGCTAAGGGTCACATTTTCACCGAAAACGGTAAAAACATTAGAAAAACAAACAGAATGACAAAAAGTTGGTTATCTACCGATGAATTTGTTCTACCATAAAAAAATTGCCATTAAAATGCAGTTTGTACCTCTGACCGTTTTTAAACTGGAATTAGTTTATAAACGGTTCATTCGATGTCTGTACAAAATCGGGTTGTTAGATACATCAGCAAGAACAGTTAATGTTATAATTTCCTGCTCGAGCGCGATTGTATACTAGCAAAGTCTGATGAAAATCTGCAATAAAAAATCTATCTTTTTTTCTATCTGCAATACTGGCGGTAGTATCTGCCGTACACTTACTTTATCGGTAGATTATCTTAACTAAAAAGTTTGATCGCAACAGCAACTGACATAGATTTCTGATTATTCTAAATAGCGGCCATTCACAAACAGACTTTCTAGATGACGCTGTTCAGTATATAATTTCTATACATTGCTCTCTCTCACATGTTTCTGTTCAGAATGAAGCGCATCCGACAATTTTTTTATGACGTCAATTGACAACGTTTAAGGCATATTATTCTAAGCATTGAAAAAAGCAGGTGAGTGCCAAAGATACCATTGGACTCAACGGCAGTTGAAAACTACGCTTTTTCGATAAAAATTTTGCAAAATAACGTTTCAAGAAAAACGTTAAATTTTAGTTAAAGATCTTGAAAAAACATGATTTTTCAAAAAATGAGCTAACCTTATCTACACTGGGAAATATTTGTTTTTTCCTTCGTGAAGACTAGACTTTGTCAAAACTGCTGATACTCGTAGTCTCGATATAGAACAGATAGGGCTATCTATATCACTTAGTGGATGTTTCTAGGGAACGCTGTATTAGGAAGGAAATCCAGAAGAAAAAGTGGACTAAACTTTTTTGTTCTATTTTAGCATGCGACCATCAAGGCTTCAGAATTGTTATCTTATAAAAAAACTGTTGAGAAAGGGAACATAATTAAATATTTACAGTCCTAGAGAAACTTCCATATCACCGAATCGAAAAATTTCAAAAGCTTGTTCGGTCGAAACCGGTTGCAGATTTGTCTTCTCCATGGTTGATTATGTGTTACGCAATAACTTTTGGATCGGGGTACTTTAGAAAAATTTTTTCCCAGGGTTTTGCTCAAAATTTTTTCCAAATGTTACCATATGGGACCAAAGGCAAAACGATGTCGAAAATTTTTTCTAAAGTACCCCGATCCAGAAGTTATCGCGTACCACATAATCAACCATGGAGAAGACGAATCTGCAGTCGGTTTTGACCGAACAAGCTTTTAAAATTTTTCGATCCGGTGATATGTTGTACCCAAGTTCTTGGTTTCTTGACACTTGCACTCAAGATCTTGGTCAACATTTTGAATAAATCGAGTCAAAATGTTTCAAAATATTATGATGAAAGTTTTTTTACATTTTCTCTCTTAGATGACACCGTAACAATTAGACAGACAATCATATATGGACATAGACTCATCGTTGAACAACTTTGCTCTAAGGAAGGAAAAATTTCAAAATTATTCGAGTATGAAAATTTTTGCAGTTATATGTAAGCAAGAGCGTGAAACACAAAGATGATTCAAGAACTATCAAGAATTCGGTATAAGAAGCACAGGTCAAAGTTTATTGCATTTGTTCTATTGCGTAAACTAGAAAGCCAGTAGCAATGAGTACGTTTGAATAATTTTCAAGCATGATCAAATCAGCTGAGATTGATTAACATCTGATTCCATAAAACAGGTATAACTTCACTGTTTTCAGAAACCATATCACCCATGATCTCTATTTAGATCATTTATTGCACGATTCTCCTGATTATGAAGCTAGAACTAACCTAGTTTCATCTGTTACAAGCTCGAATTGATAAAATGATATGTTGAAGGCGCAATTCAAGTTATATGATATAAATTGATAAAATACTGATATAATATTTGACTCTTATTTGAGATTAATAGCATATAATGTTATCTCAACATGTTTCACGAGAAATAATCCAATCCCGAATAATAAATGAGAATTTATTTCAAAGAATGATTTTTCATCTATTATGTTGCATATTTAATAAATGACATTGACTGATAGATAAACTATTCGTAGTAGGATCGCTTTTGGCTCAAGACAGAAAGTTTGCGTTAAAAACAAAAAGCGAGCTTGGGATTATCGTTTAAAAATACTCAAAAAGTGTCCTTTAGGATTCACTCAAAGAGCGCAAAATATTCTACGTCCACTCGGGGTAAAATATGATGGGATACATTGCCTCTTTTAGACCCAAAAGTCAAAATTGTATTAGAATTGCCGCCATCTCTCGAACGATGCGTATAACAGCTTTTTTAGATGTGCGTCAAGCCATAGTATGTCAAAAGAAAATGTTGAATGTCAATTAAATATTAATTTTTGGACTTTATAACTTGGCCCAAACCAATTTTCTCGCGTACTGAGTCATATCGGTATGAATTACTAGAGTGCTCTATATTTTTCTTTTGTCGAAAAGCCAATACAAAATTTTCAAGAAATATTCAACTACCACAGAACAGTTGACGATAAAGTTATAATTCAGGACTATACATTATCATTTTGAGGAAAAAAATGAAGATTCCGACGCTACCGAAAACGGTATCGTTAACGTGAGGTAAATATTCTGTTAACGGGCCGTTTTTGCACCGTTTTTACACTGTTTGATTGGGGCTGTGTTTAGACCGTTTTCAGTACATATTTCAAATTTCATTATTTTAGATCATGAACTGAAAAATATTTTTTTCTGAATTTTTTTCTATTTTTGGGACTACTCTGAACCATGATTTACCAGTCTCAGGAGTATGGTACTATTACTAGTACACGTCCAAGCACTAAGGCTACTCCCTCTAGACAAGCTTCGATCACTTATATAGGAGATTCTAAGCTATAACTTCGATATATATTCGAAGAAAATCAGTGTTTCATTTATACTAGTAGTGGAAGCGAAATAAAAGAGGTGAATGACTTGTCATCAGAACAGCCTAAAGACGGTCAGTTTACGATATAGATATACTTCACTCAGTCACATCAATAAACGGTCCATTTTTAGACCGTGCGCTGACGCTCTTGAAACGGCCAGTTTGCTGTGACGTTAACGAAACGTTTTTATGCCGTTTTCACACCGTTAAAAAGTCGTTTTTCGGATGACCCTAAACTGGCCGTTAACCGCCCGTTAACGCATCGTCCTGTTTGACCTGGGTTTACATTCCTGGAAGAAGCCAAAATATGTCGGGAATACATACTTTCACGCAGAGTTCTGATTTATATATCCAATTTTTCGTTTTTTATTCACTGGTTAACAATCGTTTTATAGATATATAGATATAGTCGTTTATATTACCAGCGCAACTTTACTTCTCTCATTGATAATAATACTATTACATTCGCTTTTTATATATGGAATCAATCAGAAAGTCAGAACACGTACAACAGAAAAAAGACATTTACAAACTAGGTTAATTTAAGGTTTTTTTTCATTGACTATTGGATTATTTCGTTTTCTTTGTAGTGCGTCGAATGATGTAAATTTCTCTTGATCAATCGTTGATGGCTGTCGTTTACTATTACTTTTACTTTCCATTTCAATTTCAAAACTACTTTTTTCTACATGGTTTTCACCGCCGTTTTGTTGTACATTATCGATGGTGTTTTCTTCATTGGCTTCTTCATACGTTTTTAACTTTATTTCTTCACCGTGCCAGCTATCGTCAGCTACAGCACCTGAACTCGACAAAAATGCTTCGACTTCTCTTGCTTCCATTTTTCGTGCCCAGGCCAGAGGTGTATTTCCATCTTTGTCCTAAAATTCAAATATTATTCATCACTGAGCGAACAGAATCCAGAAGATCCGAAGAGATCGTGGACTTTTTGATCTTTCAATCGATATTAGGTTCGTTTAATCGGACTATAACACTCATTTACCAACAAACAAGCAGAAATACATACTTTGACATTGATATCAGCTCCTTTATTCACGAGTAATTTGACTATTTCTAGATAACCATGTCCCGAAGCAAGGTGTAATGGATACCAGCCTGATTGATCAGGAGTATTCAATGGTGCTTTGCCCTTTTCTGTTAGAATTCGAACCATTTCTTCTTGACCATCGTCGACAGCATAATGCAATAGTGGATAATCGACCGAATTTTCACCATCTACAATTGATTCCGATCTACTGTTGGAGACTTGAGCACCGTTTTCAATTAAAAGTGAAACTAACTCTAAAATAAAAATATATTTACTATTAGCATATGAGCTAGTTTGTTCTATATTACCCTTGTCATTAAATGCCATTGCATCAGCCACTAATGTTAAACCTTTCGCAAAATCACAGTCAATTCTTGCTCCATGACCTAACAATAGTTTAACATTTTCACGACTACCACGGTTAATGGCAGACATTAACGGTGTCCAGCCAAAACCATCACGTATCTCTAAATCTGTTACATATTCTAATAGTGGAGCTAACAAATCTGGGTTATCTGAAATATCAATTATTATATTGAGGTACTTTTCTCTTATATTGAAATTATATTTACCTTGCCATGCTGCGTAGTGAAGTAAAGTGCACTGATTTTCTTCTCCGGGAACAGACTGAATAAATATTTGACGTAATTGTTCAGGAGTTAAATCCTTCATTTGTAATCGTAGTTCGCTAACATCTTGGTTTTCAATTGCATTCGATATCAGCTGTTCTTTTGAGACCCCAAAACCCATTTTTGACAAATCAGAAAACTATGAACCTACATTGAACATGATTTATCGAAAGTAATCTCTCAATTTAAGTCATAAAAACGAAATGATTTATTCTAAGTTTAAACTGCTGTTAACTTATCCGAAAAAGTATAAAAGAAAGCAATAGTTTAATGACAAGGTCAGGCACAGGAATGAAAGTCACGATCAAGAAAACGGATCGAAGCGGAGTAACACGAATGATATGAAATTAAGACTCTGAATTAATCCTCGTCGTTCTAACACGTACGCCATTGTGATGCGCGATATAACTATGAACAAATCAATACTCTAAATTCCACTTCCTACTTTAAAATAATAGTATTGAAACTGGGTTTTTTGTATTGTATCATGGAATGGTTTGAGATATTTATCATAATTATATCTTCAAGTGTAAGAAATGGAATTTGCTACAGACGTGGACAGCAATAGTACCAGTGCCCACGACCGTCTTTTTGATATCATATGACAATAAGGCATACTAGGTTTTTTTTCTCACCTTTTCAATGAAATTAAATTAACGAAACTGAGTGATATTATTATTTTCAAAATAATTTTACCATCACAAAACTGATACTAGTCACCTTCGTTGACAAAGAATAAACTTTAATTAGACAGTCAAGTCTGTTTAGACCTTGAACGAGTGGGATCTCATGTGCGTACATGATATATTCACCACTATCAAATATAAGTGCATATTCGTGTATTGTTGCGCTTGATTGAATTCGAATATATTCTGTTTCTTTCCTATTATAGAACACGAGATGACGTGTACGTGCGCAGAGGGAAGTAAGAGAGCGAAGGAGAAACAGAAATTGAGAAAAGGTGAGGTAAAGAAGCAGAGGGGTGTCAAAAAATAATAGAGAACAAAAATATAGAATTTAGAGAAAATATTTAGCCGTTTTATACAACAAGGGTCCTCATTTGTTCATCATTGAAATTCATCATCATTGTTTATCATTCTACAGTTTTCTGCAGATCTATAACAAAAATTGCTGTCATAAAGTACTATATACACCGTGATATGTTGATAGGGATTTTTTAATTAGTAAAAAAAACGAAATAAAAAAATGTTTAAATAAAACAAACGTGACATAAAATTTTCATTTATGCAAATGAAAAGTAAAAATATTTCCTGAGGAATAATTATTTCTGTCAACTTTGAGTTTGACTACCATACGTAGAAATAGCCGACGATACATTATTTGTAATATCTAATCGATCCTAAAAAAGCCAAACATCTTAAAATCATAAAATGGATGATTCTGTGTGGTTATTACTTTAATTCGATTAAGAACTTCATTTTTTTTTCTTAATGCTTCGTATTCCGAAGAATCAACAGTTACATTGTTCGCAACTTGATCGAATTTATTCAAATCTTGATTGCAGCGTTGTGCTCTTGCGTGTAAATCAACAAGTAAATTACTGCACTGTCGAGGATTCGTGGCATTCTGAGAAGAGAAAACACACAATGTAATGAACAATAAAAACAAATAGAAAAAACAGCCATGTAGTGCAAATAACATTGTTTACCAAAACAAATCTTTCTTTTTTCAGCATATCCTTTTTCGCTAAACAGTAAAATTTATCACTAATGTTTTTCCAATCTCTAACTCAATTTCTATACTATGGAATATGCTAAACTTAATTATTACATACCCCTTTAATTTTTTCGAAATCTCTGCATATAAGTTCTAAGACATCATCAATAAGTTGAACATCTTTTTCAATGCTTAAAAGTCGACCGTAATGCGTGTCTTCAGCACCTTTTAACTAAATATATTCATGAAAACATTAAATCCTAACAACGTTAGAAAAAAAAGTAGTATATGTGACGGCCTCACTAATTTTGTTAATTTACTTTTCTCCAAATTAAAAAATATTTAAGACCTTCTATAGCACAATGATTACTAATGTTTTAAAAAAGCAAGAATACCTTTTCGCCAATAAGTATAATTTGATTACCATTAAAAATTCCAAGGGAAGATAATGATGTATCTGGGCATTGATGAAGTCGTTGTCCTTATAAGATACGAAATCAAAATACTGCACATGTAACAAAATCGCAACAGTTCATATTACCTCGAAACATCAACTTCTGATTTGCAACCATCACACGCGCTTTTTTTTCCAATTCTTCTTGTAGATCTCGAACCAGAGGTTCACGTTCCATATGCAAATGAACTTCATAACGATCAGATCCTAGAATAAAGATAAATCTGTTCAAGGTCGATCTGGTATCCTTTTTAGCAAAAATACACATTGGAGCTAAAAAGTGAGTCATACAATTCACACATACGGAAAAGACAGAAGATTCTTCTAAGAAGAATTCTTGTGGATGAGTATTTTAGTAAAATAGCATAAATTAGCTTTAGGCCACGAATGAAAAGGCGTTTTGGACGTTTATAGTCTAGTGCAAACTATAAAAGTTAAATGAAGCGAAAAATAGTTTAGATTAAGATTGGGCAGATTTAGGGTTAAATAAAGCAGGGTAAGAAGGCTAAATAGAGGATAATAAGGCTGCTTATGAGGACAAATTGTTTGGCTACGTCCGTCTCTGCTCGTTCGCCCGTTTTTAGATAGAGAATATACTAGCAAAAAGCTTTCAGAGTTAATTTCGCTTCAGAAATGTCTCGTACCGTGAAGAACTCCAAGATGTAAGATAAAATAGCGACTATTTATTTCTCCGCCGTTCATTGCTTAAGAAATTTGGCAGAAAGCGGTTTTTAAACTTTAGTTTGTAGTTCGGCAGTTGTTTAAAACAAATTATTCGCCATACACGTAATGCTTTTAAACTGTTGCTGGGCCATCCAGAACGAATCTGTTAATTGTGATTCATTTCGTCAGCTCTTCCATCTGGAAAGAGTATCCCATGTTAAAAAATTGCTAAAAGAAATGTCTGACAGCAGAATATTTGTTGTAGATGTCACCCTTTGCGCTAAAATTGCTTCCTTAAGTATGTTCAGTCTCACTTTTTCATTATATCTTTTCATCAATAAGGAGGAGCATATCTTGCTTTATTCTATTTCTCTCGTCGATTCGTAACAGAAAAATCTTTCTAAAATGGTTTTTTTCTACCAGAACAGAAAATCGAGTTTTTATAAATTTTAGTTAATTTTAGTTAATAAAAACCCGATTTTTCCCGAAAAATTCACTGTATGTTGTCGATAAATTTAATGATTATTAACGCGTTCCATGTACAGAATAGATCATTTCTTATTAATTTAAATTCTTATTAATCGATTCTACATTGTCGGTTTCGCAATTAATTTTTCAGATTTAATGTTTATACTATTCTACATCAAATAGCAATGAAATATCGTTCAATTTCGACTACATCCACTCCTATAAAAAGAATTTTCATGTAGTGGTTTTTAATGCGACCACCTCATTCATCATTAACATCCAAAATTTATCTATTTTGACACATCTGAGATGAAACAAGCATTTGCTGTAATGTTTTATGTTAAATTTATGTGAAATATGATTTGATTTAGACTTGGGACCTACGATAAAATGACTCGGACTAGAAAAAGGAAACATTCGTCACCTGTGAAAAAAAGACTTGATTTTTTCGCAGAAATATGTTCTTTCCTCAAAAAACGTCGGCACGACTAACATTTATCATGCGCTCACCATCATCATTATCACATTTATCGTAAGCAGTGTTCACCCTAGGGAAAACAAATTTTTTCTACGTTGATTTCATTCAGTAGCCTTTCAAGTGTGTCTAGATCATATATTGTGATGGTGAGGATCTATAATTCTTTTGAAGGAATGTGCGGTTTTGATGACCCATCGATTTATGACGATACTTTGCTAGGAAAACGTGAAAACTAAAGATACATGCGGTGCTTGTGGTCGCACGCATTGTATTACTAAGGTAGACAGTTACTACTTTGGCAGTAAATCGGGCATAATCTTTTTCAAATAATATAGCTACATAACTCGTCACGAGATGCGCTTAGTGAGATCCTATGGGGTGCTTGTATATACTGAGAGACTAAAGTCTCGCAAATCGCGATTGTTTTATTTAGTAGAAAAGTCGATTTTCTCTTTGAGAACGAATATATGGCTTCTCTATTGAAAACAGTTATGAATAGCAAAATGTGAAGAATTTTAACGACGAGTAGTACTTTCTTGCAACGAGTTGAACTTTTAATGTTTGTAACTCTTCAAGTATTTTTATTGACTACATGTTTATTTCATAAAATCATTAGATCAATTTACTTTCAGATAGAGATGGTCATTCTTTTTTTAAGTCAATAATCGCAAGTTCTTTTTGTTCGTCTAAATGGTGTTTTCTTTCACCTCTATATTATTCCTTTTCTTATACGTATTATTATTTTATTCTCTTGTTTGTTGTTTCAAAAAATCAAACAATTAGCACTCGACTGGTACTGGTTGAAAGGAAAAAGATTTGTTAGTTTTATAAAGATTCATTGCGACATGTTACAGATTATGAATTAACCCAAAAAATAACGTTCATATGGCACAACTAAATCAACGATTATCGAATAAGCCTCGAGATTTGACTCGACGTACACCCAATCAGTTGCAAAACCGTAAAAGCAACGCCTCACCATTTAGAAATAATGAGCCAGTGTCAAGAATACGTAACCAACAACAAATGAATACAGTACTACCATCATTAAATACAAACGGAAACCAACAACGTCGTCCATTGTCAAGATCGAACAATGTTCATCCTCCACAACAGAAATTATTAGGTCAACGTATGTCTCAATTTTATCCAAATAGATCCGAGACAATTATTTTCGACGAAAATCATGTACACAGTACAGAATATTATCCTCAGCAACAGCAGCAATTTGATCAACGGAGAAATACATACGAAATGGAACAATTTCATCAGAATCACGATTCAAGTATGTTATTCCCATCACAAAGAAATATTCTCTATCGAGAAAATGATATAAAGTATGATCCTTTGACGGGACAACAAATGAATCGAAAATACGATGAAAATAATTACATCTTAGACAATTATGAAAATGCAAAGCAGAATCAACATCAGGATAGAAATATGAACACAAAAACTTATCCACAATATCAAAGTGAACAAAAACCATTAGAAGTTAGAAGTCGAAGTGTTAAAAAAGATGATCAGAGTGTAAGTTTTTGTACAAACTTCTGCACGTTTAGTATCCGACTACTTTTAGTGAAGTACAATCTGTTCTTCTGTGCATACTAGGCCTGCAAAAGTTCACGTTTCGTTCCTTGAACGTGAACGCTAAAGCACCGGTGAACGTGAGCTTTTTTTATACCAGCGGTGTACATATTGTCTGAAGTAGATATAAACTTTTGTTCTTGTACTGTAGTAAGAACATATATACTTCTGCTTGGTCTTATCTGATCAACAGAAACTCTAGTGAAGGATCAGATGGTCTGCTCAGGGTAGTGACCAGGTTATTGCAATGTAAAAAGGATACTCCTTGATTCTCTGATCAAGACAATGACTCTTCCAAGAACAGATCGCGGATTACCTGTCCAGCACACTGTAAAAAAGAAAGCACTCTCTGGTGGTGCTGATCCTATTTGTAGCGGTCTTGTTTTACCGTGCTTTTGAAGTGTTTGACTGGAAGACACTTTGAAAAGTGCTTTAAAGAAAACCACTTGCAAAGCGTTCTCCAGTGGTCACTTGAAAAGTAAACCAAATAAAGATCGCTACAAATAGGATCAGCGCCATAAGAGATCGCTTTTGAAAGTGCTCTTCTCTTGGCCACTTTTTCGAACGACATTTGTCGAATTTCATTATATTTGATTTTGAACTTATAAATATGATTTTCTAATTTTGTTAATTTTTAGTTCCTTTGAACCATGGAACTGTTCTTAGCACCGGTCTCAAAAGCCTGATACGGTCACTAATACTAATCTGTAGGCTAAGACTACTTCTTCGAGACAAGCTTCGATGACTTGTATAGTCGTTCAAGAGAAAAATTTCTAAGTTATTCGAAGAAAATCAGCGTTACATATACACTAGTAGTAATAGCAAAATAAAAGAGGTGAATGACTTGTCAACATGACTTTAAAAAGTGGCTTTTCAAAAAACTGCTTAATGTTACACTGTTTGGCACAGTGTTTTCTCTTGAGTCACTTCAAAAGCATCTTTATACTATACATTTTTAAAAATGCTCTTTTTGCAATCACTTTGAAAGCGCATTTTTTCACGAAGTGTTCTAGTTTACAGCAGATCAAAAGTGATTTATTTTCTCTATACCTGAAAGGGCTATGTTTAACCATGCACTTTATAGTAAAACAGTTTTCATAAAAAAACACTTTTTGTAGCACTTTATTTTTTACAGTGCAGACTAGTTTTTCCGGCACTGGAACAGAAGTTCCTTGGTCCAAACCATTACAGTAATTATATACGTTTTCCTTTGTTATCGTAACTCATTTGGGACACACGAGCGTTGATTTTTCACTAAATATAACTGGCAATGGAGAAAGCTGTTTCACTTGGTATACTACTAGGTGAAATTGCTATATAACGTTTTGCAATACTATTCATTCCACTCAAGATCAACACCATTCATATAAAATAAAGTTAGTGTTCACCAGAACATTCGTGTTCACGTTCAAGGACCGCCAACGTGCTTCAGCGTTATGTTCAAAGAGAAAGCTAAAAAGGCTACTTCACACATATAATAAAGCATACTCCAAACAACTTTTCATTCATATTCTCGACGATGTTGAAGAGAACCAATAATTTATACGGGTATTAAATCGTTCTTCATCTTTGTTCTACCCCTAAAGTTAAATCAATATTCAACATTGAACTAATTTTTAGATGGAAGAATCGATAGTGATACAATATGATGATGATGATGATGAACTACCACCAGTTAGCAGTCGACTACCTGTATATGCCAGATTTCCCTTCGAAGTATCAGTACGTATTTCTTCTAATTTGGAATTGTGAATAATCCACCACTTTTGACTCTGCCATCGTTTTTATTGAGTTTTAAGTTGAAAGCATTAGGTTGAGGTTTTTATCAAATCTTGGCTGCTCATTTCATTCGCATTGAGTGATTTTTAAAATTTTTGCACATGTTTTATTACAAATTGACATTTTGAAATTATTTCAGAAATAAGATTTTATTTCTCGTTCTGTCTGAGAACATAAAACGTCAGTTTGATGGATCAAATTTAGTTTTTTTTTCTTTTTTTGTATGCATAATAATAATATACGATGCCACTTTAAAAGGCGAAATTGAATACTTGTATTTTTGTGATTTTTGATAAAAATATTTTTAGTGCTGCAGCAATAACACAGATAATAATTATAATGAAACTTCTTCTCTAACTGACAGTGAGCTGCGAAAAGACGAACTTGTAACGTTTTTCGTTAACCAAATTTCTTGTCATAGTGCCATTTAGCATTAAGCTCATCTGATGGTTACTTCTTTAATTTCTTCTTTTATATTTAGTTTCTTCCACCACCGATGGAAGCAAATATTGAAGATCATATTCACAAACTTCGATTGCGTCTAATCAATTCGGTAACTGAAACTTTAAAATTGGAATATGTTTTATGCAAAAATATCTACGTTTCATTGTAATTAATTTGTGTAGGAATTAGACCATCAACGACGAAGTGCCAATGAATATTTGATGAGAACACGTATGTTGAACCTGAACGTTGCTAAAAACCAAAAATGAAGTTATTGTCCTCGATAGAAAATTAATCTAAGATGTCCACTCTTTATCAAAGAAAAAATTCTAACGTAACGCATATTTTTCCTAACTGGAAGTATCAAACTAGGACAATAAAAGCGACTGTCGTATACGTCTAGTTACGTTCAGTTTACAGTCGTAATAAAATCGTAAACGATTGTATTTGATCGTGTATCGTTTATAACCGTATGAGTTCGCTCTGGGAGACTAAACACGACAACGGCAGCTCTTGAAAGCCCATCGACAGTCAAAAACTATATTATCCATTTATTATCTATTCTATTTCATCGTTTCATGAGCTAAGACAATAAACTGTGTCTGATTCAAGCTTTTTTATCTACATCTCGACAGTGATTAATATAGTGCACAGAGTGTCAAAACTATCTCTGAATTTATGATCACAACATTTTTTTTTTTTATTCGTTTTAGATCGTTTCGCTCAGAATGATGAATTTATTGGAAATCATTCGAATCTTGAAGAATTTGAAATACGTCGAATACGTGTAAGTTCATTTAAAATTAAGTAATTTTCTTTCGTCACATATTCATAGATAGTTTATAATTAAATTTAAAAGGATTCATTGATGAATGAACGATCACAACATCCAAATCCATCAATGACATTACCAAATTTCTCTAATTATAATAATTTAATTACAATGGGTAAAATATTCCTTAGTTAGATAAATGGTAAACTTTTCTTCATTTTATTATTGTAGATCAACAACAATTTTTAACATCGGATATAGATGATATAATAGATTCGATGGCTAGACGTCATTTAGCATACAAAAAATTCGATGCAAGTATTATATTATGAAAATAATCATTAAAAATATTATGTTTTGTGATCGAAATAATTTCTAAACTAGAAATTATCTTCTCGCTGATTAGTAATATTTAGATGTATTAGTAATTTTTTAGAAAGCAGTTGGCAGACAACAATATTCTCGAATAAATCATAGTAATTCGTATAGTGGTAAGCATATGTGAGAGACTAGATTGGACTTTTATGCAATATTTTGTCATCCTATATTTAAATTTAAGTCTTCTCTAGTCGTCTTTAAAACTTTATGTTGAAATAGTCAAACAATTGAAAACGATAAAAGAATCCTTGATTTTTTTTCTTCTACATTTGACACTCAAATAAGAAAACGAAGACTAACATTCATTCTTCGAAAAAAAAAAATCATTTTCATAAACAATACAACAGCATATTAAATAAATACATTCATATTTCTTCAAATCTACTTGACAAATATCATTATTTTATCATTCTTCATTCGATTTTACGAGCATTGATCGAATAAACAATAGAGAGTGTCTTTTTCTGTTGATCGGACAATGACATAAGATCAACAACAATTTTCATTTTAAAATATCCCATATCTTTCAAGCAATAGAAAAAACCATTATCTTCGGATAATATGACATGAGAATTTTTTACTTTGATGTTGGAATAGATATAACAATTTAGTCCTAGTAGAATAAAACGTCAATATTACAATTGATAACATATTAAACTTAGAAATATATCATTTTTAATCACTCATCAAGTTCAATCTGATCTAAATTCAAATTTTATCTAAAATTATATGTTTAGAACTGAGATACAGCATTTAACTCTTAAATCTTTCAAAATGTCTATGATGTTTTGATTTGAGTTTTTTATATTTTTCTTTTTAAAATTTTGTTTAAGATATGAAACGAACATCACGAGAGAAAATAGATTATCCGTATCTTCAAGATACCAGACGTTTATCGCATGACAGTGATTTTTTCTTTACATCTGGAACACCGATAAGTCTTCTAGAAAGAGGTTAGTTCTGAAAATGTAAAATGTAAAATTAAAGACTATTGAATACATCGTTTTATTTTTCATCATAATTAGATTTTATCAAAAATAATCCAAATTTAAAAGAAGTATTAAAATCTCGAATCGATATGTACAATCGACTTACATCAGAATCTGATAATGTATATTATCGAATCTGTTCAATTAATACAGATTTTTTTCATTTATTTCTTTCTTTTTTATGTAGACGTTTAATAGATTCATTAATCCTCAATTGTCCTACAGTAAATTACCACCAATAATATCAAATGAACAGTAATAACTAATTATCAACTATTTTGTTGAGTTATTTTTATGGTATATAAGTAAATTGTCTCTAATTTTCTATCTAGCGACCATGAGCCAATAATAAAACAATCCGCCAAGACAAGAATATTACCGTTGAGTTTACCGGAAAATGCTGAACATACAATTCGTTTACCAAGTGATATATTTTTGACATCAAGATCAGAAAAAGAAAAAGGTGATGGACAATAAAATAAAAGTTTTAAAAAAAATAATTAGTTTTTTTTTAAAATTGTAAAAAACTCACGTAAAATAACAAAAAATTTGACAAATGTGTCTTGTCATCATACTCATTCATTTTTATGCATCTGTGAAAAAATACTTTAAAGATTTCGTTATTATTTTAAACAAATACTGTTAATAGATTGTTTATTTTTGGTTTCGTTTATTAAACAATATTAGAAGATTTTTTTTTATAATTTTATTTTTTCTAGAACCGAATAAACCTAATTCAAATGAACATAAAGAAAAACTAAATCGTCCTTTATCATATACAGGTAAATTGCATAGAATTTTAAAAAATTTAGATTATTTTTAAAATATATTTTAAATTTTAGGATCAGATAATTCTGTTGAATTGGCTGTTGATCGATTAAAAAGTGGAAATCGGACACAAAGTCAGTTCAATATAGTTAAAAAGTGATATTTAAATTATTTTCAAATTATTTTAGTTATCTCATTTCTTACAACGTTCGACACAGTTCGACCACCATCAAATCGATCAGTAAAATCAGATAAACTCAAAATAACTGATGTAACTACTCCTGAACATGGTAAATATACTCTAACTACTATTACATGGTTGACTAATATTTTTTTCGTTTTTATTTTTTTTATATGGGAGTCATTCACATACACTTTACAAAAAACTTGGATTTAAAGAAGTGGCTATCGATATTTATTTTATATCATGTTTGAAACATTATGCAGCAATAAGTCGTAAGGTTAGGTTTATTTCAAACTGGTTTTTATAAATATTATTTAAATATCTATGATAATTTAGAATCCTCCAAGAGAATCTTACAGTGCTTCAATATTAAAAATTCGTTTACAAGAAATAATTGTTGCATTACATCGAGTTTATCTCGAGGTAAAAATGAATTGATATTGGAAAAGATTAATAGTTCAATATTTAAATTATTTTTATTTGCTAGCCGGACGGTCCAATCTATGTTGCATTATTGAAAAGTATTCATAGTCCATTATATGAAGCATTAACAACATCATCAACAAAATATGATGAAGCAATTAAATTGATTTGTGAAGCATTAAAAAATGTTATATCAAAAATTGTTGATTTTATGGTAAATACAAAGTTTAATTAATTTAAAAAAAACAAACAAAAGATTTATGTATTTATCTCTCATTTTAGCCACGTGATGGTGTATTAGGTTCCAGTCAATATTCAGCTATTTCAGCTCTTATTCAAGATGGAAATCATTTTCCTGATAAATATTTTTGGCAATGTGAACGTGTACGAATTTTATTATTATTTTTTTTTGTATCTATTTTATCTTGTCGATATATATATATTTTCTCTAGAAACAATTAGAATTTAACGATTCAAATGAAAAAACAGTAAATGTTACGAAACAGCGTGCAACACTATTATTAATAGGCGTATTTATCTTTCGTGCACTAGTTACAACAGTAAGTAAATATGAGACTTTAAATAAACATACATAAAACTAAAAAAATAAGATTTATTTTTAAGCTACTTTGCAAACCAATCAAATATCGTTTAATGTTAGGTGAAATATCTTCATCTCAACAAGCAAGTTTAAAAATATTAGCTACACTCATTTTATATATTGGACGTCGTGTTTGCGTACAATCTGGAAATATTTTAGTAAATATATAATTATTTATATATAAATTTCTTGTCTATATATATAATAATTGATTTTTAGCCATTACCACATGAATGGCAATTCTCATTATTCAATGATACAGTCATTGAACATATTGTACAAAATTCTGAAATAAAATCGATTATTCAAATGTGTGAGGTAATGTTATTCTATTCGAGTAAAATTAAAATGATTTATCAATTTTTCATTATATTATAGATATCACTACGAAAATGGTGTGATGAATATATCCAACGGATCGATAATAGTATGGGTAAACAGTTGCGTCTCTAGAGTGTGTATAAGAATTTTTAGTGTACATATGTTCTAAGCATGTTTTTTATCTTTATTATTTAAATTTTTTATAAAAAAAAAAAAGAAAAAAAAAGAGAAAAAAACATTTTATTGTTAATCTGCTAATTTTCTATACTATTTTCTAGAAAATATGAGACACAAACTTTTCTTTTAGATATTAAAAATGAGTAATGATCAGAACATATTTAGATCAATAAGTTTCATAATTTATACTCAAACCTGATTGCATAATTATTTATGTGATACGCGACACAAATTTTCCATAATCGAATTGTTTTCCATTTCTATTACACTTTCATTTTCTCTTTTTTTTTTTTTCTTCTTACAATACAACATATTTCCTTGGGGAAATCTTTCATTTTCTTCTTCTTCTTCTCCTCCGTTCAAAAATCTATTTTTTTTTTTTTTCGAAAATTGAATTTTTTTTCCTATTTATATAGTACGAACATGTGTTTATCACTGTTTTTTGTTCATTCAAAGTACAACGAAAAATCACATAGACTGCTTGCACAAAGAGAAAAAAAAATATATATATACACACGTTAGAAAGAAAACAAATAGAGAACGGACGGCATTCATAAACTTTTTGTACATTATATTATTGAGAATTATACTGCGTACGACACAGATGAATGGATGACATTACTAATTATATTGATATTTATATAATTTTGAAAATATCAGCAAATCTGTCTTAAATCATTGTTTGAAAGAAATTGCTATACACCATTTTCATTGTTACACAATCACATCACACATTCATTTTTCATGCCACAACTTCAGTCAGCATTGTACGAGATGAATGTAATCGTGATGCTGCTCGATTTGCAGTATCAATTGTACTTGTACTATTATTTGTTGGCGATGTATTAATACTTTCAACTTTCATTTCTATTTCCTCTAAATGAAGAGAAAATGCGTAATTAGACCTTATCTTCCGATGACACGGAAGAGATAATCAATTATTTCTCAGAATATGTTGTATTTGTAACAATTTACGATAATTGATTCTAGATAAAATTCTTGGAAAAAAAGTCATTCGCATTGAAATTCTACCGTTATAAACATGAGAACAAAATTTATCAAACAGAAATATTTCATAATTATTTTTCTTCTACTTTCTTATATAAAAGTTTTCTCAAATATTTTTTTGATTGAAGTAATTTAATGAGCTCATAATAAACATTTACTTGCCATAAAAGAACACATAAAACAATGAACAATTAAAAATTTTAACAATCAAAGCTAAATTTTCCTATAAATGACAAACAACAAATACTATATACATGCAAGCTAAGCTAGTACATGGAAAGTCATACAATATTCATGCAAATCTATAAGATATGTCAAAAATAAAGTAAATGGAAAGGGGAAAGATTATCTTTTCTAGACTATTGATAGTTTACAGGTATCTGTAAAAGCTCTACATATACATGAAACACGGTTCCTTATTCCCAATTAACTAACTAAACTTACGTCATAGTGGGTGATCTTCTAAAGAAAGAATAAATAAAACACGAAATGCAAAATAAATGGTTAAAAGATAGAATAAATAACCTCCCCTTTCCCCTTAAAACTAATTATTAAATAGGATTATTAAAAAAAAAAAGAAGAAAAGAGTAATTAAGCGTGCACTCATTTATCACCACTGTGTAAGAAGTTAAATATATATCTACAAGAGTAATAAAAATATAATTTCTATTCTCTTAAATAGTATACATGCCATACGAGAAATAAAACCATCACCTATAGTTGGCATTGGTTACCTCTTACCCAGAAAGCTAAACTTTGGCCGTATGATGATTAATTTTGGGACTGGGTTGTATCATTGGAGTCCGTTCTTCTTCATCGCCTATACGATTAAGCATAAGTTTTAATCATATTTAAAAAAAAAATCAAAATATTTTATGAAACAAAAACTGCTGGATCATTGTTGGTTTGAGAAAATTTCCGAAAGATTTATTGTATGGAAAAGACGTATGCCTGAGAATATTCATTAATTTAATTTAATTTAATTAAAGTTTTCACAGAATATTATCGTTCGCTCATTAGTATTAACTTTCACGTTTCATGCCGAACTTCCTTGTATTTCGAAAAATATGTCATGTTGAATACAAACAGTTTTTGGAAGTAAATGGGAAGGAAAGAAATTTTTGAACATTAGAAAGATATTTGAAAGTTAGAAATAAGTAAGAGAATGAATATGAGTTATTTCAAAAATTCTATTATCGATGGTCTAGTAATTAAGAAACGTGGATACATAAAAATGACTGTTCTGGTATCTTAGCGATCTGCATCTTATCTCTAGACATATCTCCGAAAGGAAAATTTCTCAGTTATTAAGTGGAATGTTAATGACCTTGGTTAGGTCAAACAGTCAGTGGGGAAATAACTTCAAAAAATTTTTCAGAAAATCACTGTTTTTATATTAATAGAACAAAACGGTAAATTAACAACAGAAACTTTCTAGGAAGTATGCAAAGTCTCTCAACTCCAGAAAAATGAAAAATGAATGGAATTCATTAGTTTTCACAAGGCTTCATTTAGAACTTCTAGGAGTTTCTCATTTTTCGAAATAGTGGTGCAGAACTTTGCAGGAAATTGTCGTCTAAGATCAGACATTTTTCTCGTATAATGGTTCAACAGAATATAAGAAACTATCCATATATTCTGTGATTTTAAGCAAAGCTAGTTTCGAGAGAGCAATTTAAGAGAGCAGTGGTACAGCAGCGATGTAATATAACAGCAGGAGCCTATCAGATACAATAAACTAACAGTTCATAGGACACATAACATTTTGGCCTGTTTTATGCAAGAAAAACCGAATGGCAACAACAATGACATGATCAGAAAGTAATTCTGCGGAAAAAGCAGTAGCAGCAGCAACATTTTTCAAATAATCAGCTAGAAAAAGAACACTGCAGTTTGACTCATGAACTTTTAGTACATGTAATATGCTTATTCTAATCATAAAATAATTTTGATTAAAATGGAGAAAGTTTATNTTCATAGGACACATAACATTTTGGCCTGTTTTATGCAAGAAAAACCGAATGGCAACAACAATGACATGATCAGAAAGTAATTCTGCGGAAAAAGCAGTAGCAGCAGCAACATTTTTCAAATAATCAGCTAGAAAAAGAACACTGCAGTTTGACTCATGAACTTTTAGTACATGTAATATGCTTATTCTAATCATAAAATAATTTTGATTAAAATGGAGAAAGTTTATCGGTTACTGTTATGCAGAAGAATTCTATCTGTCCAAATTATGAGATTAATTATCTAATACGGACCTTGATGAACATACTTGGTGAGGTAAACTGTCTTTAACTAACTTTGGATATATATCTAATATTTTCCATACAGTTATTTAATGCCTGAATCCACCTTCTAACTAGATAGATGTATTTTTTATGCATAGAAAGGAAGACTAGATAAAGGTACTGATACCTTTTCTCACTATATGATTAGTTTGTTTATAATACGACCTTCAACTATGCTGACCCTTATCAGAGTAGTACAACAAGTGTAATCAGTGAATTTTCTGGCTAACACTATCAAGTTAATAGTAAGAAAATAATAAAGCAATTTCTTATCCTTCACTGTTCAGAATAATTTATTTTTCATGTATTTGTTCAAATTAGCAAAGTAAAGGCGATAAATAAAAATATTCACTTAGTCTATTCATAGTTCTCTTTTTGTATTTACGTCACGAAATTAATTGGTTATTCCACTTTGTTTCTAACAAAGCGCTAATAACACAAATTCCAATACCAAATTGAAAAAAACAGCAAGCAATAAACCCTCTTTTTCTTTCTCTTTAGAATAAACGAAAACGTTTTGTGCCGATAATATATTATCGGTTTTCATAGATATAACACTCATCGACGTGTGATTCTAAGCTGTAAACTTCATTATGAGAATTAACGACACAGAAAATAGAAATAATCAGTAGTACAATTGGCCAGAAAACAAAGAAGAAGGAGAAATTGTTGTCGTATGTATAACCTATTTACAAAGAGTACAAGCAGATGTATAACACACACATCTTTGAATCGATCAAAATTAGATTTGACGATATGTTTGCTCTACCTTCCATAAATGACTGGAAAGCATTTGTAACTAAAATAGAGATATTCAATGTGCGAACCATATGCGTGTGTGTATACCATCCTTGTTGATGGTACACGCACAGGTGACTCCATTTTTTCTATCTAGAGGATAAGCAAATTGATTATTACTTACCAATTCTATTATTCATGATATTGTTTTCACCTGGATTCATTCCAAATTTATTAGCCAAATTCCCACCACCACCCGGTTGTTTGATGGCGTTTTTCCGTGGTCCACCGCCTGTAGGGCCAGGAGGATTAGATGAGCCCATTCCCGCCACACTACCAAATTTACTGCCTACATTACTACCGCCAGTGGTCGGTGGCATTCTTGTCGGTCGCACCTGTTCTACTGGTAGCACTCGACGTCGTTTTTTCGGTAATTTACTTCGTGCTTGAGTATGTGAATAATACATAGCAAAATTGGCTACAATGACAGGCACTGGTAGTGCAATGGTTAATACACCGGTTAGAGCACAGAGGCCACCCACAAGCATGCCAGCATACGTCTTCGGCACCATATCACCGTAGCCCACCGTGGTCATTGTCACAATACTCCACCATAAACCAATTGGTATTGATGTAAAGTCATTATCCGGATTTTTTTGTAAACGTTCAGCATAATAGATGAGTGACGCAAATATAACAATGAATAAAACGAGAAAAAATATTAATAACATTAATTCACGCATTGATGCTTTAAATGTATGTATCAAAATTTTTAGTCCACCATAGTGTCTCGTTAATTTAAATAGCCTAAATATGCGTGTAATGGAGAAAAATTCAAATAAATCCGTGTTTGTTAAACTTGGTGGTACAACTTTATTCAATAGAATATCCGTATAAAACGATAATGTGGCAACGAAATCAATAATATTTACAGGCGATTTAATAAAGGCAAATTTTTTTGGTGATACGATAAAGCGTGTAATGATTTCAAATGTAAACCAAACGTTACAAGCTATTTCGATGTATGTAAAAGCTTCGTGTGCTTCAGTACGTTCTTTATACAAAGTATAAGTTGGCACTATACTTGTAAAATTATTATTAAGCAATGTTATGGTTGGCACACGCATCATCGGATGTGTTTTTAAACAAAATGATATTATCGATACTAGGATAAAAAATATACTAACAACTTGAATAGCCTAGAATGAAAACAGAAGATAATTTCAAATAAAAGCGCTAAGAAAAAGAAATCACCCACCTTAGCAGCACTAGAAGAATAGGGTTCTTCAAATAACTGCCATATTCTTGGCTGGATTCGTTTAAACCATGGTAAGGTTTTCATATATTCTTGCAGTGACATATTTTTATGACGAATTGTTGAATCAAAATCCCAACCTTAAAGAAAAGACAAAAGATTTTCTTACAATTTGGTATGATACACGAAAGTATGGTACAAAAAAGTGACACTGATAATAAAAAAATGTGAATTTTTCTTTTTCTTTTTGCAAATGTGCATTTTTGTTCTACATTTATGAAATGACTTACCAAATTTTCTTGGAATTTCTTCTTCGTTAATTGGTTCCGCATCCAAATCTAATCGATCTAATACGCATAACACATCTTGAGTATCTCTAGAAAATACAGAAGAAAAAAAAAATTAGAATAAATTTGTTTAAATTGGAAGAAATCAAGACCTAGAGAGCGCATCATCCGAACGCCGCCCTTTACTTTTTTTTGATAGTTTAGCGCAACATGTAGTTTAGAAAGAAAATTTTCAAAATACAAGTATTTTTCTAAAATCTTGAACAATTAAAATATAGTACATAGAGAGAAGTAATTTATAAGTATTAAAAAAATGATGTAAACTATTTTTTTTAATCAATCAAAGTGATCTAATAAAGTATTAATCTTTTCACTTACCTATGGGTTGTATACGTCATCCAACAGCAAGGTTCAACTTGATTTGCATCTAAACCCCAATATTCTAATTCTGTTTCAAATAAAGGTCCACTGAAAAACAACAACAGAAAAAAGATATTAATTACTATTTATTATGGTTTTCAAGTAAATATACACACCAAACATCTGTTGGATAATGTAATTTTCCTGTTCTATAATAATTTAAAATTTGAGCAAATACACCAGGGTGACGATCAAAATAATATTCATTTAATACTGGATCATAATTTGATAATGCTTCTGTTAAACGTGATAATCTCGTTGCAGGAATTTTTTTTAATGTTGCTTTATAAGTTTCATGTCGAATACCGCCAACATTTAATATAACACGATTATCAGCATCGGCCATCAAAAACACAAACCTATATTTTATTGATGATTGCCTATTTACATTATAATAATCAATTAAAAATATTTGATATTTAAGTTTTTGTACTTTTATTATAACATTGAAAAATGACAAAATAGAATTTACGCTGTCATACATAAACGCAGCATATAAAACTAGTTTAAGAAATTATATTGTTTCAAACAGAATATTTAAAACAGATTTTCTATATATAGATAATTTCTGTTTCAATAGGTTTTTAATACATTCATGATTAAATAATTATCTGAAAATTTTGTGCAGATCTAAAATAAGAAAATAGAAAACAAAATTATCGTTTATAAATAAAAGAAGTTAGTTAAAAAATAATGACATTTATCTGACCTTTGATTACAAAACGTTTTTCTGTTATAGTTTAGATATAGGTACATCGTTAATAGCTCTTTAAAATATTGTTGTATATATTATATATTTACTGTAGAGTGCTAAGTTACAAATAACATCAAACAAATATTCATCAATCTATTTTTCTTTACTATTACTACTATACTATTGCGTTTTCCTTCTTTCGAGAAAACCGGAGAGAGAGAGAGAGAGAGAGAGAGAAAGAGAGAGAGAGAGCGAGAGACGAAGATAGGAAGAAGAGAAGAGTGACGGCAATATTATGAAGTAGATTCACAAGTACATTTACTGATTTCTATGTCTATGCTATGTCAAATTAGACAGAGAGGTGAAGGAAGGCGGATGCTAGAGATTGAAGAGTAGAGAGAAAGAGAGAAACCAACGAGAAAAAAAAAGAATTTTTTATATGTGTCTGTTGTTTGCGGTATAGACTAACACCCAAATACATATCTATAGTGATTGATGCAGCGATCAAGTAACATAAAGAGAAATAAATAGATGGTTACATGTGAAAAAATTATGAATAATCAATATAATCAACATAGTACCTGATACTAATCTATTTTCTCTATATTAATTTATTTAAATAAAAAATTAGTGTAGAATATCTTTGCCAGAAGTCATATAATTAGAAGAACAAACGGAAATTTTTAATATAACAACATCAAATTATAAGTTAGAAAATTGTTCATCTCACCATTTTTAATCATATAATTCCTTATTGTATATCCACCACTTAATGATAATATGTGACTTAAATATTAGTCTTGCGTTTTTGATATAATATATTATTCAAAAACGGCAATAAAAAACAATGAGTGAAAAGGTGAGAAAATATATTATTTACAATTATATTTATACAATGCATTTTTATATTAATTTTCAACGATCAATGATATAGAGATAATCAAACACTCTAGCAATCTACAAGCAAATAGCTTTTCTTTTTCCAGAAGAACTCTTCTTCTCAGTTGACTTGTGTGATCATAAATGTTAATTGTACACATACACTAACAGAATGCCTTATAATTTATAGACACATGGTGTATCATCGACCGTTGATGATACCATTATGGTTTTCTCAGGGTACGTCAAGGATATTTACCAACAAAAAAAAAAACAAGAAAAAACGTCGTTCTTTTATTAAAAAAACTTATAGAAACATGAATAATTTAAAAAAAAACATTCTTCTCTATTTAACTAAGTATAGGGTTTCCACCGTTATTAAATGTACTCAATAATACTCCTCACATCAGTGGACACTGTTATTAATTTACGGTAATATCAATCTACTATGTTTTACAAAAGATTAAACGATCTATATTTCTATGATTAGAAGGGAAACAAAATTTCATAAAATTTTTAATCTTTTCTAACTTATTGAAACAATACTAACCTTTAATACACTCTCATCTCACATGGTCATACTACTTCGTTTTTCTGTTCAATAAGTGCCATACACGCAAAAAGAATTCTAATGGGAATATAGTATAATACTGCAAAAAATTAATTAGAAGAAGTGAACGAAGAAAAAAAAAAGGTATTGAGTTATACTTCACATTTGTCTATCAAGAAGACAAAACAGAGATCATTTTACTTTTTAAAAACAAAACCATCACGTAGTTATTATAGTAGATATCTAATTGTATATTTTATCATCAAAAAACTACGTGATGAATGTTTTTATTGTATAATATGATATATAACGAAATTGAAAAAGTCTCTATCTAATCCTGTTTTCAGTACAAAAAACTGTAAATCAAAGATGAGCGTGCATACACACGCGTTTCCCGTTTATATATTTTTACATTTTTTTTTTTTTGTTCACCATACTTTTTTTTGACAATAAAAAGAAGAAAAGTATTATGTGTGATAATAAATGAGTTTTTTTTTTTTTATTGCTACGACCATCAATGCTGAAAAGTATTTTTTAAAAAAAATGTTTTCTAAAGATTATTCTGACGCAGAAAACAAAAGAGAAATAATACCTAACTATATACTTGTATATTTCAATTCCTATTTTATATCTAGAGGGAGAGGTCATTTATTTATCTGTTTTGAAGAAAAAAAAAACATTTCTTTAGAGACGAAGATGATGGTTTGAGAAGATGAATTATATGTTTCAGAAATTGACGAGAATCTTTATTATTTTATCGCTACTTAAACATATATTCTTAATGAGTTTTACAAAATATCATTTTTTATCCACTTTGGTATTGAAGTAATATTACGTGCTATGTATATATAAGATTAATTTATGTGGATTAATTTAAACTAAAGAAAAAGTTATTGTAATGAGAAGATGTGCAGTTAAATCTCTCTGTCAAATGAACAAACATAGGTTTTTTTTTTTGTGACTGTGCATGCGTCATAAAAAAACAGAAGAAATTATATACATTCATTCATATATAAAAAAAAGTTGTGTTACTTCAACAATTGACTAAATCTCTAACGGTTATAACGTGCGTAATTATTAGCCAATAAATTTTTGATCCACTCGATTATAGAAACTAACCCAATCTCATTTACAAATGGACTAATCACACAGTGTACGTTATCTGTGGATGCTTTCTAATCAGAATAGACACTTTTTTTTATTCCTATTAAGATTTTCATTATATAAAGTGTCAGCGCGCATGTTGGATTTTCATGTCACGGAATAGAAAAGCATTCAATTGTAGATGAAAAAAAAAAAAAAAGAAGAAAACAAGGAAATAGATGCTCTCCTACAACTGGCTATATTCCATTTCCTCTCCCTCTCCGAATTGACGGGTATAGCTTTTTTGAAAATGAAATATTGACTGAACATTTGCTATATAAAATTGTATTTTATAATTGAAAAATAATTAATAATAAATAAAAAATGTTTTCAGATTCTCACCTTCGATCGATGGAAAACATTTTTCTTGCATGATCAGTTTATTGTAGTTGTTTTTTTTATATATTTGGTGTTATACCTCCTAAGTCAAGTGAAATAATGAGAAAATTAAATAAAGTATGGCATGCGCACATTCCTTCTAATTTTTTCATAAAAACCTTATGTAATCATGCGGAAGTATACTTATCTATATGATTCTGGGTCTAATTGAGCCATGACATAAAATAATTACATAGCAGAAAAAGTTTGAGATGAGTTATGTTTAGGAAAAAAACACACGTTTTTCTATACGCGTCTATTTATAAAAAATAATAAACCAAAAAAAAGTGACACATTTTTCTACATGCACACATACAAACCCTTGATAACTCTCAATAGTGAAATGGTTTGCATTCCCGAATACTTTTTGTCGTTCAATTCTAGTACAATTTTTTCTTCTTTTTTCTCTTGTTCTTTTTTTTTTCTCCTCTTTTTCTGATAATAATGATAATATACACTTTTAATCTAGTAATATATTGCAATCGATTTCAAATAGGCAACATTTCACTTTAGGAATACAAAAAAAAGGAAAATAATATGTATGTAGACCTAAACGAGAATAAAGCAATGCATCCTCTTCTTTTTCTTCTTCTGCCTCACATCATGTAAACATGAATAATAAAAAAGGATATAAGATTGAGATCATTGAGAGAAAAAAAAATACAGCAGCTGTAGTGGTTGGAACTACTACAGAGTAGATATAAATTATTATTATTATTGCATTGATCTCACACTGTGTTCAATAAAAATAACTCTATCTGTCATTATGGAGAGTTTTACAACAGAATTAATTTTGAAAAGGTGCAGATGATGATCTGTGCCACATGATAAAAAAGAAGAAAAAAGAAATGATTTATACATATGTAATATAAATGACAGCAATCTCGATTAATGTCAAAAGAATAGTATGGTGTCAGAATGCATAGGAGCATAGACAATACTAATAGATAATAAAAACAATAACAACAACGTGTTTAACACACAGTACCAAAAATTCCTATAATATTCAACTTATTGTCATAAATATTTATTATCTTCTCAGCTTTAGTTTCGGAATAGTATTATTACGGTAACTTTGTTACGCGAAACCAGTTTTAGTAATATGATTTTTTTCGTAAATAGACAAGAAACATTATTTTGTGCATATTATTGACTGAAACAATGTTTAAAAACATCTGTTTTTCTTTCCGGTTGCATTCAACAATTTTTCATTGTTATGACACTTAGAATTGTTTATTGACGGTCACGCAAAGGGCAACATTCAAAGGATTCGTGTAATATAGTATCCTCAGTTATTTATAACTCAGACAATTACTTCTATTTATGAAACACTTTTAAAAAGTCAGAAGTTTTAGCAAGATAGATCATACATTATGACAATTTATTTACATGGTAACTAGGTTTAAAGAAAGTCTAAAAAAAAGACTTCACCCTAGTCATTTTTTTTTTTGACATCGATGACATAAGAATGATACAAACTTTGTTTTACATTTCTATTCGCAGAAAAGTAGCAGTGACATTTTTTTTCTTGAACACCCCCCTCCCCCTGCCCTGTTTATACATTTGTAGAAAGAGATGATCATCATATTACGTGGGACGAGATAACTCCTGGTATTTTTTTTAATTTTTTTGAGTAATTCAAATACTTTTACTTAGCTCGTTCGTTGAACGATGTTATATATAGAAATGAGAAGATTAAATGATTAATTATCATTACGGAATACTCACACGTTAAGTTGAGAATTTTCTACTCATATATTTTTATGGAAAAGCAGATATTTGTCTTTAAATTGAATGAAGAAAGAGGTTCTATCAGATGTGTTTTCCCAATATTGGTTGCCCTTCGCCCTCTAAAATTAATTTTTCTCTTTTTTTTGCCTATGATCATATTAGTACTACATAAACATCTATATGCATAATAATTATTATAGTTACTGAGATGTAACACACATACACACAAAATGTATGAGTTTTCTCTTTTTCTATTCTTTGTTTTATTTTGTAAAAAAAATGAGAAAAAAATTTACTTTGTTCAACATATGCAAAAAAAAAAGAAAAATTCACATTTCCCTTTAATATATATTTTTCTTCTTTCTCTCTCTTTCTCTCTCTCTCTAATCATAAATTATTTTCCATTGTATGGCTATTACGATATATTGCTACTATTTCTCTTGCGCATAAGAGCATGTTTTTTCTCTTATTTTTCATCTATGTGACTGATCTCTCTACAGAAAACATCTCTATAAGAATGCTGTTACATTATTGATCTTTTTAAAAGAAATCGAGTTACAAAGAAAACACTATTTCAAGTGGAATGTAATGGCTATTTCATAGGCAACCTTTTTAACGCAAAAAAAAAATCGAGAAAGCAAGATAAAATAATTTCCTATAGAAGAACAAAAAAAAGATTTCTTTTCATTCGGAGATAAAGAGCACATCTAATCGTAAAAAACAAAATAAAGTGTTTTTCTGCATATATTACAATATTAAATAGTTAGACAATTGAAACTTATTTTTCTAAAGAATTCTTTCTCTCTTAACATTAAAGTTTTCTAAAAGAAAAGAAAATTGTTTGTTGATATGATCCAAGTGAATCCATGAGGATCAAATATAAAATATCTGCGCATTTAATGTATCAAACGAAAGAGTTCAAAACATCACAAAGAACGGGAAATCGTGGTCATGTTAAATTATAACTCTAATATTTAACATGGTTTTGCCAGAACAGATTGAATAAATGCAGCAGATGGGATTGTCTATACCATTTCTTATTGTCCTGTAGCTGTTAGTACGACCTGGACGTACTCAAAGTACGGTTAAAACTGAGTGCATGTGCTCCATGTTTTAGAGCGAACGTTTTTTTTCAGACTTTTCTAACATAAAATATTCGTTTATCAACGGTGATCATAGGTGACGCCAGTTTCTCGTTAACATAAGAAATGAGAAGTAGCAACTGAGTAGGACCAACAGAAAATAGAAGGAAAACGATGACATTATGAATGAATTAGTATAGAAACTATTTGCAAATCACTCAGTCATGCTGTAGGGGTAGTGTACAGATAATTTGGTTAAAACAAATAGAGTCAGCAGCGACTCATCAACTTTTTGCAGAGGAAATGAGTATTATTGTCTAAGTACTTTTCATCATGAAATTCTAGAGATTGGTTTGAATTGTTTAAATATTCTTGTGTTACAAATAGGGTTATTGTGTAAACAAGAATTAATAATAAAAAATCTTTCACAATACTTGCGCAATACCTGTCTACTACACGCGACGTGGCATCTAACGTGGCAGTGATAGAAAGTTAAAATCATGTAAATATGTGGGATTTTGATTTATATATATATATATGTACATATATATGGTGATTCTATAATCATTTTCGAATAATCTTACTGTAAAAATGGGTGGGACATGGACAAAGCTTTCACAATATTTCAAAAAAGAAAAAGTTCGCCTTCTTCTGTGTGGTCTCGATGCAGCAGGTAGGAGAAGTTGTATTGACCAAGTCCAAAAATACAGTTGTTCTAGATTTCCCATCAGTGAATCTTTATAACAAACTATTTTCTTTTGCACCACAAAGGCTACTTGAGTGCTGATAGAATGTCTTAGAGTCTGTCTTTATTTACAGGCAAAACAACTATTTTATATAAGACAAAAATAGGAGCGGTTGTAACAAATATACCAACAATTGGATTGAATGTTGAGGCTGTAACATTCAAGAATATTAATATAACAGCATGGGATGTTGGTGGAAGAAGCAGCATGCGGGTATTATGGAGACATTATTATCAAAATACAAATGCTCTTGTATTTGTTGTCGACAGTCATGATCGTGACCGTTTGGAAGAAGCGAAAGGTGAACTACATAAAATGACTTCCGACGAAGATTTAAAAGATATTCCATTGCTGATACTGGCCAACAAACAAGATTTACCGAATGCAGTGAACAAAACGGAGTTAATCGAAAAACTTGGACTGGAAAAATTCAATGGAATACGAAAATGGCATGTGCAGGAAACAATCGCTATAACAGGTCAAGGATTAGATGAAGGTTTCGATTGGTTAGCAAGTGCATGCACATCAATATTATCAACTGATAATATCACGAAACCAATCACTGAAACAGTGAATGATACACAAATGATAAAAAGTGATCTAATCAATTCGTTTTGGATGACAATTAAACCGTTTCACAGAGTTTTGAATAAAGTTATTTGAAAAATGATAACAGCACTGATAGTTAGGGATATACCACAGGTGTCTAGTTGTAATTAATTTATACCTAAAGATTCTAATTAGATTGTTTGTACAGATGGAAAATTTCTTTTTTTAATTTAATGAATAAATGTAAATAAAACAGTCCATTTGAAACTTTCTACAGTTTCTAACATAGGAAGATAATATAAGTCGTTTCCGTACGACTTGAGATTACTTTCATAGAAGGATGTTTCAGAGATTTTCATTCTTTCGTTATATTTATGTAGAAATAATGAGAAAATTTGTACAAAAAAACTATAATGACTATTGGGAGCATTGTTGATTCAAGAACTATCCTTTTCTTTTTAATTATATTTATTCGTTGGAAGAAAAACCAGGGATTTAGTTTAACGATGAATCATTGAATTGTTATGTTAAGTGCCATCAATCAGAAATAAGCTTTGCTCCTGAAAATAACGAACTAAAGAGTTTGAGTTTATCTGCTGATTCGATTGCATGAACTTACCGATTTTCACAGATGCTAGCCGATCCTCCGCCGTCGGCGAACCACAAATTTTTATATGAAGGAAGCTCGATTTTGGGGCGAAAATTGTGTTTTCTCGCATAAAATAGGGCTTTTAGTAAAAAGAAGTTTGTTGTCAACGTCGAAGGTGGCAAAGTTTTGGAATTAAGTCCATGTCGTCGATCGCATGTTAGTTTTTATACGGATACCACTGTTGAATTTTAGATCAGCTAACATTTTTATCTATTTCTTGTGTTTTTATCCACCTGACGTAAATAATGAACACTTGGGATTCCATCTCTCGATGTAAAATGGGCATGAACTTCATCCAAATCTGTGTCTACTGTTCCATCAGGCACATATACTTTCATACTCTATTTCATAAGAAAATAAATAATGTTTCATCTAAAAAACATGTAGTCTTTATATACACAAGTCACTCACTTGTGTTTCATAACTTTTTGGTCTTCCTGAATAACTGTGACTTTGAAACTGAATTGGGTTCGAATTTAAAACATAACTTTCATTGTAAAACAAAGTGCGTTGCTTATGTCTTCTCCACAATATATACAATATAATGATAGCGATAATAGTTGAAATCAGAATAAATATCGACAAAACGATTAAGACAATCCATGGGTTATCCATGCCTTTGAACAGTGATAGAGATCCCCTTTGGTAATCGTTGTCATTCATTGCTTGTGAGTCAGATTGTACTAAAATTCAATTATAAACACACGATATATGATGCAATAGCAAGAAGGTCCATCCCTACTACCGCCTACTCTCAAGCTTCGATAGGGAAGCTTGTTTGCCGCTAGTTGGCAATATTCAAAATATGGAAAATCAGAAGTAACTTTGATCTTCATTTACTCGGCCCTTCTACTACAATAATCTTTCTCAGATAAATGACGCGGTTGTGATCTATTTTCTTCTTTAATTTAAGTTGCAAAACTCCATTACTTTTTCATGACTCTCAACAACGGTCGACCTGCTGAATTTTCCCGATGGATGCGAATGAATGGAGAAAACGCCAAGACAAGGTTTTGTTGGTGAAAGTTAAAACTTTTCTATTTACATATTCTTCGAATCCACCATTCACTCTCGATTTCAGTACAGCTCTGTACTATATTTAATTTAATCCATTAATACTTGTGATATTGTTTTGCTTCTAGAACATGATAGCAGTCGCTATTGCTCAAAATCTTCGATTGAACATCGACCATCTCAGATCTCAGGAGAAGATAGAAAAGTATTCTGGAAAGTCTTTAGAGATCTTTATCCTCATTCATCGTTTAGAAAAGACAACAACTAAAACTAAGAGATTCTGAGGTTTTTCTAAATTCTCAGTCTCTAGAATTGGTTCTGATACATTGTCTATACTTAATTATCTTTTTAGGTATGTTTCTTCGCGTATTATTCTATTTTATCTATTTTTACTGCGACTAATAGGAGATTTTCGTTTGCAGTTTATGTCACATCGTAAATTAGTTCACCCTGTAGAATTCAATCGATGTATTAAATTCTAAAGAATCCTGTATATTTAGCAGTAAGGTCTGACTATGAATTGTCTTTTGCTTAACTCCCTTCAGGTGTATCCTGTGCTTATTGCCTGTTTTGATTGGCAGAAGAAACATCTTTCGGTCATTTTTCGATATTTTGCGCACGATCATTGATGGTTAAGATAAGTCAGAAGAGAAACTCTGGAGGAGAGCGCTACTATCAACATAATTTTGTGAGATTTTACATTGATTGTAGCGATCTTCCTCCAGCATTTTCCTTTAGCTTAACTTAATCATCATTGACATACTACATTTTTTTCATATAATAATTAAGCTCAAGTGAGTAGTTCTTTCGAAGATCTACCATATTTACATCGATCTTATCCGAATCGAATGGAATATTCACAACTAGTAAAACTCGAGGTTCTGAGCACAAATATCATGTTTAAAATTTTTAAAAGTGTTGCCAAAGTGCTCCCCAGGTCGTGTCCTCAAAGGCCCTTCCAGTCAAATATCCACATCTGCCGTTCCGTCATTTAAAAACGCGGAGAGTCGTGATTTTTATGCTAGATACTACTCGAAATTTTAAACATTTCCTCTATAGGAAATTTAACAAATATTTGTATTCAGAAACTCGAGTTTTACTAGTCCTGAAGATCCCATTCGATTCGGATAAGATCGATGTAAATGTAGTAAATCTTCGAAAGAATCACCCAAGTGTGAGTTAAAAAGAAGAAACGTCCACGCTACTAGCTTAAGTCTCCAATCCTATTAAGCGTTTATCTCTTTCAAGGCTGCTTTTTTAATAGTGCCATCGTGAGTTTACGTTGGTTGTGGTGAACTCAGATCTAGGTTTCGGTCTTAGTATATCTTGACCAACAACTATGTAGAAGATTCTTTGTTCATCCTACTCATGTGATGCCAGTCGTTATTCTTAATTTAATAAGGTATGTTAGGTTACTATTGCTTTCTAAAAACATTCTGAAACTGAACGCTCGATTGAAGTAAAGTCACTACACTGTAAATTTGAAAAAATGACGCTGTTCACATATTCTCTACATGTAAAAGGACTTCAGAGGCCATTTGACCTGAGTGGAAATATTGCTCATCTGACGACGAAGAACTCGTGAAGAAGTTACTCAAACTGATCACGCAGCTGATGAACTGTTGAAAGAAAAGTCCATGGTTTTTCCACCTACTTTTCTTTGAATCACACACAAAAGTTCGTTCCATCATTGAGTAAGGTCTGTGAAGTATGTAGTCACGGGTTTTTCAACCCGGAAGCTGTCAGTCAGATCCGTGAAAGTAGGTGTAAAGTGCATGAAATATCACGGATCTGACTGACAGCTTCCGGGTTGAAAAACCCGTGACTACATACTTCACAGACCTTACTCAATGATGGAACGAACTTTTATATGTGATTCAAAGTGAAGTAGATGAAAAAACCATGGACTTTTCCTTTTTAAAATTTACAGTGATATATAGATCGATTCAATAACAAAGAAACAATCAAGTTCTTGGTCAGGATTGGTGCCTTAACTTTTGTCACACTTAAGTGCCATAAAAAATTTTACTTAAGTATGGCTTAACTTTTATCGAATGAAAAATTCTTAAGACAAACCTAAGGAACGTGGTGCGAATACAGTCTTTGTATACAGGCTCAGGATAAGATGCAGCCATATCACTTACTATAGTCAAAATTAACTGCAGATTATCCTCGAAAAAAAATTTCATTTCCGATTTTATTGAAACTTCGCCATGATCTAGCCGTATTCGAAAAAGAAATATTCCTAAATTGTTAGGTATAGTTGCTGTGAAATATTAGAGAGCTGAAATCAATTGTTTTATTTCTCTGTGTTTTGAGATTTTATTTCTTGTATGTATCAAACCCTGTGTGATGCAGAAATTCAATGCAAACAATTTAAAGAAAATACAATTATTGTAGTTGTGGTTTTCACTATCATCAGCATCAGCAAATTTCGAGGAATTGCTATAAGAAAATCGTCAACAGTCGCGAGTCATATGACGAGTCATAAAAAATTTTCAGATTAGTCCCTGAATGGTATTTTTTGCAGCATTCTCAACCACATAATCAATAACTCCGCATCCGATAAATCAGAGTTCTATTTCTAGAGTATATGAAATGGTCAAAAATTCGCGGATTCTTGCTGTCTTTACCTGTATATGCATAATAGCGTCCTTTGAAGTGTAGAATGGTAGATTTTGTGGTAATGACAGCAAATATCCAAAAACGGAAATCCAAAATCCCGAAATATGTTTTGTCTAAAACTTTTATATAATAAATTTATTTCCACCAAAAAAAGTGCACGACATAGGAGGCTGTTTTTCATCAGTCTACATACTACTCTACTTTTTGTAAAAAACGTAGTGCTAACTTTCACGGGAAACAAGTGTTGAAGGAAATTTGTCTGATTTGTAAGTATTCTGTATTTCCGAATGTTTCCAGTCTTTATTATATCGTTAAAAATTAATTCTTTTTCAAATAGAAAATCATTGAGTACATTCCTATGAAAGCATACAAGGCAGAGCCATCAATTTTTATTTTTTTAAATTGATGTAATTTGTTTCTCATAAGATCTACAATGCAAAATTGTTTTGTATTTCCTCTGCTTTATTCGCTACATGTGTGTCTAGTGAGATAAAAATATATTAGAACATCTGCTACCTTTTGCACTGTTATAGACAATTAAACACACTATCCAACCGATTCATTTTTTTTCGATTCTGGATACTGTAACAAATATGCATCCTTTTACGCCAAATAAATTGGTTTTGAACAATTATGTTGAAAATACGTATACTAGAGAAACACTCCTAGGACTATTTGCAGGTTTTCAAGTTGTGCTCTTCATTCTATTATGGTTAACAAAGAAGAGAAGCATATCATTTTCAACATTAATTCAGTTATTTTGGTTTACATTTAATGGTATTTTGCATTTAGTGTTCGAAGTAAGTCCGTCAATTATAGATAGATA